ATTGAACGATATTTTGATTGATCGCCAATTTCGATGTACAGTTTGTTTCATAATAGACGTCGTCGAATTCTGTCAAAAAGGTTGATCCTATTTGCGGCCCATACACTGGCGTTTTTTTCCTGCCATTCAATCATGACATTCTTTTGTGTCACGAAGATGCCAAGCTTGTATGTCAACCTTGCATTGTTTGTCGTCAAAATTGTGTAGTTTTAGTGCCTACTTTTGAGTGGCTTGACTACCAAAGTGACAACGTTATATCAACATAATAATAATAATTAGTTTTACCATTTTTTATGTAGTACCCCTGTCGGTATACATTTTCACAAGTCATGTTATTAGTTCATAATTATTGCTGAATTGCTATTGGTAAGTGAAAAGAAATGGCGACGTTTTATTTTTGAGCAAACTGTACAGTTCATGCTACGAGTTGAGATGCCTCCCGTTTCAGACAGATAGAATGGATATAGTATCAGATCACCAGATTTGATAATAAGTTTAGGGGCTACTTCATGGTCAAATTTTAATATTTTTTTAAAAAGTTAAAGGGTAGTGCTATTCTCATTTGATACTAAACTAAATCGTGTTACACGCAGGACCCTGAAAGTTAATTAGCTAGGTAACAACTTGCACCCGCGAAAAGAGTGATTTTTAATTTTATGAAAACAGAAGTTGTTCGTAACACCTGTCGTCCTCTAGCTGATTATCTTTTAGGGCCCTACGCGGAGGATTACACGATTTACTTTACAGTTTGAAATTCATATTTTTCCTAACCTCAATTCACCGCGAATCTCGCCTTAAGCCCGGTTTACAGTGAACCTAGCATAGCACAAACATAGCCTTGTCGACTGTCAGCTGTCAGTCTTGTTTAGCGTTTACCTTGATGTCTGTTTTGTGTGTTTTTAGAAATGTTGTGAACGTATTTTGAATTAAATCATTTGCTGAACAAATTAGCGAATTTTTTTAAAGAAAATGAAAGAAAAAGTTATGAGTTACGTTTCACCTCCTCCAACGTCATGTGATTTTGCTTTAAGTGAAGAAGAAATCTGCTTTACCTACGGAATGATGCTGTGTCGGCGACAAACCGGGCTTTGAAGGTAATTCGGATGATTATTTCAAAATGTAGAACGGGCTCAAAATGGCCACATTTTGTTTATCGAATCATTTTGACAATTTACATGGTTAATAGTTTGCCGTTTAAAAATTGTTACTAAAACATACATTTTCGATCTTCTGAGTAGATAACTCTGCCTGGATCTGGTACTGTATCTTCTGAAACCATTTATAGATAACTTTGTTTGAGATAAACTATCGTTTGGGATATTGAAAGAACATAGGTTATTACTTCTTGCAATTTTTATTGTAAATGCGGCATTGAAAGAAATTATTATCTTGAAATTGGTGAAATAACACTTAAAAAATCCAAACATGATAAAACTTGGAATAACATGTTTATCAATCGGCGAACCTATGTTCTATCCTTTCCATTTTATTTCAGAGAGTATTGTGAATCATGCTTCTTTATTCTAAGAATAAAAATATATAAACTGACTTATTGTTTCTAACTACAGGACCAACTGAGAGTTAAACTTGAATGTATGACATGAATCATTTGACATTTCCACATGTTTATTTTCAACTTAGATTCCATTACCATGTATTTTATTTTTAGTTTGCGTATTTATGCGGAATACAATTCAAATCATTCAAAATCTCACGCATACATTTTCATTGAAACAAGCATTGCTCGTGTTTTTCAAATCATGCCGTGATCTTGAGGAATTTGAATTTGAAGATTATACAAAAACTAGAGTTGTTCAAATGGAAGTGAATTGTGATGACATATCAGTGACTTTGACGTCACTTTTTGCAATGTATCTCCCAAAATTGATCGAGATAAGATTTTTCTCCAAAGTTGACAACGATTTGGTCTTCGTGAGGTATTAGATACAAAAAACAACGCAGTGTCAGCCCTTCAGCACATATACCGCTTAGAATACGCCTACAGTGTTGACATACTAGAAAGCTTGAAAGCTGTACTATAACTTCCACCATGTTCATTCTTTAACTTGCATTCTGTCACTGGACGATAATACAATAAAATGCTTTCGTATTAATATCTATTATATATATTATTTAATTGATTCAGTCATCAAAAATATACACAAGAATTATTCTTTAAGCAAAACTTGGGGGCTACTTGTGAGCAATCTAAGTGGAAGTCTGCAATAATGAGACGCTCTACATTTGACGTTTTCGTCTTTTGGTCGAGTATCCATTACAACATAAAACGCTACAAGCAAAATGGCTGCTAGTGATCATGACTATATTCCAAATCGCGTAGGAATAAAACAAGATGAAAGTTTTTGACGACATTTGGTATAAACAGCACTGAATTTCACCCCATTCGTCAAAACGTAATGGAAACTCGTGAAAAGACTATAAACGAGTATCCGTCACGTTATAATGACAGCTGATTATCCAGTAATATCTCAAAATTCCCCATATCGGCACAGGACACCTAAATCTGACGCATCCGTCAACGCCAGCTGTCAGAGTCGTATTTTGTTTTGCTTTGTTGTAGGCTACATAATCATTTTGTACTTGTTAACAACTCTTTTATTTGGAAAAGTTCATTTGCATAACAAAAACAAAACGTTACAAACAAGTTTTACCAGATTTATTGCCAACATCGCAGAAAACGTCACTTGCTGATCAGCTGTTCACCTCAGTAGACGTCAAAGCGTGACGGATACTCGTGGAAAGGGTCGGTTTGAATAACTCTAGCGCTTTAAATAACCTTATAATCTACCTATCTATAGAGTATACAAAGCCAAACCACTTCTAAATAGAAAAGCAATATATACCTGTATACATGTGAGTTTAATTTTAAGAATAAAGCCACGTAGATGTGATATTATAAATTGTGTAATTTAGGACATGTTACGCTATATCTTTTATTTCATAGAATTTATACCAGTATTCTTTCTCTTTATAGTGTTTATTTTGTAAATCGCTTCATAGACATGGCGACGACGTTAACATAGTCATATTTATATTTCAACCACTTCGTTTATTTATCTATACACCTCTTAGTTTTTATAGTACTAAAACTGTCACTTGAGTTCTATGGTTTCCGAAATTCGTGCAACACCCTATGTGTAAAAAAGGTAGTCAATTCTGACAATTTTTTATACATAAAGTTTTGCACCATTATTTGTCTTTGTATACAGGATTGGCACTTTTTGTGCTCTCATAACATCTTGTTGACCCGCAAGGGCACAAAGCTTAGTATTCTAATTATGATTTTTCAAATTTGTGAAACGATAAAAAATTGTTATTTTTGTGTTAAAGATGTGGCAAAGTGTTAATCCTGTTGCCTCATGACAGAATACATGATGTTTGAGGTACATTTGCAATGTATCCCTTGTTTTAGTACCATTTTGTACACTAATGTACTTTAATATACGCATTTTTTGAAAACAAGCTTTTTATTACCAAACGCCTTTCATTCCGCCTTTTATATCTATAGCATCCTAAAGGGACTCTAACATTCTGCCATTAATTTGCAATTTTGTAGAATACACCTTAAGAAAACAGAAGTTCTATTCTCAACAGTAGTAGTGTGTAGTTCGCAAACGAACTAGTTCAATCGAACGATTCTTATGATTGTCTAAGTAGTCTAGTCCACCATTCCTTGAAAAACTTGTTCACTAAGAACGAACTGGTATTACCGAATCGCGATGTTCGAATCGAACTGGTTGTAGGTGAACGAACGAGATAGGAGAAAAGAGTCGGAACAAAACCGTGAGCAGAAAGTTGTATAACTGATTGCCTGGAAGTTATAAAAACATGATAAATGCTGTTAGGTATAAAGGCTGAAGAAATAAAAAATTACCTAACTTTTATAAAAAAATTGAAACAATACTAGAATGAAAAAATAAATTAACTGCAAATTTTCACTGACATTATTCTTGTGTGAAATAGTTCGTCCGCGAACTAGTTCGTTTTAGTGAGCGCCACCTATGATACTAGTTCACTGAAATAAACTAGAAGCACATCACCACACAACAGTGCAACCGTTAACAGGAACAGACATTCGTGTAAACCAGCCTTAAGTCGGTACAGCCAGACTCTTTATGTAGGCAACCAGTCAACCACGCATCAACTACCTACATTTTTCCCGCCAAATCTGTACCCAGGTTCTTGTGATTTTGAAGATGTGGAGTCTGTTATATTTTTTCGATTACTTTGTAACGCAGTTTTACATTTCGTAAAAGTGAGAAATAATTCTTACAATGACGGTCCTCAACCGCGGGCAGTACAAAACAACAATGAGGAAAGTAAGTAAAATTACATAGTAAGGCTAATAGAAATCTAGTACGACGAATTCAAGAAAGTATTTAGTACGTAGATGTCTAGTATTGTCATAACAGTGGTAGAAAATGTTTGTGATTTCTCAATTAATTAATTTTATATTTTAAAATTAAAATCATGTGAGGCTAAATAAATAAAAAGACCCACCCACCGGACACCATACACTTCTTGACGTAGGCAAGCAACCAGTATCACAGAGTTGTGAACATATTGAGCAACTTTATAAAACGTTATTATCACAAAATTTATTTAAAAACACAGCGCGGACAATGACTTTTGAGTGTACAATGCCGGCGGTATAAACAAAGTTACAAATATGACAATTCTCTTCCGCAAAACAACAATAAGAAGCCCAACATTTCCTAACCTCACTTTCCCAGTCCCGAATCCCGTCCAATTCCTCACTACTGTCACCTGTCAGGCATACACTTGACCGACACGGCGGTAAATTTGAAATTTAAATCACTGTCTACAATAGTCAAAATATGAACCTTCAAAATAATGAACCTAATAAATTCTTTATCATCAAAATAAATTATAATATCTTGCTTTATCCGCAAGGTTAACCTGCTCATTGTCAAAGGGAATTAGTACATAATTGCAGAGATATTTAATTTTTTGCCAGATTTTGTTTTGCTCAAGAATCTTTTTGAACAAAAGTTGTCTGTTTAGAACCTCTGGTTTACTTTTGGATGTGTTTCCAACCGAATATGATAATATTCTGTGACGATGTCAACAGATGACCCTTTTATTTTTGTCATCCGTTGAAATTTTATAGAAAATTTCACAATACATTCTTTATTTTGATACGCATTGGTATCATATGCATAATATTCGTAATGAAGCAAAAGATCTGATATAAACTTGTTATTCACGCAAATCGATGTCTTGGAGCTATATATAAATTCAAATTCTTACAAAACGACTTGACTTTACCTACGGTTAGGTATCATCAGTTGCATTTTGACAAATTAATGATACTCAAAAAAGATGCTTCAAAGGTGTTTGCCGCTACTTCACGTAATGAGATGCAGCGTCAGCATCAGTGCTCCACGTAAGTTGTTTGCTATGTTTTATCTTGGACTACAACACTTTGTCTACAAGGTGGACAGAACTGATTTGCAAGAAACATAACAACGTGAAAATGTTGGCAAAAAGAGGCCTTTTTGAACGGATTAGCAATCTGACATTTAGTATGATGAAATTATCACTGTATTTTAATTAAATGTGACAGTTGAAACTTCTAAGATGGCGGTCGGAGGCCATGCTAGACATATGATACCTCATTTTGAAAATTGTCCAAGATGGCGCCCTGCCTCCATTTTGAAATTTTCAACTACCATGCTAACGCCATATAACGCCATATACCGGGTCAAAAAATAATGTAATAATGTAAGTAGAACTCATGTTTATATGTTTAAAAGTTTGTGAGATTATGCTGCTGTCAGCTGCTGTTTACAAATGGTATGACGTCAGACCACAGCAATATGGTCCAAACATGGCGGACAGGAGATATACATATTTGTTTTACGATTTTCTAGATCTGAAAATAAAATATAGTCTCTTTTTTTGGTTCAATATAACATATAATAACAACTATTCAAGACCTACTTTACATAAGTTTCAACTAGCCTATAGTATTGAGAATTGATTGTGCAACTCTGTAATATCGAACCATAGAAAAATGTGCCCCCTGGTGCAGTAGATAACTCTTGACCTCATAGATACTGATGTTAGAACTGCATTTCTGGTAAACGCGATGTATTATTGTAGACCTCACCCAGAAAATGACTCCTTCTGCTGTTAGAGGACAAATTGTCTCGGGGACCGAAATAGCCAAGTAAGTCTTTTTAAAATTTTGAAAATGGACAGAAAAAATATATAGGATGTTACGGATAGTTTAGAATTTAAGGGCCTATTGAGCACATAAAGGTACGTGTCGTTTTCTGAAAGTTATATAATTGCAAAAATAATTTTGCACAAGTCAATGATGTCTTTGCGTTTATCCAAAAATGATCTGTCTTTTTTTTTGTCTTGGAAAAATGTAAGGTCAATTATCAAAGCCGAACAAGATTATTATGGAAACAAAAAGCACTTTCAGACCTATGTTTAGATAAACATCCGATAACACCCTGTATATTATTTATAATGTATGTCGCTTCCTGAATGAGACTAATTTAACAGAAGATTAAAAATCAGTACGATTTTGTTGTTATTAAAAACCATGACTTCGATTTTTCGCACATGGTTGATATCTTCAGGGACGTTAAGGAGAGATTGAAAAATGAAGTAGCCGAACTTAAGAAAAATGTGCCTGGTTTATTACCTAAGCTTTCTATCGTACAAGTTGGGGAGAGAGAAGATTCGAACGTTTACATTCGGATGAAAATAAAAGCTGCTTCCGACATCGGTATATTGGCTGAACACATCAAGCTACCAAAAACTACAACTGAAACTGAGGCAAGTACGGCAAAATTTCCATTTTCTTCCCGCTTTTACAAACCAGTTGGACTTGGTACGGTTTTGTGCCTCCTTGAGGAGTCAAGTCAGCACGGCCAAATGTCTCGAGCGAGTTCAAACGTGTACTGAAGGCGAATCACATGTTCCCTTGTCTCCCCTCCAAGCCCAGCGCCTCCAGTGTTGCCAAATCGGATGCTACGTTGCCAGTTCACTTAATTTACAGACCTCGTATGACCATTGGAAAAATTGCAACGTGTATTGTAATAACTTGTAATCTTGGGCTTTTACTCCCGTAGTGAAACACCCTAATTCATTTATGATTAACTTTATTCCGTACAATCTTCGTTGCTAGATACTGCAGTGTAGTCATTCCTCTGCGTACCTCATCATTTCTGGAAAACTAAAGTACTTGCAATACCTAACATTTGCTAACAGTTTCAAATAACAATGTTTATACAGTTCGTACATATTTCAGCTGTTAGAGAAACTTCGTCAACTCAATGGAGACAACAACGTTCACGGCATTATTGTGCAGATGCCTTTGGATTCCGAATATAAAATAGACTCGCATTTAATCACGGATTCTGTTGCACCCGAAAAAGACGTAGATGGGTAAGTAGGTCTGTTTGCTTTCCGATAAAATAAAAATCTACACCCTGTGATGATATTTCAGTTCCCATTACAACAAATTTCAATTTGTTCTTAGATGGAGTGACAGCAAGACATAGTAACGCAGCTTTTATTATTTTTTACAGTTTAAACACTATAAATGAGGGCAAATTAGCAGTAGGAAACCTAACAGGATTCGTACCGTGTACTCCAAATGGCATTTTGGAATTGATAAAAAGAACAGGTGTAAAAATTGCGGGAGCTGAAGCTGTAGTATTGGGGAGGAGCAAAATTGTAGGGACGCCTATTGCGGAGCTGCTAAAATGGGAACATGCCACTGTCACCATATGTCATTCGAAAACCAAAAACCTAAAAGAACAGGTAACTGTAGTACAGGATATGTAATTCTGTACCCCCGAGCCAGACTAGGTTAAGTCCATGAGTTTAATATGTTCAGCTTATGATAATATTGTGAATTTTCATTTGCTACATGCAGCAACCATCTATCTGTAATAATAGGGAAGTTACGACTTTTCAACTCAAGTCAAAAATTTCAAATACCATTATCTCAAAACGATTTATTTGGACTTAACCTAGTCTGGCTCTGAGGAACAGAATTGTAAGAAGACTATGTTTCTTTGTCCAATTGGAACCACCTTATGTTGGAATAACTCTAACGTTTTGGTCTTCACAGTAGTAATTGTAAACCAAGTTGTTTCAAGAATCTTAACATCTTCGATATGTCTAATATTTTAGAGAATTTTAAAATACGAATAAATTTTGAAATTTTTGAAAAATATAAAAATCTCGTTGTTTGAACTGAAAACGTTTTTGATATTTTCAAACCTTCATGCTTTTCAAAATGTAAAACAATAATGAATTGTCATAACAAGATTATTAAATTCGTCAGCATTTTTTCAATTTTGGAATAGACTATTAAAACTAGAAAATTTCATATATCGTGGTGGTATCATATTATTTTTTTATTTTGTTTTCTAGTGTGCCAAAGCTGACATACTAGTTGTTGCCATTGGACAACCACAATTTGTTAAAGGGGATTGGATAAAACCAAATGCTGTTGTAATAGACTGTGGTATCAGTGCAATCCCAGGTGTGTATCCAGTAAAAATATTTTTTGAGAGGTCTCGCCATATTATTTTATCCAAATCAATATATCTTTTACTTCCTATCCCAAAACTGGTGAGAAAGTATTGTAATCGCGAAACATTTGGAAATCGAGATATGTTTTTTTGTCTGCCAGTCCGTTGATTTTATAATCGCCTATAACCCATACAGCACAATATTTTTCAGAAATATTTCAGATAACTTAGTGTTATAATCGTAATGTTTCAAAATCCTTACATATATATATATATATATATATATATATATATATATATAAAATTTAAAATTTGTTTTTTAGCTCCTGATGATGGCAGCATAGTCCGTCGAAAGCTTGAGTTAAATGTAAGACTTTCTCTGGGATATCGACAAATTATGCTAAGTATACCCTTTTGACATACAATACTCAAGCTTTCGACGGACTATGCTGCCATCATCAGGAGCTAAAAAACAAATTAAAAATAGTAAATGTATATATATACAGGGTGACTTCGAAGTTGAGTCATTTATTTTAACAGTGAGTAGATCTGATCAAAAGAAATGTTTTTTTCCTTTAACATTTTTCTGGTAAAATTAAAGTAACAAAGTTATAGCCCTTTAGAAGTTTGAGTACCGCCCTGTCTCAATAATAATATTATGTGCTCGTGTTTGGCAACAACGGATATAATCCGCCTTATCGGTTCATCGCATCACAAACAAAAAAGCGAAAGAATTTGAAACGCTTATCACGATGTTTTCACTACAATTTTATTCAGTTGTATTCAGTCAATGTGTCAGTCGGTAACGCGTGAGTGAATAGTGGTGTTTCTTGCGTGGCTCAAACGAAATAAAAAATGGCACATGTTTACGAAAATGCTGAACTTGTGGACATGATTCTTATTTACGGGGGGGGGGGGGAGTCTTTACAAAATGCTGCAGCGGCATCACGGATTTATCACCGGTTTCCCAATCGTATGCAACCAACCCCTCGTGCCTTTGTTAATGTAGTACAAAGGGCTCATGAATCAGGTGACATAAGACCTCACAGGGGAGGGCATGCCGGTGCTCCAAGACCGCACGATCAAATACAGGTCCGCACTGAAATACTTGTCGGGAGGATACTTTATAAAACAAGGTAACATTTTTTTTTATTTTTTTTTAATTTTTACACACATATTTTGGTTTATCTTCCTTCTACAATCATTATCTGAAAATGAATGACTCAATTTCAAAGTCACCCTGTATATATATATATATATATATATATATATATATATATATATATATATATATATATATATAATTTGTTTTTTAGCTCCTGATGATGGCAGCATAGTCCATCGAAAGCTTGAGTTAAATGTAAGGCTTTCTTGGGGATATCGACAAATTATGCTAAGTGTACCCTTTTGACTTACAATACTCAATCTTTCGACGGACTATGCTGCCATCATCAGGAGCTAAAAAACTAATTAAAAATAGTAAATGTATATATATATATATATATATATATATATGCGAGCAATAGTCATTGCCATTTCCAACGACCAGTTGGGCAAAAAATACAATTAAATTGTTTATTGGGAATTGGCAAAACTTAAAGCTTAGTGAACTCTTTTGACGGTAATCTCGAGCTTTCGAAAAACTATGTTGTCATCTTCAGGAGCAAAACACCATTATGAGAATAGCAACCAATTTAGAACAGATTTAAATTAACAAATCGCTTACTTGTCGCTGAGGTTGCAGCTAAATGGTGTTTAAAAACGAAAGCGTGGATGAGAACACTTGTTGCAATTATGTAGTGTGAAGTTTTAGAGGATCCTGAGCATTTTCAGAAAAACGTTTGCGACAAATGAAAAAAAACAAAAATCGCCCAAAATTCGTTTTGGGAGGCTCCATCGTGCTAAAAATTCCAATAACTGGGCAAACTATCTAAACGTGCCTTAAAACGCACTTCTCAAAAACTTGCAATCTTTTACTGGCGATTTTAGTGAATAAACAACTGATAGGCTGTTATTTTCAAGGCCAACTATATTTTTTTTATTTCTAGATTCATAAACTCTGGTAATGGAATATCTATTAGCACCTATTACATATCGGAGATTTAATAACAATATAATGTCTCGGTATTGCTGTAATTTGAGGCAATTATATTAGTTTTATAGGTAGATTTACCTTTCACTTTTCAGTAGTGCGATATTTGCTATAACAGGTGATACGCGAGAAATTGCAAAATGTCGTCTAGAAACGAATTTCAAAATGAAGGTAATTTCAAAAGATTCATTTTAACAGTAGTTTAGTGCTTGATATGGAAACATGGAGTGTGCATTTGTATAAATCTATTAAAAATTGCAGGCACATAAATATTCTAGACGTAAGAAAATGTTGACTATACCCTGAGGTTCTTTAATATTGATCGTCCATTTTTTTGATATGCCCAAAGATCATTAAAACGTGAAATCATCGCAAAAAAATAATTTAATACTGAAATTTTTGCTTTTTCGCGTCTGCATTGGGCTAATTTTCAAACATCACAGCGTTTTTGTTCTTGGAATAGTTGCAATTCCCTAAAATCCTGAGTGGTGACTTGAGAATTCTAGATGGGGACAATTGCATAAGCTTAACAAAGTTTTGACCTATTCACACAATCAAATAAACATGTACCAAAAAATGCAAACCTAGCGAGCCTCAACATCAATAAACGATTGCATATTTTGATATTGATCATACAAACAATTATTTGTGCACGTAGTTACAAATGATATTTATTTTTATGGCTATCCAAATGGAATGAAAAACATATTGCAACAATATCAAGCAATAATATTGATGTTTTTTGATGAACGGTTGACTGATAACCTTTTATTACGTACTAAAAAAGATAACAGGACCAGTCTGCTTAGACCAGCAGATGTCGTTTGGTTTTTTTAGTGATTTTTACTGTGTAGAACATTCAGTGAGGATTTTACTGTAAGTAATGTCTTCAAGTCTATCAATAAAAATTGAGGAAAATGAAATGGATCGTTTAAAAGCGTTTTCCGAAAAATAGTAATTTTTCTCAATTTGCTGAGAAATGAGCAACTATTTTCAGACGAATATGAAATAGCTTTATACTAGAAAAATGTTTTCAAAAGTCTAGTTGGTAATATAGCCTCAAGGAAACTAATTTTTGAAGGTCTTAATCTCATTAATTACACGTACTAATTTTAATGAACTAAATTTAGTTAATTAGATTAAGATCATTTACCCTAATTAATTTAAATTTAAAAACGCTATTTATGCGTACTGAATTTAATTAACTACTTAAATTACCTTGATCTAATTAACTAATTTTTAATTAATTCAAATTTCTGAAGGTTTTATTCTCATTAATTACGCGTACTAAATTTAATCAACTAAATTGAGTTAATTAGATTAAGATAATTTACCCTAATTAATTTATACTTAAAAACGCTATTTATGCGTACTAAATTTAATCAACTACTTAAAATACCTTAATCTAATTAACTAATTTTTAATTAATTCAAATTTCTGAAGGTTTTATTCTCATTAATTATGCGTACTAATTTTAATGAACTAAATTTAGTTAATTACATTAAGATAATTTACCCTAATTAATTTGAATTTAAAAACGCTATTTATGCGTACTGAATTTAATTAACTACTTAAATTACCTTGATCTAATTAACTAATTTTTAATTAATTTAATTTCTGAAGGTTTTATTGTCATTAATTACACGTACTAAATTTAATCAACTAAATTTAATTAATTAGATTAAGATAATTAACCCTAATTAATTTATACTTAAAAACGCTATTTATGCGTACTAAATTTAATCAACTACTTAAAATACCTTAATCTAATTAACTAATTTTTAATTAATTCAAATTTTTGAAGGTTTTATTCTCATTAATTACGCGTACTAAATTTAATTAACTAAATTTAGTTAATTAGATTAAGATAATTTATCTTAATTAATTTAAATTTAAAAACGCTATTTATGCATACTAAATTTAATTAACTGCTTAAATTACCTTAATCTAATAAACTAATTTTTAAATAATTTAAATTTCTGAAGGTTTTATTCTCATTAATTACACGTACTAAATTTAATTAACTAAATTTAGTTAATTAGATTAAGATAATTTATCCTAATTAATTTAAATTTAAAAATGCTATTTATGCATACTAAATTTGATTAACTGCTTAAATTACCTTAATCTAATTAACTAATTTTTAATTAATTTAGATTTCTGAAGGATTTATTCTTATTAATTACACGTACTAAATTTGAGTAACTGAAACGTCTCCAGCGCTGTGTGGCTTCAGAAGGAAGTTATTTTGAGGGTTTTTAGTCCTTATACACCTCGTTCTGTAAAAGCGTTTATGTGCTAGAATAGATATAGTATCTGAATCTTGCCTCCTGTAATGTGATTACAAATAAAAAAGACATTAATCATTACCATTTTTCACGAAAATTCCGGGCAAAGTCTAGTTGGTAATATAGCCTCGTGGATTATGATTGTCTCCTCACACGACGTTATTTTCAATACGCGACTTTACATCCAATAAATGCCTAAGTAGCTTTTCGCTTATTCTGCAGACTCTACGAAAAAGTCCGGGCAACGTTTAGTTGGTGATGTGGCGTTTGACGAAGCTAGCCAAGTAGCTTCGTACATCACTCCTGTACCCGGAGGAGTTGGTCCTATGACCGTCTGCATGTTGATGAAAAATACTGTACAAAGTGCGCAAAAAGCAGCTAGAAGCATGTCGTCTTCAAACTGGAATCTCAAGGTTCTGCCGTTAAAATTACAGGACCCCGTTCCGAGGTGAGTTTCTCAAACTTTGTATGTTCAGACTGCGAAAAACAAAAGTTTACCAATTTTTGCCGGGAAAAACAGTGTTAAAATCGCTTTGAAATAAAGTTGTCTCAAAATAATCTCCAAGGTCTTGTAGAGCAAGGTTTTAACTTTAATTTAGATAATTGACGACCTCAAAAATGATTTAATTTTTTTTTAACCGAATTTTTAAGCAGATTAAATTTGCTTACTCGTTATTTGTTTTGAATAAATTACAATTTTTGAAAACGTTTTTCAGTTTTTTTTTATTCATTTCGTTTCTAGAAAACAGATTGATATATTTAGATGAGTTTTGGTAGCTAGTTATATTTTTTGCGAAGACTGCGCCACTGGTTTTTGAAGAAATTCGTATCAGTATCTGAAAGCATCTAGAATTTGCCTCTTGGAATATTTCGTTCAGACGTACCGTTTTCGTGAAAAAAAATTATTTTCTTAACCAGTGCACCAATCTTTTTGTCGCTATTCAAAAATACGAGGGTTGTTTCAAAATTAGGGTTTCCACATTTTTCTTTGACTTGAGAACGAAGCTAGTTTTTGCAGAAAAAATAGCGTTCAAACTGTCCTTTGACCAACAATTTCAAACATTTGTTTTTTCTATATATTTTAACATTCCTATACAGTGTATTACTAGAATAGTCTGAAACATGCTGAGATTTCTTTCGTAATTGTTTATTGCGAAAAAGTGTCAATTTTAGACGTATTATAGTAACGGGGAATTTTTATATTTATATATGAACGTTTATTATTATTCATATTTTTTCTACCGAAATTTTTCCGCAACATATTCTGTAACAGATTCCTGTCTAATAATCATTCTACCATCATTTTTAGTGATATTGAAATATCAAGGGCTCAAGTTCCAAAGGATATAGGTGTCCTAGCAGAAGAAATCGGGATCTACCCCACAGAACTCTCCCAGTATGGCAGAAAAAAAGCCAAGGTGTCATTGTCCGTTTTGGACAGATTATCCAACCAGAAAAATGGAAGATATGTTGTTGTTACTGGTATAACACCGACACCGCTAGGAGAAGGTAAGATACAATATTTTTTATCGCCAAGAATTTTAATACCTGAAAAATATTGTATTATTTTTGCTGTTGCGTATGAAGTCATGTTTGCTCTGAAAGTAATGCCTATGTTAAATAAAAGAACTAAATGCTTTTACCAGCGATATATCAAATAATTATTTTCTGGTGCCCTACTTTTTCCTGTGGCTCCTCAGCCTCTTTATATGACTGACTTTAGTCGAGTTTTTTCTCTTCCCGAAGTTGAAAAATCACCTCAAGGGAACTCATTTCTGAAGGTTTTATTCTCATTAATTACGCGTACCAAATTTAATTAACTAAATATAGTTAATTAGATTAAGATAATTTAAATTTAAATACGCTATTTATGCGTACTAAATTTAATTAACTACTTAAATTATCGTAATCTTATTAACTAATTTTTAATTAATTTAAATTTCTCAAGGTTTTATTCTCATTAATTATACGTACTAAACTTAATTAACTAAATTACTTAATTATTTTAAGATAAATTTTTTCAAATGTGAAATAGCTATTTATGCATACTTAATTTAATTAACTACTTCAATTGCCTTGATCTAATTAACTAAATTTTAATTAATTTAAATTTCCGAAGGTTTTATTCTCATTAATTACACGTAGTAAAGTTAATTAACTAAATTAAGTTAATTAGATTAAGATAATTTACCCTAATTAATTTTAACTTAAAAATGCTTTTTATCCGTAAAAATTTAATCAACTACTTAAATTACCGTAATTTATCAACTAATTTTTAATTGATTTAAATTTCTGAAGGTTTTATTCTCATTAATTACACGTACTAAATTTAATTAACTAAATTTACTCAATTAGATTAAGATAATTTACCCTAATTAATTTAAATTTAAAAACGCTATTCATGCATGCTAAATTTAATTAACTGCTTAAATTACCTTGATCTAATTAACTAATTTTTAGTTTAATTAAATTTCTGAAGGTTTTATTCTCATTAATTACACGTACTAAATTTACTGAACTAAATTTAGTTAATCAGATTAAGATAATTTACCCTAATTAATTTAAATTTAAAAACGCTATTTATGCATACTAAATTTGATTAATTACTTAAATTACCTTAATCTAACTAACTAATTTTTGATTAATTTAAATATCTGAAGGTTTTCTTCTCATTAATTACAAGTACTAAATTTAATGAACTAAATTTAGTTAATTAGATTAAGATAATTTACCCTAATTAATTTAAATTTAAAAACACTATTTATGCGTACTAAATTTGATTAACTACTTAAATTACCTTAATCTAATTAACTAATTTTGATTAATTTAAATTTCTGAAGGATTTATTCTCATTAATTACACGTACTAAATTCATTTAACTAAATTTGGTTAATTAGATTAAGATAATTTACCCTAATTAATTTAAATTTGAAAACGCTATTTATGTGTACTGAATTTAATTAACTACTAAAATTACCTTAATCTAATTAACTAATTTTTAATTAATTTAAATTTCTGAAGGTTTTATTCTCATTAACTACACGTACTATATTTAATGAACTAAATTTCGTTAATTAGATCAAGATAATTTACCCTAATTAATTTAAACTTAAAAAAGATATCTATGCGTACTAAATTTGATTAACTACTTAAATTACCTTAAACTAATTAACTAATTTTTAATTAATTTAAATTTCTGAAGGTTTTATACTCTTTAATTAAACGTACTAATTTTAACTAACCTAATTTAGTTAATTAGATTAAGATAATTTACCCTAATTTAAACTTAAAAACGCTTTTTATGCATACTAAATTTAATTAACTACTTAAATTACCTTAATCTAATTAACTAATCTTTAACTAATTTAAATTTCTGAGGTTTTATTCTCATGAATGAAAAATGCTTTTTATCCGTAAAAATTTAATCACCTACTTAAATTACCGTAATTTTATCAACTAATTTTTAATTGATTTAAATTTCTGAAGGTTTTATTCTCATTAATTACACGTACTAAATTTAATTAACTAAATGTACTCAATTAGATTAAGATAATTTACCCTAATTAATTTAAATTTAAAAACGCTATTCATGCATGCTAAATTTAATTAACTGCTTAAATTACCTTGATCTTATTAACTAATTTTTAGTTTAATTAAATTTCTGAAGGTTTTATTCTCATTAATTACACGTACTAAATTTAATGAACTAAATTTAGTTAATTAGATTAAGATAATTTACCCTAATTAATTTAAATTTAAAAACACTATTTATGCGTACTAAATTTGATTAATTACTTAAATTACCTTAATCTAACTAACTAATTTTTGATTAATTTAAATGTCTGAAGGCTTTCTTCTCATTAATTACAAGTACTAAATTTAATGAACTAAATTTAGTTAATTAGATTAAGATAATTTACCCTAATTAATTTAAATTTAAAAACGCTATTTATGCGTACTAAATTTGATTAACTACTTAAATTACCTTAATCTAATTAACTAATTTTTGATTAATTTAAATTTCTGAAGGATTTATTCTCATTAATTACACGTACTAAATTCATTTAACTAAATTTAGTTAATTAGATTAAGATAATTTACCCTAATTAATTTAAATTTGAAAACGCTATTTATGTGTACTGAATTTAATTAACTACTAAAATTACCTTAATCTAATTAACTAATTTTTAATTAATTTAAATTTCTAAAGGTTTTATTCTCATTAATGACACGTACTATATTTAATGAACTAAATTTAGTTAATTAGATCAAGATAATTTACCCTAATTAATTTAAATTTAAAAACGCTATTTATGCGTAATAAATTTGATTAACCACTTAAATTACCTTAAACTAATTAACTAATTTTTAATTAATTTAAATTTCTGAACGTTTTATTCTCTTTAATTAAACATACTAAATTTAACTAACTAAATTTAGTTAATGAGATTAAGATAATTTACCCTAATTTAAACTTAAAAACGCTTTTTATGCATATTAAATTTAATTAACTACTTAAATTACCTTAATCTAATAAACTAATCTTTAACTAATTTAAATTTCTGAGGTTTTATTCTCATGAATGACACGTACTAAATTTAATTAAATAATCCGTGTTCAGCGCTGTGTGGGTTCAGAAGAAAGTTATTTTGAAGGTGACAATATAAGATTGTAATTAAAAAAAACACTTATCATTTAATTTACAGACCTCGTCTGATAATGACGTAATACTTCCAGGTAAAAGTACTACTCTGTTGGGTCTGGTCCAAGCGCTGTCCACCCACCTGAAACTGAACACCTTCGCGACGATGCGTCAACCTTCTCAGGGTCCCACCTTCGGGATCAAAGGTGGCGCTGCAGGTGGAGGTTACTCTCAGGTGATTCCCATGGAGGACGTCAACCTGCATCTGACAGGTGACATTCACGCTATCACGGCTGCGAATAACCTGCTTGCCGCGCAATTGGACGCCAGGATTTTCCACGAGGCCACCCAAAAAGATGAGGTCAGTGCTCTTCTTTTTTACGGACCAGAGAAAGAAAATTCGGGGATGAAATAGTATGTTCTCGGGAGAGCGTTACTCAAATGTATTTCACGTAATATTTATGGAATGGGTTATTTTCTAGCCAAGCAACAGAGAATAAAGGTTATTTACCCACATCAATTAAAGAATTTAATCAAATATGCGACATGTCACAAGTTTAATTAAACTTCGATTTCAGTTTACTTCCATCGTTGAAACTAGTTTTATATCGGTAAACGTAAACATTGTATGCCCGACTGCGAGTAACAAAGCGTTATTTTCTGCGCGCTTGTAGAAAAAGAGCATTTTAGGAAAATTTGTTCGTACTTCATCGATATTGATAGTTGTCACTACATTGATTTCAGGCGTTGTTCGACCGTCTAGTACCGAAAATTAAAGGCGTTAGAAAATTCTCCAATATTCAACTGCGACGGCTACAGAGAGTAGGAATTAACAAAACTGACCCTGACAGTTTGACGCCAGAAGAAAAAGTGAAATTTGCCAGACTGAACATCGATACTAACAACATTGTTTGGAACAGAGGTGAGTAGTGCGTTCCAGTAAAAGTTACTTCAAAATTCAACGACATTGTTTTTTGCCTTTTTGAAAAACCCTTCTTGAGTCCGTACTTCGAGTTGATCTAAAAATGCCTTTTTCTATTATCCGAAAAATGTTCACATCAACATAACATCAAATGTTTTCGGAATCTTGATTGGGTGAACATAGAGTCAATCTACTCGACGGCAGGTAGTTTATGTCGATGCTGCTCTGTTTTCAAGCATCTGTACAGGAAATGCCTTTTTTTATTACCCTAAAAATGCTCAAATCAACATAACATCAAATGTTATCGAAATCTTGACTGGGTGAGCATAGAGTCAATCTACTCGACGGCAAGTGGTTTATGTCGAATACTGCCCTGTTTTCAAGCATCTGTACAGGAAATGTCTTTTTCTATTATCCGAAAAATGTTCAAATCAACATAACATCAAATGTTTTCGGAATCTTGACTGGGTGAATATAGAGTCAATCTACTCGACGGCAAGTGGTTTATGTCGAGTATTGCCATGTTTTCAAGCATCTGTACAGGAAATGCCTTTTTCTATTACCCGAAAAATGTTCAAATCAACATAACATCAAATTTTATCAAAATCTTGACTGGGTGAGCATAGAGTCAATCTACTCGACGGCAAGTGGTTTATGTCGAATACTGCCCTGTTTTCAAGCATCTGTACAGGAAATGTCTTTTTCTATTATCCGAAAAATGTTCAAATCAACATAACATCAAATGTTTTCGGAATCTTGACTGGGTGAATATAGAGTCAATCTACTCGATGGCAAGTGGTTTATGTCGAGTATTGCCATGTTTTCAAGCATCTGTACAGGAAATGCCTTTTTCTATTACCCGAAAAATGTTCAAATCAACATAACATCAAATTTTATCAAAATCTTGACTGGGTGAACATAGGGTTAATCTACTCGACGGCAAGTGGTTTATATCGAATACTGCCCTGTTTTCAAGCATCTGTACAGGAAATGCCTTTTCCTATTATCCGAAAAATGTTCAAATCGACATAACATCAAATGTTATCGAAATCTTGACTGGGTGAACATAGAGTCAATCTACTCGACGCCAAGTGGTTTATGTCGAGTATTGCCATGTTTTCAAGCATTTGTACAGGAAATGCCTTTTTCTATTACCCGAAAATGTTCAAATCAACATAACATCAAATGTTATCGAAATCTTAACTGGGTGAACATAGAGTCAATCTACTCGACGGCAAGTGGTTTATGTCGAGTATTGCCATGTTTTCAAGCATCTGTACAGGAAATGCCTTTTTCTATTACCCGAAAAATGTTCAAATCAACATAACATCAAATTTTATCAAAATCTTGACTGGGTGAACATAGGGTCAATCTACTCGACGGCAAGTGGTTTATGTCGAATACTGCCCTGTTTTCAAGCATCTGTACAGGAAATACCTTTTCCTATTATCCGAAAAATATTCAAATCGACATAACATCAAATGTTATCGAAATCTTGACTGGGTGAAAATATAGTCAATCTACTCGACGACAAGTGGTTTATGTCGAATATTGTCCTGTTTTCAAGCATCTGAAAAGGCAATGCCTTTTTCTATTATCCGAAAAATGTTCAAATCAACATAACATCAAATGTTTTCGGAATCTTCACTGGGTGAACATAGAGTCAATCTACTCGACGGCAGGTAGTTTATGGCGAATACTGCCCTGTTTTCAAGCATCTGTACAGGAAATGCCTTTTTCTATTATCCGAAAAATGTTCAAATCAACATAACATCAAATGTTTTCGGAATCTTCACTGGGTGAACATACGGTCAATCTACTCGACGGCAGGTAGTTTATGGCGAATACTGCCCTGTTTTCAAGCATCTGTACAGGAAATGCCTTTTTCTATTACCCGAAAAATGTTCAAATCAACATAACATCAAATTTTATCAAAATCTTGACTGGGTGAGCATAGAGTCAATCTACTCGACGGCAAGTGGTTTATGTCGAATACTGCCCTGTTTTCAAGCATCTGTACAGGAAATGTCTTTTTCTATTATCCGAAAAATGTTCAAATCAACATAACATCAAATGTTTTCGGAATCTTCACTGGGTGAACATAGAGTCAATCTACTCGACGGCAGGTAGTTTATGGCGAATACTGCCCTGTTTTCAAGCATCTGTACAGGAAATGCCTTTTTCTATTATCCGAAAAATGTTCAAATCAACATAACATCAAATGTTTTCGGAATCTTCACTGGGTGAACATACGGTCAATCTACTCGACGGCAGGTAGTTTATGGCGAATACTGCCCTGTTTTCAAGCATCTGTACAGGAAATGCCTTTTTCTATTACCCGAAAAATGTTCAAATCAACATAACATCAAATTTTATCAAAATCTTGACTGGGTGAGCATAGAGTCAATCTACTCGACGGCAAGTGGTTTATGTCGAATACTGCCCTGTTTTCAAGCATCTGTACAGGAAATGTCTTTTTCTATTATCCGAAAAATGTTCAAATCAACATAACATCAAATGTTTTCGGAATCTTGACTGGGTGAATATAGAGTCAATCTACTCGATGGCAAGTGGTTTATGTCGAGTATTGCCATGTTTTCAAGCATCTGTACAGGAAATGCCTTTTTCTATTACCCGAAAAATGTTCAAATCAACATAACATCAAATTTTATCAAAATCTTGACTGGGTGAACATAGGGTTAATCTACTCGACGGCAAGTGGTTTATATCGAATACTGCCCTGTTTTCAAGCATCTGTACAGGAAATGCCTTTTCCTATTATCCGAAAAATGTTCAAATCGACATAACATCAAATGTTATCGAAATCTTGACTGGGTGAACATAGAGTCAATCTACTCGACGCCAAGTGGTTTATGTCGAGTATTGCCATGTTTTCAAGCATCTGTACAGGAAATGCCTTTTTCTATTACCCGAAAAATGTTCAAATCAACATAACATCAAATGTTATCGAAATCTTAACTGGGTGAACATAGAGTCAATCTACTCGACGGCAAGTGGTTTATGTCGAGTATTGCCATGTTTTCAAGCATCTGTACAGGAAATGCCTTTTTCTATTACCCGAAAAATGTTCAAATCAACATAACATCAAATTTTATCAAAATCTTGACTGGGTGAACATAGGGTCAATCTACTCGACGGCAAGTGGTTTATGTCGAATACTGCCCTGTTTTCAAGCATCTGTACAGGAAATACCTTTGCCTATTATCCGAAAAATATTCAAATCGACATAACATCAAATGTTATCGAAATCTTGACTGGGTGAAAATAGAGTCAATCTACTCGACGACAAGTGGTTTATGTCGAATATTGTCCTGTTTTCAAGCATCTGAAAAGGCAATGCCTTTTTCTATTATCCGAAAAATGTTCAAATCAACATAACATCAAATGTTTTCGGAATCTTCACTGGGTGAACATAGAGTCAATCTACTCGACGGCAGGTAGTTTATGGCGAATACTGCCCTGTTTTCAAGCATCTGTACAGGAAATGCCTTTTTCTATTATCCGAAAAGTGTTCAAATCAACATAACATCAAATGTTTTCGGAATCTTCACTGGGTGAACATACGGTCAATCTACTCGACGGCAGGTAGTTTATGGCGAACACTGCCCTGTTTTCAAGCATCTGTACAGGAAATGCCTTTTTCTATTATCCGAAAAATGTTCAAATCAACATAACATCAAATGTTTTCGGAATCTTGACTGGGTGAACATAGAGTCAATCTACTCGATGGCAAGTGGTTTATGTCGAATACTGCCTTGTTTTCAAACATCTGTACAGGAAATGCCTTCTTCTATTATCCGAAATATGTTCAAATCTACATAACATCAAATGTTATCGGAATCTTGACTGGGTGAACATAGAGTCAATCTACTCGATGGCAAGTGGTTTATGTCGAATACTGCCTTGTTTTCAAACATCTGTACAGGAAATGCCTTTTTCTATTATCCGAAAAATGTTCAATTCTACATAACATCAAATGTTATCGAAATCTTGACTGGGTGAACATAGAGTCAATCTACCCGACGGCAAGTGATTCATGTGTTCGATTTTGTTTTTAGGTGCTAATTTATTTGTTACTTTTGCAGTTTTGGATATCAACGACAGGTATCTCAGAGAAATAACGATAGGACAGTCACCGACAGAAAAGGGTCTGACAAGAAAGGAAGGATTTGTGATCAGTGTGGCTAGCGAAATAATGGCTATATTAGCCTTGGCTAAAGACATGAGAGACTTCAAAGACAGGCTCTCAAAATGGTGGTGGCGTTCGACAAATCAGGTATTATAACCTATAATATTGTCGACAATAGCCTACTTGACTCTTATCTGATTTCATAGAATAAATATTTCATGATGTGACGTCATAAAAATGGTAAACAAAGTAACGTCATTCGTGTGTCCCTCGTGGACTAAACTTACACTGATAAACACAGGATTTGTGGCATGACAATTTTTGGGTGTATCTAATGTATGTTGAGATCCTTAAATCAAATCCAAAAATATAACAATTTTTTCAGGCAAACCAGTAACAGCTGACGACATTGGGATGACAGGAGCACTGATGGTCTTGCTAAAAGACACCATAGAGCCTACGTTGCTGCAGAGTTTAGAAGGATCTCCGGTATTTCTGCATGCCGGACCTTTTGCGAACATTGCACACGGTTCAAACTCAATCATTGCCGATAAGATCGCTCTTAAGTTGGTTGGTGAGAAAGGATTCGTCTTGACAGAGGCTGGATTTTCATCCGATATTGGTGAGCAATAAACGCTTGATTTGAAAACGATTATTTTCGGATAATAGGATCTATACAGATTCATATTTTTACTCGGCAAATAGCACATATAGTAGCGGACAAAAGTTTGGAAACAAATATGTTTTCATACTTCTGTCATCTCATTTTCGGCCATAAAATAATATGAAGGTATTTTAATGCTAGTCAGCAAACAAAAATTGTCATTTGTATCCTCAAGACGTAAGCAATACTATATGAGAAAAAAAATAGTCCTTAATAATAAAGAATAAAAAATTACGCACTTTTTAAAAATTACTAAGGTTATTTCCAAACTTTTTTTGGTTAAAATATCAATATATAAAATAGATACATTGCGGTACACCAAATAAATATTTTTTAATCTGGATAATACATATCCAATTAAGGTTTTTTGACTTATGTGAATTGAATAGTTTTGTAGTATTTTAAATACAGTTAATTTAAATCCATATTGATGCAACTTTGCAAGTAATTTATCTCTGTCATTAGTTTCAAATGCCCATTTGAAGTCCAAAAACATTGTTTGTTTCTTCCTAAATCCAGCTTGAAACTTGATTTTTATTTCCCTCGACGAATTTGCTGATCTGAATAGCAACAACTGTTGGAACTGTAAAGCGGTAGAATAGACCATCATCTACTACATCGCCCAAATCGACGGCATCCAGCGGTCACAGTGATGGCTCTGCCAAAAGAGAATACCATCACAGGATGAGTTTTATATGCTACGTTAGCATGTAATTGTTATTAAATATTTAGGCAACAGGTTTTCTGTAGAATTGTAGATGCTTTTAGTTGGTAAAACTGCCATAATACGATGGATTGATACATTAAAGAAGTTCTGACTAAGCTTATCCGATAGTACGGTTATTAGTCACAAATATTTTCCATGCATCTCCCATTGACACAGAAATATATTTATTCTCTTTGGTTTGAGATGCATAGACTTATTATATATATCGTGCTCAACTGAACACACCTAGTCAAGTTTTGTATCAGACGCCGTAGAGTTAACGAACTTTTTTTTACGTATTCTTTCTATTTTGTTTGTGTTGACCTACGGTTAAATATTTACACGACCTTTAAGTGACGTCTTCTAAATTTAGGTATGGAAAAGTACTTCAACATAAAATGCCGGGCATCAGGCGACATACCTACCGCTGTAGTTCTAGTAACAACCGTCAGAGCGCTGAAAATGCACGGAGGCGGACCTGCCGTAACCCCTGGGGCTCCGCTTGCCAAGGAATATACAGAGGAAAATCTGGAGCTGTTACGCAAGGGTATTCCGAACGTTGCAAAGCACATTAGCAATGCTAAGAAGTTTGGAGTGCCGGTTGTTGTGGCTATCAACCACAGAACGTAAGTGCAAAGTTTAAAAACTTAAACGAGAACAAAAAAATATTTTACTCTTGATTGACCAGTGACCATTGACTGAACGTGTGTTTGTGATTTATTGAGCATTGATCAATACAGGACGAAGCAAGGTTCACAGCGTTGTGAAAAAAATATTTCGATCTGTGTCCCTTTTGAGAAAGCAGCTCTTTTATAGCTAAGAAGAAACCTGCATATTTGAGACAACTCTATTTCTGATTCCAGGACAGATTCAGACGCAGAAGTGGACTTGCTAAGGAACGCCTGCAGGGAAGCTGGTGCGTACGACTGCAGTGGTGTCCAAACATTGGGCAAAAGGTAGGAGAGGGAGCAGTGGATCTGGCCAAGGCACTCGTCAAGGCCACTGAGAACCCCAGCCAGTTCAGATTCCTCTACGAGCTCAACAGGCCTGTGAAAGAGAAGATTGAAACTATTGCAAGGGAGATGTATGGAGCTGCCGAGGTGACTTATTCGGAAGTTGCCGAGAAGAAGTTGAAGACATATGAAGAACAGGTTTGTTTAACACGCATTGCTTTTTGGTTTTGCATTTTATATGTGTAACATTTTGTGTTGTGTTGAAACTTTCCTTTTCTTAACTCCGACATTGTTCCTCTATCTGTACAAGGCCCAGATACAACCCAGCTTCGACAACTGCTCACATGTTTGGGGTGCTGCCGCCCTGACTAGGGCTTCAGCCTGCGCGATTGATTTGGTGTAAAAAAGATAATACAGCATATTTATCTATCTATTCCAGGGCTTTGGAAACTTGCCAATCTGTATGGCCAAAACACCCCTATCGTTGACCGCTGATCCGAATATCAAGGGAGCTCCGACAGGTTTCACGTTACCAATAACAGACATGTCAATTTCTGTAGGAGCAGGATTCATCATACCTCTTACAGGAACGGTAAGGGAATAATTTAATTATTATCTGAATCATTATTTCGTTGTTTGTATTTGAATATATATATATATATATATATATATATATATATATATAATATACGAAAATCAGTTTCCAGGAGGAAACGTTGCATAAACTTTCAAAATTTCACAGCGTATCATTGAATTATCTAAGAAAAAAAGTAAACAGTTTAAAATCAAATAACAACTGTGCCGAAATCACTACTAAAAACGTGCTGAAAAACTGTTTCGAAATTTTGGGATATCCTGTATTAAATTGGATCAATTGTTCACTGAGAAGCAGTTCTTTTCCTGAAAATTTGAAATGCTCTACAATAACACCAGTTCCCAAAATAAAAAATTCTAAAAGATGCAGCGATATGAGACCAGTAAATGTGTTACCAGACATTGAAAAATTATTAGAGTCCATAGTGCATGACGAATTAATGCAGTTTATAGAAGAAAACAAAATTTTAGTGGAGGCGCAAGAGCCATCGACTCGGAAGAAGTTGTCATAGCAGTATTTTTGGATTTGAAGAGGGCATTTGAAACGATTGATAGAGATATTTTGTTAGGTAAATTTTAAATGCAAAATTCAGATTTTCAACGATGATCCTATGATTTATATAAGTACTAAAAATATTCAGTCTGCTATCTCTTATATAAATGAAGACTTGAAACTTGTCTCAAAATGGTTAGCATCTAACAGACTAAAATTAAATACAAGTAAAACGAAAGCCTGTTAATCGGAAAAAAACAATGTACAAATGTTCAACTGAATATTGATGGTGAAGATATTGAATTCGTAGAAAATTTTAATTACCTTGGGGTTTTTGTTGACTCTCGATTAATTTTTGATATTCATTATGAAAAAGTTATAAATAAGATTAGTAGTAAAGTGGGATATTTAGCGAGAGTTTATGGATGTCTCAAGTCTTTTAATACCACGCACTTTTAGAGGTAACTGACGTTTTATTATTATTATTTAATAATTGTTACAGATTTCAAAAATGCCTGGACTACCAACGAGACCCGCAATCTACGATATTGACCTTAATATTGAAACAGGAGAAATTGAGGGACTATTCTAAGCCTAAATATAAATTGTATATTACACAATATCTGTATAAGTTTTAACAAAGAAAAATTAGCAAGTTTCTGGTTTTCATTCTGATTCGGTACGATTACACTTTTGTTCCGGAAGTATCAAGAATCTCAAGGTTTTTTGCGACGTTAATTCTTCCTTAAATCCATGCTGCGACATCGTCTACTCCCGGTCGAGATATTTGCCCAATAATATTGAGAAGCTAATTTCACCAGACTATTTCCATCAATCCACCCGACGACATCAACTAACTCCGTTTTGTGTATGCCAAAAAATCTTCACCAGACCGTTACCGTTAATGCTCTCGAAGATATCAACGACTTCAGTTTGATGGGCTTGCCAAATAATCTGGCGAAGCTAATTTCACTATCCTATAATTTTTAATCCATCGACTAATCTCGTTCGGGGTGTTTGCCAAATAATGATGAAAGTAATAATGGTAGGAAAAACTAAGCCCGCGAGTGTAGGCGTTTTTCCCAGTTTCCAAAGGTGGCATTGGATTTGACCTTAACCATGACATTCAAGGTCATTCGAAGGTTTGGTCGATTTTTAAATGGAACCATCCATCTTTGACCCCGTAAATAAAGAGCGGAAAATTTTACATTCAAATATGGTCTTGACCATTCTTAAATTTTGACTTTGGGAGGTCAAGGTCAAACCCAGGTACGGTGATATAACTTGAAAGTCAGTATGCGTATAGAGAGACATTATTTTCGGATATCCAATGGTGACCTTCGATTTGACCTTGGCCATTACCTTCAAGGTAATTTGAAGATCAACTCTTTTTTTAATAGGACCCTTATACGTTGTAAATGTAAACTTTTTTGTTCGCTTGACCATCTTTAGAACTTGACCTTGGACCATACAGAAGTTTACCTAAGTTTCTTAGTAATCCAGAAAACTGTGTAATCCCCAGATAAATTGACTTCACTGTTCTTTTAAAAAAATCATTGGAGGTGATCATGGTTAAGGTCAGATCCAAGGTCATTAACGTATTTCTTGGGAAAATAATGAAAATAATATATCTGTAGCTTCCCTATACGACTACTGCTTCTCAAGTTATATCACCGTACCTGGGTTTGACCTTGAAAACGACCTAGGGTAAAAATTTTAACGTGAAAATTTTGACCTTAGGAGGTGAAGGTCAAACTCAGGTACGGGGATGTAACTTGAAAGCCAGTAGTCAAACAACCGAGACATTTTCGCATATCCAATTGTGTCCTTGGATCTGACCTTGGCCATTACCTTCAAGGTCAACGTTTTTTTTGATAGGGCCCTCCACGTTTGACCGCGGAAATGGAGACAAGTTATGTTCGAATGTCCTTGATCATTTTTGGAACTTGACCTTGGACTTGATCATCAAGACCAAACAAAACTTTACCGTAGTACTTGATAATTCAGAAAACAGTGTAATCCCCAGATAAACTGAGTTCACTGTTCTTTTAGGTTTTTTCCTGGCTAAAAAAATTTACTTGACCTTCAAGGTGATCATGGTTAAAGTCAGATCCAAGGTCACCATTCTATATCCGGGATAATCATGAAAATAATGTCTCTGTAGCTTACCTATACGACTACTGCTTTCCAAGTTATATCACCCGGTTTGACCTTGAAAATGACCTAGGATCAAAATAAAAAAAAATGGAAAAAATTTCAATGTAAAATTTTCCACTCTTTTATTTACGGGGTCATTTGAAGGTCAAGGCATTTTTTAAATGGAACCCCCTATTTTTGACACCGAAAATAAAAAGAGCAACAAATTTTATGTACAAGTAAATCCATCACCTTCACTATAACTATCAAGGTCGCTTGAAGATCAAATGAATTTTTAACGGGTAAGGTATTTTTAATTGCTGAAATGCAAATTGTGGCCGATTTCAAGTTCAAATCTATCATTACCAATGAACCTGAGGACCTTCAACCTCATTTGAAGGTCAAGGCATTTTTCTTAAATGGACCCTATTTTTGACACCGAAAATAAAAAAGCAACAACTTTACGTACAAGTACATCCATCACCGTGTCTATATCGATCAAAGTCGCTTGAAGATCAAATGAATTTTTAACGGGAAAGATATTTTTAATTGTTGAAATAAAATTGCGGATAATTTCAAGTTGCATATTTTATTACCAACGAACTTGACCATGACCTTCAACCTAATTTGAAGGTCAAGGCAGTTTTCGTAAATGGACCCTATTTTTGGCACCGAAAATAAAAAAGCAACAAACTTTACGTACTAAGTATATCCTTGATCTTGACTATTACCATCAAGGTCACTTGAAGGACAAATGAATTTTCAACGGGAATCATGTATTTTTAATTGCTGAAATTCAAATTGCGGACAATTTCGAGTTCAAATATATCATTGCCAATGAACCTGACCTTCAAGGTCATTTCAAGTTCAGATAAGTTTTCACGTAAACTTACTCTCTGCCAAGGTTGTAAAAAAGTGAAATTAATGAATTGTTGCATTAAAATGTTGGATAAAAAAAGTTCATTGCCTAATCTATTATTAATTTGGATATTGTATTCCTTTCTCCAAAACCAATCTCCTTCACACTGGTGCAAAACGGGCGCGGTGTTTGTTAAGTAAGTGTGCGAAGTCAATATCACCAGACTGTAATCTTTAATCCACCCAACGACAACTCCCATTTGAGGTGTTTGACAAATAATATTGCAAACATAATTTCATCACACTGAAGATATTTATTGCTTCCATCCAGGATGTTTGATCAAGAAACTCCGACTCCTGTATTACGGTTTTACCTTGGCGCTGGCTGGAATATAAAAGCCCACTAAAGTTCAACAAGTTCTTTATTATAAAATAATTAAATTCACATTACTAGTCGCTCGATTAACAAAAATATAACAATTTTATTTTCTAATTGTAACCGACAATTTAACGTCTTCCACCGCTTATTCAATATATTCCACTTAAGCTACGTTCAATATTTTTTCAAAATTACATATCACACTTTACAAACGATTTTTGATTTTATCACATACACATTTCAATGAACATGAAAAGATTGCACAGAGATATTTACAACATCTAAAGAAACAGGAAGCAAGGTAACAAATGTTTAAAAAACTTGAGATTCACGGAAACACTAAATTAAATAATATATCAAACACTGGTAGAATTAAGTATTCTTAACAAATACTAGTCTAGTCAAAACTTATACAGGGTGACCCAACGAAAAGGTCGCAGCCCCATTTGAGGCTCTCCTGGTATATTTTGGGGAAAACGCTCGCAATTTTGATTTCTAGACGGACATACAATACAGGGTGATCAAAAAATAAGATATTGCGTTACGCTTTAGATTTTGAAATGGAAACCCCCCATTTTTTTTTATTTTCCATGGAGTTTTTAGTAACTTTTATAATAAAGTTTATAACTATCTTCAATCGTTTTGAAGCTATTTGAGTTTGATATAAAATACGACTAACTTCATCGTTATAGAAAAACTTTGTTTTTCATTTCAAATTGTTAATGTTAAAATAATAAACTGTCTACAAACTAATCGCTTTAAAGCTGTATAACCAAGCTTATAGACTTATTTTCCTGGTGAAATAATACTAATTTGATTAGCGGATCTAAAAATAAAGTCACCTTTAAATAGTTCAGTCTTAAAATTAGTTCAGGAAAGTTAATGCCGTTTTGGATTTTCAGTAGACATTTGAGCCTAGATTCTTTACAAGCTAAAATTGGAAGTTTTCATTACGAAAAATATGCCTTCGTGAGGTGAAAATCGACGAAAATTTTAAACGACCGCTCCGTGGTTTGTGAACATATCCGAATTATTACTATACACCATTTAATGTTCCTCCATATTCTCACCGATTAAATTCAATTGCCTAAAATTTTTAATTGTTATAATACTAGATATAACATCAAGTCCGACTGATAAAAAAGTTGTACTTTATGGTGAAAAATCGATATTTCTCACAAGCATTAGACTTAGAGATAGTTTTTTTGTTAGAATTATTTTGTATATTTTTTAAATCCATTTTGCTATTAGAGTTTCTATATAATCTAATACAATTGCAATTGTGATATTTGTATATAATATGCAATTTTAATGTTTATACACAAATATCATTATAAACAACCGATATTTCGTTTAAAAGCAATAATCAAAGCAATAGCATAACAATACATTTAAAATAATACGATGAAGACTGGACTATTAACTTTAAAAAGCTATTGGCTATTTAGAACATTAAAACAACAGAATTGAACTTTGACTTAAACACTTGATAACATTAAAAATGAACGTTTTTAAGCATTGAAAATGGACATTTTTAGATTTTTGTCAGACAATAATTCTAAGGCAATAAACTTTTTTGTTCAGAATTATCCGAAAAACCTTTGTCCAGAGCAAAAATACCATTTTTTTAAGTCGTTTGGTGTTTAAATTATAGTTCTACCCTGATTAAGGTCGCATATCCCGTTTTTCAACTACCTGTTCATTTGATTATATCGAGGTTAAAAAACAATGTTATCAATTTTTTTGTCAAAAATGCATTTTCTGTGCATTTTATTGTGATGTTTTTCATCAATCGTAACTTGTGAACAAATAGTTCAGCTCTAAAACTGTATGTGAATATTCCACTTTTATGGAAGGATCAAGCGAGTGGTTGCTTTTATTCTGATCACTTTTTATCTTTGCTTTTCCTGAAGCAAATCGAGTTGTCAAGAAAAGCATAAAACTGGAATAATCACATACAAATTACGATTGAAGAAAGAATGCACAAAAAATGAATTTTCCTGTTGAAAAAAAGGTCCATGCAACGTTTAACGTTCGAAAAGCTCCTACGATTCTCGACCTCCCTAATCAAACCTAAATACCTAACGCGTGATCCGCATCATGAAGTGCCGTACTTGCCGTTTTCGAAAACGCCCTTTCTGAAAAAGGGCGAGAAGCTAATCAAGGTGGCCTTCGTGATGGGCCCTCCGTAGGCCAACGGGCAAGTCGGGTGGTTCTTGCAGGCTTCGATCAGCCTGCGCAGGTACAGTTCCAGCTGTCTCTTGCGAGACTGCGCTAACCGCTTCCGTGTTCGCGAACAGAGTTTTCGACGGAAACGGTATGGAAGACACCTGCGAAGATATTGAAATAATTCGATGCGCAAGTTTCGCAATAAAACACTAGATTAAAAAATCTGTCGCTACAAATATTTAAGAAACATTTTTTTAAAATATTTAATGCTATCGGGGCAGCTGGTGACATTTTTGAATTAGTAATCACTTACTTTGTCTCTGTACCGCGCCTTCATAGCGAGATGAAGGTCTCTAAATCGACTGTATCTCCTAAGTATAGTCCACCTATCATCTGAGGTGCAAAGCCTGACTTCGTATTCGTAGTGCGTTTTGCTACCCGCTCCTCGTATGCAGTAGCTTGTTATTGACACTATTGAATCACAGTCTGTATCTAAAAATTAAAATTGTGTCAAAAACAGGAAACATACGGCAGCGGTTGTTGCCGATTAATGACTCCGACAGATTTATTAGAAACTTAAGACATGACCGCCAATCTAACAACTACCATCTACTTCTAGCTTTCCAGATGGATTCAGAAGGAAAAGTAATTTCGTACAAATGCTGCAAAAAGTTTGATAGATAAAAACACTTATCAAAAATTAGCTTTGTCTAAAAAAATGAAGTTTGCCCTCCTGTATCTAGTCTTCATCCTTGTAGCCGATTAACGATTCCGACAGATTTAATACAAACTTAGACATGACCGCCAATCTAACTACTACCATCTACTTCTAGCTTTCCAGACTGATTCAGCAGGAAAAGTACTTTCGTACAAATGCTGCAAAAAGTTTGATAGATAAAAACACTTATCAAAAATTAGCTTTGTCTAAAAAAATGAAGTTTGCCCTCCTGTATCTAGTCTTCCTTCTTGTAGCCGATTAATATTCCGACAGATTTGAATAGAAACTTAGACATGACCGCAAATCTAAATACTAACATCTACTTCTAGCTTTCCAGATGGATTCAGAAGGAAAAGTAATTTCGAACAAATGCTGCAAAAAGTTGGATAGACAAATCAAAATTTAGCTTTGTCTAAAAAAAATGAAGTTTGCCCTCCTGTATCTAGTCTTCATCATTGTAGCCGATTAACGATTTCGACAGATTTAATACAAACTTAGACATGACCGCCAATCTAACTACTACCATCTACTTCTAGCTTTCCAGACAGATTCAGTAGGAAAAGTAATTTCCTACAAATGCTGCAAAAAGTTTGCTAGACAAGAACACTTATCAAAAATTAGCTTTGTCTAAAAAAATGAAGTTTGCCCTCCTGTATCTAGTCTTCATCCTGGTAGCCGATTAACGATTCCGACAGATTTAATACAAACTTAGACATGACCGCCAATCTAACTACTACCATCTACTTCTAGCTCTCCAGACTGATTCAGCAGGAAAAGTACTTTCGTACAAATGCTGCAAAAAGTTTGATAGATAAAAACACTTATGCAAAATTAGCTTTGTCTAAAAAATGAAGTTTGCCCTCCTGTATCTAGTCTTCATCCTTGTAGCCGATTAACGATTCCGACAGATTTAATACAAACTTAGACATGACCGCCAATCTAACTACTACCATCTACTTCTAGCTCTCCAGACTGATTCAGCAGGAAAAGTACTTTCGTACAAATGCTGCAAAAAGTTTGATAGATAAAAACACTTATCAAAAATTAGCTTTGTCTAAAAAAATGAAGTTTGCCCTCCTGTATCTAGTCTTCCTCCTTGTAGCCGATTAATATTCCGACAGATTTGAAAGAAACTTAGACATGACCGAAAATCTAAATACTAACATCTACTTCTAGCTTTCCAGATGGATTCAGAAGGAAAAGTAATTTCGAACAAATGCTGCAAAAAGTTGGATAGACAAATCAAAATTTAGCTTTGTCTAAAAAAATGAAGTTTGCCCTCCTGTATCTAGTCTTCATCATTGTAGCCGATTAACGATTTCGACAGATTTAATACAAACTTAGACATGACCGCCAATCTAACTACTACCATCTACTTCTAGCTTTCCAGACAGATTCAGTAGGAAAAGTAATTTCCTACAAATGCTGCAAAAAGTTTGCTAGACAAGAACACTTATCAAAATTAGCTTTGTCTAAAAAAATGAAGTTTGCCCTCCTGTATCTAGTCTTCATCCTTGTAGCCGATTAACGATTCCGACAGATTTAATACAAACTTAGACATGACCGCCAATCTAACTACTACCATCTACTTCTAGCTCTCCAGACTGATTCAGCAGGAAAAGTACTTTCGTACAAATGCTGCAAAAAGTTTGATAGATAAAAACACTTATCAAAAATTAGCTTTGTCTAAAAAAATGAAGTTTGCCCTCCTGTATCTAGTCTTCCTCCTTGTAGCCGATTAATATTCCGACAGATTTGAAAGAAACTTAGACATGACCGAAAATCTAAATACTAACATCTACTTCTAGCTTTCCAGATGGATTCAGAAGGAAAAGTAATTTCGAACAAATGCTGCAAAAAGTTGGATAGACAAATCAAAATTTAGCTTTGTCTAAAAAAAATGAAGTTTGCCCTCCTGTATCTAGTCTTCATCATTGTAGCCGATTAACGATTTCGACAGATTTAATACAAACTTAGACATGACCGCCAATCTAACTACTACCATCTACTTCTAGCTTTCCAGACAGATTCAGTAGGAAAAGTAATTTCCTACAAATGCTGCAAAAAGTTTGCTAGACAAGAACACTTATCAAAAATTAGCTTTGTCTAAAAAAATGAAGTTTGCCCTCCTGTATCTAGTCTTCATCCTTGTAGCCGATTAACGATTCCGACAGATTTAATACAAACTTAGACATGACCGCCAATCTAACTACTACCATCTACTTCTAGCTCTCCAGACTGATTCAGCAGGAAAAGTACTTTCGTACAAATGCTGCAAAAAGTTTGATAGATAAAAACACTTATCAAAAATTAGCTTTGTCTAAAAAAATGAAGTTTGCCCTCCTGTATCTAGTCTTCCTCCTTGTAGCCGATTAATATTCCGACAGATTTGAAAGAAACTTAGACATGACCGAAAATCTAAATACTAACATCTACTTCTAGCTTTCCAGATGGATTCAGAAGGAAAAATAATTTCGAACAAATGCTGCAAAAAGTTGGATAGACAAATCAAAATTTAGCTTTGTCTAAAAAAAATGAAGTTTGCCCTCCTGTATCTAGTCTTCATCATTGTAGCCGATTAACGATTTCGACAGATTTAATACAAACTTAGACATGACCGCCAATCTAACTACTACCATCTACTTCTAGCTTTCCAGACAGATTCAGTAGGAAAAGTAATTTCCTACAAATGCTGCAAAAAGTTTGCTAGACAAGAACACTTATCAAAAATTAGCTTTGTCTAAAAAAATGAAGTTTGCCCTCCTGTATCTAGTCTTCATCCTGGTAGCCGATTAACGATTCCGACAGATTTAATACAAACTTAGACATGACCGCCAATCTAACTACTACCATCTACTTCTAGCTCTCCAGACTGATTCAGCAGGAAAAGTACTTTCGTACAAATGCTGCAAAAAGTTTGATAGATAAAAACACTTATGCAAAATTAGCTTTGTCTAAAAAAATGAAGTTTGCCCTCCTGTATCTAGTCTTCATCCTTGTAGCCGATTAACGATTCCGACAGATTTAATACAAACTTAGACATGACCGCCAATCTAACTACTACCATCTACTTCTAGCTCTCCAGACTGATTCAGCAGGAAAAGTACTTTCGTACAAATGCTGCAAAAAGTTTGATAGATAAAAACACTTATCAAAAATTAGCTTTGTCTAAAAAAATGAAGTTTGCCCTCCTGTATCTAGTCTTCCTCCTTGTAGCCGATTAATATTCCGACAGATTTGAAAGAAACTTAGACATGACCGAAAATCTAAATACTAACATCTACTTCTAGCTTTCCAGATGGATTCAGAAGGAAAAGTAATTTCGAACAAATGCTGCAAAAAGTTGGATAGACAAATCAAAATTTAGCTTTGTCTAAAAAAATGAAGTTTGCCCTCCTGTATCTAGTCTTCATCATTGTAGCCGATTAACGATTTCGACAGATTTAATACAAACTTAGACATGACCGCCAATCTAACTACTACCATCTACTTCTAGCTTTCCAGACAGATTCAGTAGGAAAAGTAATTTCCTACAAATGCTGCAAAAAGTTTGCTAGACAAGAACACTTATCAAAAATTAGCTTTGTCTAAAAAAATGAAGTTTGCCCTCCTGTATCTAGTCTTCATCCTGGTAGCCGATTAACGATTCCGACAGATTTAATACAAACTTAGACATGACCGCCAATCTAACTACTACCATCTACTTCTAGCTCTCCAGACTGATTCAGCAGGAAAAGTACTTTCGTACAAATGCTGCAAAAAGTTTGATAGATAAAAACACTTATGCAAAATTAGCTTTGTCTAAAAAAATGAAGTTTGCCCTCCTGTATCTAGTCTTCATCCTTGTAGCCGATTAACGATTCCGACAGATTTAATACAAACTTAGACATGACCGCCAATCTAACTACTACCATCTACTTCTAGCTCTCCAGACTGATTCAGCAGGAAAAGTACTTTCGTACAAATGCTGCAAAAAGTTTGATAGATAAAAACACTTATCAAAAATTAGCTTTGTCTAAAAAAATGAAGTTTGCCCTCCTGTATCTAGTCTTCCTCCTTGTAGCCGATTAATATTCCGACAGATTTGAAAGAAACTTAGACATGACCGAAAATCTAAATACTAACATCTACTTCTAGCTTTCCAGATGGATTCAGAAGGAAAAGTAATTTCGAACAAATGCTGCAAAAAGTTGGATAGACAAATCAAAATTTAGCTTTGTCTAAAAAAATGAAGTTTGCCCTCCTGTATCTAGTCTTCATCATTGTAGCCGATTAACGATTTCGACAGATTTAATACAAACTTAGACATGACCGCCAATCTAACTACTACCATCTACTTCTAGCTTTCCAGACAGATTCAGTAGGAAAAGTAATTTCCTACAAATGCTGCAAAAAGTTTGCTAGACAAGAACACTTATCAAAAATTAGCTTTGTCTAAAAAAATGAAGTTTGCCCTCCTGTATCTAGTCTTCATCCTTGTAGCCGATTAACGATTCCGACAGATTTAATACAAACTTAGACATGACCGCCAATCTAACTACTACCATCTACTTCTAGCTCTCCAGACTGATTCAGCAGGAAAAGTACTTTCGTACAAATGCTGCAAAAAGTTTGATAGATAAAAACACTTATCAAAAATTAGCTTTGTCTAAAAAAATGAAGTTTGCCCTCCTGTATCTAGTCTTCCTCCTTGTAGCCGATTAATATTCCGACAGATTTGAAAGAAACTTAGACATGACCGAAAATCTAAATACTAACATCTACTTCTAGCTTTCCAGATAGATTCAGAAGGAAAAATAATTTCGAACAAATGCTGCAAAAAGTTGGATAGACAAATCAAAATTTAGCTTTGTCTAAAAAAAATGAAGTTTGCCCTCCTGTATCTAGTCTTCATCATTGTAGCCGATTAACGATTTCGACAGATTTAATACAAACTTAGACATGACCGCCAATCTAACTACTACCATCTACTTCTAGCTTTCCAGACAGATTCAGTAGGAAAAGTAATTTCCTACAAATGCTGCAAAAAGTTTGCTAGACAAGAACACTTATCAAAAATTAGCTTTGTCTAAAAAAATGAAGTTTGCCCTCCTGTATCTAGTCTTCATCCTGGTAGCCGATTAACGATTCCGACAGATTTAATACAAACTTAGACATGACCGCCAATCTAACTACTACCATCTACTTCTAGCTCTCCAGACTGATTCAGCAGGAAAAGTACTTTCGTACAAATGCTGCAAAAAGTTTGATAGATAAAAACACTTATGCAAAATTAGCTTTGTCTAAAAAAATGAAGTTTGCCCTCCTGTATCTAGTCTTCATCCTTGTAGCCGATTAACGATTCCGACAGATTTAATACAAACTTAGACATGACCGCCAATCTAACTACTACCATCTACTTCTAGCTCTCCAGACTGATTCAGCAGGAAAAGTACTTTCGTACAAATGCTGCAAAAAGTTTGATAGATAAAAACACTTATCAAAAATTAGCTTTGTCTAAAAAAATGAAGTTTGCCCTCCTGTATCTAGTCTTCCTCCTTGTAGCCGATTAATATTCCGACAGATTTGAAAGAAACTTAGACATGACCGAAAATCTAAATACTAACATCTACTTCTAGCTTTCCAGATGGATTCAGAAGGAAAAGTAATTTCGAACAAATGCTGCAAAAAGTTGGATAGACAAATCAAAATTTAGCTTTGTCTAAAAAAAATGAAGTTTGCCCTCCTGTATCTAGTCTTCATCATTGTAGCCGATTAACGATTTCGACAGATTTAATACAAACTTAGACATGACCGCCAATCTAACTACTACCATCTACTTCTAGCTTTCCAGACAGATTCAGTAGGAAAAGTAATTTCCTACAAATGCTGCAAAAAGTTTGCTAGACAAGAACACTTATCAAAAATTAGCTTTGTCTAAAAAAATGAAGTTTGCCCTCCTGTATCTAGTCTTCATCCTGGTAGCCGATTAACGATTCCGACAGATTTAATACAAACTTAGACATGACCGCCAATCTAACTACTACCATCTACTTCTAGCTCTCCAGACTGATTCAGCAGGAAAAGTACTTTCGTACAAATGCTGCAAAAAGTTTGATAGATAAAAACACTTATGCAAAATTAGCTTTGTCTAAAAAAATGAAGTTTGCCCTCCTGTATCTAGTCTTCATCCTTGTAGCCGATTAACGATTCCGACAGATTTAATACAAACTTAGACATGACCGCCAATCTAACTACTACCATCTACTTCTAGCTCTCCAGACTGATTCAGCAGGAAAAGTACTTTCGTACAAATGCTGCAAAAAGTTTGATAGATAAAAACACTTATCAAAAATTAGCTTTGTCTAAAAAAATGAAGTTTGCCCTCCTGTATCTAGTCTTCCTCCTTGTAGCCGATTAATATTCCGACAGATTTGAAAGAAACTTAGACATGACCGAAAATCTAAATACTAACATCTACTTCTAGCTTTCCAGATGGATTCAGAAGGAAAAGTAATTTCGAACAAATGCTGCAAAAAGTTGGATAGACAAATCAAAATTTAGCTTTGTCTAAAAAAATGAAGTTTGCCCTCCTGTATCTAGTCTTCATCATTGTAGCCGATTAACGATTTCGACAGATTTAATACAAACTTAGACATGACCGCCAATCTAACTACTACCATCTACTTCTAGCTTTCCAGACAGATTCAGTAGGAAAAGTAATTTCCTACAAATGCTGCAAAAAGTTTGCTAGACAAGAACACTTATCAAAAATTAGCTTTGTCTAAAAAAATGAAGTTTGCCCTCCTGTATCTAGTCTTCATCCTTGTAGCCGATTAACGATTCCGACAGATTTAATACAAACTTAGACATGACCGCCAATCTAACTACTACCATCTACTTCTAGCTCTCCAGACTGATTCAGCAGGAAAAGTACTTTCGTACAAATGCTGCAAAAAGTTTGATAGATAAAAACACTTATCAAAAATTAGCTTTGTCTAAAAAAATGAAGTTTGCCCTCCTGTATCTAGTCTTCCTCCTTGTAGCCGATTAATATTCCGACAGATTTGAAAGAAACTTAGACATGACCGAAAATCTAAATACTAACATCTCCTTCTAGCTTTCCAGATGGATTCAGAAGGAAAAGTAATTTCGAACAAATGCTGCAAAAAGTTGGATAGACAAATCAAAATTTAGCTTTGTCTAAAAAAAATGAAGTTTGCCCTCCTGTATCTAGTCTTCATCATTGTAGCCGATTAACGATTTCGACAGATTTAATACAAACTTAGACATGACCGCCAATCTAACTACTACCATCTACTTCTAGCTTTCCAGACAGATTCAGTAGGAAAAGTAATTTCCTACAAATGCTGCAAAAAGTTTGCTAGACAAGAACACTTATCAAAAATTAGCTTTGTCTAAAAAAATTAAGTTTGCCCTCCTGTATCTAGTCTTCATCCTTGTAGCCGATTAACGATTCCGACAGATTTAATACAAACTTAGACATGACCGCCAATCTAACTACTACCATCTACTTCTAGCTCTCCAGACTGATTCAGCAGGAAAAGTACTTTCGTACAAATGCTGCAAAAAGTTTGATAGATAAAAACACTTATCAAAAATTAGCTTTGTCTAAAAAAATGAATTTTGCCCTCCTGTATCTAGTCTTCCTCCTTGTAGCCGATTAATATTCCGACAGATTTGAAAGAAACTTAGACATGACCGAAAATCTAAATACTAACATCTACTTCTAGCTTTCCAGATGGATTCAGAAGGAAAAGTAATTTCGAACAAATGCTGCAAAAAGTTGGATAGACAAATCAAAATTTAGCTTTGTCTAAAAAAAATGAAGTTTGCCTTCCTGTATCTAGTCTTCATCCTTGTAGCCGATTAACGATTCCGACAGATTTGAAAGAAACTTATACATGACCGCCAATCTAACTACTACCATCTACTTCTAGCTTTCCAGACTGATTCAGCAGGAAAAGTAATTTCGTACAAATGCTGCAAAAAGTTTGATAGATAAATCAAAAATTAGCTTTGTCTAAAAAAAATGAAGTTTGCCTTCCTGTATCTAGTCTTCATCCTTGTAGCCGATTAACGATTCCGACAGATTTGAAAGAAACTTATACATGACCGCCAATCTAACTACTACCATCTACTTCTAGCTTTCCAGACTGATTCAGTAGGAAAAGTAATTTCGTACAAATGCTGCAAAAAGTTTGATAGATAAAAACACTTATCAAAAATTAGCTTTGTCTAAAAAAAATGAAGTTTGCCTTCCTGTATCTAGTCTTCATCCTTGTAGCCGATTAACGATTCCGACAGATTTAATACAAACTTAGACATGACCGCCAATCTAACTACTAAAATCTACTTCTAGCTTTCCAGGCTGATTCAGTAGGAAAAGTAACTTCGTACAAATGCTGCAAAGTTTGATAAACAAAAACACTTATCAAAAATTAGCTTTGTTTAAAAAAATGTAATACGTCTTTACTTGTGAAAGATTGCACGGTATTTCTACAAGATAAATGTAACGAAGTTCAGTCAGAAGTGGGATTTCATTTACATGATAAGAAAAAAATGCAAAATAAAATTCAACGTTTAACAAAAAAAAACACTGGAGGAAGGGTCTAGCTAGACTATGCAAGAAAGTTATAATATTGAATATGTTTGCTATTTTTTATTAAATCGTTCTATACAAATGAAAAATTCCTAGCTTACTGGTTAGATTTAATGATTGCTTACAAAAATTGTAGTATTTCCACCTCCATTTCAACAATATTATATTATCGATAAAACGACAAATACGAGCATGCAAAGGAGAATCGGGTATTTCTGTATCTATAAGGAAGTAAATATTGGGGATTAAAATATTTTCAACAAATGAAGGGTAATAAAAACAGTTTCCTCTCATTCCGTAAATTAAAAAAAAAACTTAAGTTATATGATACTCTATTTTCCTTCTAAAAAACATTCTTATTCTTCAAGGAAAGATTACCCCTCAACCTCTCTCGCAATTTTTCCTAAAATTTAGAATTTCTTAACGAAGAAAAACGGAAATCCCAAAACTTGCGTGAGTAGTTCAAGAGGTGGCAACATTGGCACCTAAACACGGCGTTCGACAAACAATGGCACGCAAAAATAAAAAATACATACCTGTAGTAATGGAAGGCATCGATCTGTATAAAGTTTGATTGTACAACGCTAATCGTTGATTTTGTAGCTAAAAAAAAATAATGTTATCGTTAAGGTTTCAAATAATGGAATGCATAAAAAGTTCAAAAGCTCTGTGCCTACTTGTAAAGGTGGCGAATATAGTGCTGATGTAGAGCCAGTGTGAAGAGGCCTTATTGGACTGGGGCTATCTATGTCCTGCAATGGATGTTCAGAGGCTGGAGACAACGACGAGGTACACCCGTATTTCAGAGACATGTATTGTCTTTGTAACTCCTGCAAGACCTGTAAAGGTAACGTATAATTCAAAGAGAAACGGTCATGAATAATAGTACACTTGTCATCATCACTCAACTCGCAGAACCTGTAGTGCTTCTAGCCTTCCAAACCAAAGTGTATCATGAAACGCTGGTATTTTCACCTAATAGAGTAAAAAATAATATCGGGTTTTCCAATAGGGACTTGACAACTGTAAACTTTCACTGTGAACGCACATTTAAATCAATTGCCAAACAGTCAATGTCAAAACATTCAGCGAAGAAAATATTTTCAGCATGGTGAAGTTCTCGAACGAACAACGCTTACAAATCATAGAAATTTACTACCGAAATTCCGAGTCGGTGACTGTAACTTTAAGAGCGTTTACGCCAATTTTTGGACGTAATTCTCGCCCCAGTAGACAAGCAATATACAGTGGAATCCGCTTGTAATGAACTTGCTTATCATGGAAACCCGTATACAGGGTGTTTCAGTTTATTGTTGCATAACTTTAAGATTCGATAGAACTTTTAAAATTAATGCATAAAGTCTATATAAACATGGGTCGAAAAATGCGTGGCTTCCGAAATACAGGCTGTTTAAATTTACTTTCTAAAATAGTTTTTTTTAAATATTTCGAACAATATTTGATGCATAAGTGTGAAAATTGGTATAAAAGGGTTTTTTGGTACGACAAAACGAACCATGGGCATAGTTTTCCTGTCGCCGCTAGATGGCGCAATTTTCTCAGCGCAATTTTTTGCTTTTTGAATAAAAAACTGATTCTACGCACTTTTCTGCATAAAAAAGCTCTTCTGTGAGTTTTCGTTATTGTTAAATTTTTTCGGTCATTTTAATACACTACAGGTACAGTAGAGAGCGCCCTCTACCGGCTACAGTAAAACTATGCCCATGGTTCGTTTTGTCGTACCAAAAAAACCCTTGTATACCAATTTTCACTGTTATACATCAACTATTGTTCGAAATATTCAAAAAAAACTATTTTAGAAAGTAAATTTAAACACTCTGTATTTCGGAAACCACGCATTTTTCGACCCATGTTTATATAGACTTTATGCATTAATTTTAAAAGTTCTATCGAATCTTAAAGTTATGCAACAATAAACTGAAACACCCTGTATAATGGAACCAATTTACGATTCTATAAATAATTGCATGTAAAAGCAAATATATGTGCTCGTATGGCTGTAAAAAATCCACTGCGTCAGATATTTGGAAAAACCGTGACAAAATTAAAAATGATTGGATATCAAATACTCAAAAGAAAAAAATGCATCCCCAAGTCGATGATATGCTGTTTAAATGGTTTCACCAAAAGCGTTCTAATAATTTTCCAATAAGTGGAGCTATGCTACAAATAAAGGCTGAAGAATTTGGAAAACTGATTGGAGATTACTTCAAATGTAGTTCCGATTGGCTGGACAGGTTTAAGAAAGACATAACATTGTTTTTGAAACAATGTGTGGTGAGTCAGCTTCAGTTGACAAGAACGTTACCAATGACTCAAGTTTGGCCCGTAATATCCAGTGATTATTCAGATGATAACATATTCAATGCAGATGAAACCGGGATATTTTATAGAATGCTACCAGATAAAACTCATAAATTAAAAGGTGAAACTTGCAATGGAGGGAAACTATCAAAAGAGCGAATAACTGTTATGATTTGTGCTGATGCTTCTGGTACTGAAAATCGGAAACTATTGATAATAGGTAAGTGAATGAATAGAAATTCATATTATAATTTTTTGATATTCAGTGGCAGCGCTGCAAAGAATTTATGACCTTTTTTTTATTTCAGGAATATTTAAGAATCCCAGGTGTTATAAAAATGTTAAAACAATTCCCGACGATTATGTTGGAAATAATCATTAATTTTTGAAGCATATTTAAAAAAATTAAACGCTGAACTTGTTAAGAAAAATCGTAAAATTTTGCTCTTGGTCGATAACTGCCCCGCTCATCCAAATATTTCACTTAATAACATCAACCTTCAATTTTTTCCACCAAATAAAATTTTCGAAATATCTCGAATGGTTTGCGTTTTATTTAAAAAGAAAGTTGTCAAGTCCTTAATGGAAAACCCTCTATAAATACGTCTACTTACAGCTATTTGAGAGTCCAGTTGATTCTTTGGTATCCGATTATCTAAATTTCGGACTATAAGCTGTTTTTGCTGCGTTATTCTTTGTGCCAATCGTCGTATTAGCAAGTCCGTATCTCTACGCTTGTTCTTTTTGCTTACTGGAGAGCGATTTTCTATCGAACTTGTCGACTGAGAATCACTAACAATAACCTAGAAAGAGATGAAAAATAACTTGCAACGCGTAAAAATATGCAGAAAGCCCAACGAAAAGGTCGACTCACGGACACGTCAATTTTGATTTCTTGGGGGACGTCCTTTCATCTATAGCCGCACAATACAAAATTCAAAAATAAGATAATGCATTAAATTTTAGATTTTTAAATTTGTAGTTTTTAGGTTTTCCATTAAGTTTAAATTGTACGGATGAAAAGACGTCCCCGTAGAAATCAAAATTGACGTTTCCGAGAGTTTTTTCCAAAACATACCAGGCGAGTCACAAATGGGGGTGCGACCTTTTCCTTGGACCACCCTGTATAATCATAACATAAGTCAAGGCATTTTCTGCGCGGTAATTTCACATATTTTTTTGTAGTCTCTCACCTCACGAAGTGACGTAACTATACAGGGTGTAAACGTTACGGTAGTCATTTTTGAAATGGGAGGGTCAAACACAAGTCAAAAAATTCATATGACTCATGGTAAAAAGTCAATAGATTTTTGTCTAAATGGCTTTATAGTTTACAACTTTAAGTGCTTTATATCGACCAGAATCTTACTGATTTACTTTTACGCGAGACGGCATACGAGTATTAAATTTCCATAATACTGACACGTGGGCTCAAGAAAATCCTCATACCATTCGGGAAGGTCATTTCCAACAACGTTTTAAAATAAATATTTGGGCGGGTATTCTTGACGATCAGGTAATTGGCCTTTTCGAGTTACCCCCAAAGTTTTCAGGAGAAGGATACCTTAGCTTTCTAGCCAATAACACTGATCAACAGCCAAAAAATATCCTAAATAAAATCAACAAAATATTACTATTTTTAATGTGCTAAAACCGGAATCAAAATTATTTTTTCAATATTAGTTCAAGTTTTAGAGATACGGTAATTATATGTGTTCCTGCTGTGACAGTGTTAGTATACTGTAATTCACAAGAATGCACGTGCTACATTTTTATATTCGGCAAGGAAAGATGATGTAATCGGCATGATTGTGTTACGTTATACATACGTGTACATTATATTGTTTTATATTAGCCATTTTTTCCTCAGTTGGCTGACAGCGTTCATGCAAGATGTCTCGAAAGTGTGTAAACAATCCAGATCAGTTTTGTTACGTGTGTGGTGATGTGACTTTTGCGTCTCAGAGACGGTCTATTACTCCACTAATAACAAAGGCATATCAGCTTTATTTCGGTTGTAAACTAGGTGATCAAGACAAACAGAGGGCACCCCACATCTGCTGTAATACATGTGCTTCAAGTCTGAGGAGCTGGTTAAATGGCAAAAAACGGTCTATGCGCTTTGCTGTCCCAATGGTTTGGAGAGAGCCTACAAATCATATTAATGATTGTTACTTTTGCATGGTACCTTGTGTTGGACAAGCCACAGGTATGTCCAAGAAAAAAAAATCGGTTATTAACTACCCAAACATACCATCTGCGATGAGACCTGTGCCTCACAGTGACGAAAATCATATTCCAAAACCCCCAGAATCCTACACTTGCGAATCAGAAAACGAATCAGATCATGGCGATCGAGTGATTCGTCAGGAAGAAGATATGCCATCAACGTCAACAGATCCTGATTTTATACCGAGCACGTCATGCCACCAACCGCACAAAATAACACAGTCAGAATTAAATGATCTTGTAAGAGATTTAGAACTTCCAAAATGTAAGGCAGAGTTACTTGGATCAAGACTGCAGCAGTGGAACTTGTTAGAAGACCATGTTTCGGTATGTGTTTTTCGTAAACGCCACAAAGACTTAGAACCATTTTTCTGCAGTAACATTAACGGCTTACTGGCGGCTTTAAATATAAACTATAACCCAGAAGAATGGAGATTGTTTATAGACAGTTCAACATTGAGTTTAAAGGCAGTGTTATTGGAAATATTTTACCATCTCTTCCTGTAGGGTATGCAGTTCACATGAAAGAATCATATGACAATATGAAGTACCTATTGACATGCATAAAATACGATGAGCACCAATGGCATATTTGTGGCGATTTGAAAATTGTTGCACTTTTACTTGGGCTGCAGCTAGGCTACACAAAGTTTTGCTGTTTTTTGTGTGAATGGGACAGTCGGGCAAAGGCACTTCATTACACCAGACAAAACTGGCCTGTTCGTCAATTCCTAGAGCCAGGTCAAAAAAATGTACAGCATATGCCATTAGTAGATTCGAAAAAAAATTTATTACCACCACTGCATATCAAGTTGGGCCTAATGAAAACCTTTGTCAAGGCATTAGATAGAGATGGGTCAGCTTTTCAATACCTGCGTCAGAAATTTCCAAGACTAAGTGAGGCAAAGGTTATAGAAGGTATTTTTGTTGGGCCACAGATTCGAAATATTTTGAAAGATACCCAGTTTGAAAACACTTCAACAGGTATTGAAAAAACTGCTTGGAATGATTTCCGTCTGGTGGTCACTAATTTCTTGGGAAATAGAAAAGCTGACAACTATAAAACCCTTGTCAAAAATATGATGTCATCGTATCAAAAGATGGGCTGTAATATGTCTCTTAAGATACATTTCCTACACTCACACCTGGACTTTTTTCCTGACAATTGCGGAGCCGTAAGTGATGAGCACGGCGAACGTTTTCATCAGGATATTTCAACAATTTAAAAAAGGTACCAGGGAAAGTGGAATCTTTCCATGCTTGCAGACTACTGTTGGACTCTTGGTAGAGATGCTCCAGAAACGATCCATAAAAGAACAGCAAAAAGATAGCGCATATAGTGATTCTTATAAGTATATGAATCTTGTTACTTTTTTTTAAGATATCCTTAAAAATAAAAAGTTTTCTTTTTTACACCGCAACTATTTTTTTTATTTCATTGTCATTTTTGGATTCAGCGCCTCAAAATTAACAAAGAAGTGCACTTTTCCCACAAGATACAATTAAAAAACTAAAATTTGTTGTCCAGTGTAACCTACCAGAAATTTTGGAACAGACCTTAGACAACATGCCATTACAACCGAGACAGAATTTGTGCTTTCTTCATGATGGGGCACCACCACACATTTTTAGAGGCGTCATTCAGTCTTTGAATGAACATTATCCAAATCGCTGGATCGGTAGAAATGCTCCTGATCCTCGAAAATGGCCAGCAAGATCTCCTGACCTCAATCCGATGGATTTCTGGTATTGGGGAGAACTTAAAGGGATGGTTTATGGGGCTGGTCCAACAACAACTGAAGCACAACTTCGCGAAAAAATTTTAATGCGGCTGAAATAATAAATGGACAAGAAGAAACTGGGTTTTTCGTAATGAAGCTTGTGTGGGAAGTGGAGGACGTCATTTTGAACACCTACTTTTAATACAAAAAAGAGCAGTGTGGGGTTTAAAAAGAAAAACAATGTGTTCCCTATTTATAAGTGGATTTTTTTAATACGTTCAATAAACTTTCACACACGATTTGAAGCGCTGAGACAGTTAGTGGTAAGTCCGTTTTTTTGCATTTTACGAGTACATTATCAAATAATGAAATAATACCTAAGAGCCAAAAATAACAAACTCCATCTTTACACTGCGTTCGGTCGTAATTTGCGTCTGGCATTGCGGCGTTGTCAGATTTTATTTTACTTTAAAGTCGCTGCTAAAAAATCAGTATGTCATTTTCAATCTTATGATAGAATCAAGAGGTGTATCTTTTTTAGTAATGGTGCCTACTCACCCGATCCTCGTTACTGGACAAATCACTGTCGTCGTGCGGCCTGGAGGACGGTCTCAACTCCACGCCGCTATCGCTCATAATATAGTCCAACTTAGCACCGCTTGGAACAGGCGAACAACTATCGGGCGCCGTGTGATAGGTATCGCTGCTCAGGGTGCCTGTACGAGGATCGCTACTCGGGTAGTTCACTTCGCAAGAATCCGGACTCTGGACGGAGTTTATTCTTTTCAGGTTCAGGGTTAGGCTGCATTTGGGACGAATTGTGAGATTAGAATCAATGGAATTAGACAATCTTTTCCTCATTACTGATATGTGATACAAAATTACTGTAATACGTTTATGTTATATCGATCTTTTCTAATCCTTATCAATCAATTTATTGTAACTGGCAGATTCACAGTTCGGATTTAGGAAAGGTGTATCTACCAAAGGTGCCATGAAATTATCAGTAGATGACAACTAAAAATATTGATAACAATCCAACAATGGATCCATCAACTTACAAAAAGCATTTGATGATCACGAGAAACTATTGAATAAATTAGAAGACATTGGAATTATACTAAGTGACATATAAATCCGAACACCCAGTTTAAATGGTTTTATTTTAATAAAAGTTGGTGAATGTATTTATCTTACTGTAAATAACAAGTGAAAATTTTTTCCGCCTTATCAGTTGGACATTCCGGTTTTTATACTGCTTTTTTTCAATTCACTAACGCTCTAAAAATGAATATTTCAGCCGCAGTAAAGAATCAACGTTGGCGGATTTTGTTTCTTGACATCCTTTACGATCGGTTACGATGCCTAGAGTACGGAGACCTGTACGATTTCGTCAACTTGGTGAGTTTGATAGGGGCCGTATAGTGGGACTTCGGGAAGCTGGACCTTCTTTTAGGGCAATTGCTGTTAGAGTGCAAAGAAGTGTAGCCACTGTGGTTAAGTGTTGTCAGGCATGGCTTCGAGAAGGCCGTACGCAAAGAGCAAGGGGCACTGGACGCCGCCGTAGAACAACAGACCGTGAAGATCGCCGCCTAAGATTATTGGCCTTAAGGGACCGTTTCTCCACTACCAGGTCCATTGCAAATGAATGGTTTGCAGAACACGGAAGACCTATTGGCATGCGAAGTGTTTACCGACGAATGAGAAGTTTTGGCTTGTTTTCATACCGGCCACACTGTGTCCTCCCTTTAACTCGAGAACACCGACGTAATCGCCTTGAGTGGTGCAGACAACGGTCACTCTGGGATCAGGAATGGAACAGTATTGTCTTTAGTGACGAGTCTCGATTTTGTTTAGGCATGCACGATGGTCGTGCCAGGGTTAGAAGGCGACGTGGTGAAAGGAGGAATCCACAGTTTTTTGTTGAAAGACATGTTCATCACACTGTTGGAGTTATGGTTTGGGATGCTATAGCTTATGGTTCCAGGTCACCTTTAATCTTCATCAGAGGTAACATGAACGCGCAGCGTTATATCCACGAAGTTCTAGAACCCCATCTTTTACCCTATCTTGACACCCTGGCAGATCCAACTTTCCGACAAGATAATGCCCGACAACATGTTGCAAGAGTCACAATAGACTTCTTTCAACATAATGATGTCACATTGTTACCATGGCCACCAAGATCTCCCGACTTATCCCCAATTGAACACGTGTGGGATATGATGGGTAGGAGATTGCTCAATTTGCAACGTCCTCCTCAGACTCTAGAAGCACTTCGAGAGGAGTTGGTGGTTGCCTGGAATGAGATACCACAGGAGGACATTGACCACCTGATCAGAAGCATGCCTAGGCGCGTTGGAGAATGCGTAGCACATCAAGGTGCATCCACACATTATTAAAGATCAAAGGGCTTTAAAGCAGTGCAATCATTTTGAAATTTTTATCATTTACTTATTATGCTTCATTAAGTACTTATACAAAATTTTATTAAAATAAAACCATTTAAACTGGGTGTTCGGATTTATATGTCACTTAGTATATTTCAAAATTGTTTGGATAACAGAAAACATAAGCACAAGATTGAAAATACAATTAGTAGGGTTGAGAAAAAATATGTTTTTCAAGAAAAAACTTTTTTTGTTTAAAACTGTATTTTTTTTGTTTAAAACATTCAAATTTAGCTAAAAAAAAAAACATTTTTAAAACACTGTTGATACATGTTTAAAATAGTAAAAATAAATAAAAAAAGTTGCTCGTTTGAATAATGCTCCATGACGGCTAATCGCGTGGTCTGGACATGACAGCTGTCTTCAAGTAAACACCATACCATTTGTACAAAAAAAGACTCCCTGACTTGACTTGTTCAAAAAATTGGTGGGAAAGACATTTTTGAAAAGCACTGTAAGAAAATCTATTATTTACTTTTGGTTTGTCATATTAAAAAACGACAGTGCCTGGTAGTTGTTTTGGGAGTGCATGTTACAGGACCGTTCAGACTATTGTGATAACACGCTGTATAGGAATGCGAAAAAGGGAAAAAAGAAATGAAATATCACCTGGAAGACAGAAAACAAAATATATTGTCAAATATATCAATTTAGCTTGAAAAAGACCACAGTGGTGGTCGAAACATTCTACAATAAATACAACGAAATTTAAAGATATATTTGGTTTTTTAGGCCAGAAAATTTTTTTTGATGCATACCACCTGTTATTCATAGATAAAAGAGATGGATATCGTTTTTGGGCGCAAAATAGACATTTTTCTCGAATGTTTTGTTTTGAAATATCCCATTTATATCAGTTAGCATACTACAAACATTTTCTAGCATAATATCCCGCACAACCACAACAGTGTTTCCCTAAAAACAAATAATCTCACCCCTGTTTCTTCTCTTCAATCCTCCTCAATTCCTCGACTGTTCTTTTGGACAGTTTTGCTTTCAAATTTTCCAATTCTTCCTCTTTATTTTCCTGTTGGCACATAGACTTCTGCTCGTCAACTAAGTCTACAATTTTTTTATCTAATAACTCCACACTTCTCTGTCTTTCGCATAGAGTTTGTACTCTTCTGTTTAGTTCTGCTTGCAATTCAGCTAATTCTTTCCTCTAAAACAGAAGAGGAAATACACCGAAAGGCACTAAAACCTAGGGTAGGTCATTCTTCCTAAATAGTGTTTTGGAAGAATATTAGAGATAAAGAATTAATAGTCATATTACACGAAAATACCTCCGGCTTTCGAAATAATTGTAAAGTCTGGTTTAATTGCTGCGAGTTGTTCAAGGGGGTATTTAAAACATGGACGCATAAAATGGGTACACCAGTTTTTTGTGGGAAAACTTTTTACTCGACAACAAAGAATGAGAAAACGTGTTTTTGGGATTCAATCGAAAGTGTTGACCGGAACGAAAAAATTCTGCAAATAAGATTTTCAGGTATATATAAATACTAGAAAAATAACTTACATGTTTTTCTACTAAGTCCTGTATAATGGAAGATCCTTGTACATTATTTAAAATATCTATTAGACTATCATTTTCATGTTCTGATAAAGCTACATTCTCTGATTTCGATACCAAATCCTAAAAACATCATATCAATAAAAGATAAAAAAGATAAATGTATGGCAAGTTCTGACTATCTAAATATCACTGTAATGCGATGAGTAACACTCATAGGGCAGGGGCCGGCAAACCTTTTGAGACGAAAGCCAAAAATTACAATTTACAAAAACCAGCAATTGCATTTGAAACGAACCAGCATTAATTCCAAATGTTCATCTCATTTATATTTTTGTTGAGGGGATTTACTATGAACTGGAGAGCCGCAAATTACACATCAAAAGAGCCGCAGGTTGCCGATCCCTGTACTAGAACCAATATAGGATTAAATAACACGTTCACTGATAAACGTACATGTATTCAGAAATTCTGTAAAGAGACTCAAAAGTCACTTGAATTGTTAAATTTATTGTAGCTAAAATTTGTCCTTTAAATATTGTTGTTATTAAGAACAGTGTTTTAAATACAGATTAGAGAACTTTGTTTCCTATAAAATTTGAAAAATTGATTATTGAATAAAGATTTGTTTAAAAAAAACCGAACGACTTTTTTTGTGTTGTTGTTGGATGCCCTGAACTCTACCACATTTATTCAGCAAACCCAATTTTATAAATACAAGAAATCATATATATATATATATACACATACAGGGTGTCCGCAAAGTTGGGGTTTTCCTTTACACGACGTGTAGATCTTGAAAACAAGCAATTTTTCTTAGTACCATATACACCAATGTCTTAAGGGAACCGAGATAAAGGGTTCTGCAACATCAAAAATATCTGAATACCGTCCTGTAGCCGCGACATCCCCGACTGGTACTAGGACACTAGCTCAACCCGACGACAGAACTGGGTCGGGGTCAGTGTATCAGGTCAGTATGCAACCTTCAACCGACGGTTACGGTCACGCGTCTAGAGGTAATCCCTCAACAAGCACCAGAGACGTGGCTAGAGAAGTGCAAGTATCAAAAATTAAAGTGTGGCAAACGCTGCGTGAAGAGGGGCTGTATCCGTTTCACGTCCAACGTGTACAAGCCCTTCAACCTGACGATTTTCCAGCAAGAGTGCGGTTTTGTGAGTGGTTGTTGCATCAACATGACAATAATCCGGACTTTTTGAAGTGCATATTGGTGACAGACGAATCTACGTTCACGCGTAATGGGGTGAATAACTTTCGCAACACTCATGTTTGGTCAGTAGAAAATCCGCACGCTGTCCGTCGGGCACATTTTCAACAAACATTTTCGGTGAATGTTTGGGCTGGCATGGTGCGTTTGCTCGGTAGCGCATCAGCTGATTTCATTTTCTGTTGGAGCGGTATGATTTCGGGCAGAAACGTACTTCGCCCTTCTCGTCAACTGGAGAGTGAGTACTTTTTCCTTTATTTTTTTTTACTTGATCGCCCTCGTTCCACTACACATCACCTTTGTTATTTCAAGGGTAGTTGTTTCTGAAAAGGAGAACCCCAACTTTGCGGACACCCTGTATATATAAAAAACAGCAAGGTTTCTCTATACGAGTTTAAAAACTTGTATGCGCAAAAACAATCCAATACATTAATATCGTAGTTGAACAAAATTCTTAATATTTTATTTTGCGAAACTTTCGGTTTCACCCCGCATTCCCCAAATAATATAATAATAATAATAATATTTATTCACTCAATGTACAAAGATAACAAACAATATGAGTAAATAAATATAAAATCAAAACAGGCCCAATAGAAGGCATCGCCTGTACATGGACCAATAAATTTAAGTTGAAACTGTAGAATGCAAATGACAAAAAAGGACAAAAATTAGCTACAGTAGATTATGTATTTAGTTGATGTTCGTATTTATGAGTTTATGAATTTCAGTCCTAGATATATACGTAGAATGTAGCCACTTTTTTAAATTTCTTTTGAAACAATTTCCGAAACGTAAATCTTTTAAGTCTTTAGGTATAATTTCATAAAATTTAGGCGCTAAATAGAGATATGATCGCTGCATTATAGATTTATGCGGTTGAGGAACTACTGTGCCACGAATTTTGTACCTGGTATAATGATTATGTTTAATTTTTTGGTCGGTGTTTACAAATTTATGGTAGTGAGTGATACTGTGTAAGAAATAAAGCTGTCTTATATCATACATTCGAACATCTGCGTATAATTTTTCAGTGGGATAAAGTTTCGGTTTTTTAAATATCATTTTTAGAATACTTTTTTGAAAAACATCTAAATTATAGATATGTGAGGAACATGCAGCTCCCCATGCTAATATACCATATGTGAGATGAGGCTCAATCAGTGCATGGTATAATGTTCGAAGATATTTTTCTGTCAATATATTCCCAAGGTATTTAATTTTGTAGGATACAAATCTAACTTTCTTTAAAATATAATTGACATGGATGTCTCATCGTAAGTGAGGATCCAAGACCACTCCAAGGTATTTTATGTTGGGCACTCTATTAATTTGGATTTTTTGATCATTAATATTGAAGGAGAAATTTGTGTAATTTGGCAGATGTCTAGCATAAGATCCAAATGATAAAAAATGTGTTTTAGAGTAGTTAATGCTTAATTTTCTACTGTTAAACCACCGAATAATTTTGATAAAATCATTTTCAATTACATTTTTCAGATCAGACCAGTCAGTGCCTTCATATAATATTGCAGTATCATCTGCAAAACTAGTTATTTTGCCAACACAATTAATTTGGAAAATATCATTTAAATATATATTGAATAACAGCGGACCTAAGACAGTTCCTTGTGGGACACCACACTTAATGTACATTTCTTTACTAAATGATCCTGATATCTGCACAGATTGTGGGCGATTTGACAAATAACTTTCGATCAGTGAGTACGCGTTTCCTCTGAAACCAATTCTCTCCAATGCTTCTAATAATAATTTGTGATTAACTGTGTCGAAAGCTTTCTTTAAATCAACAAAAATGCAGATTGAAGGGATTCTGTTATCAATATTTTGATGTATTTGATTTACAATTTTAGTTATTGCGTCCGATGTAGCCTTCCCTTCTGTAAATCCATATAGATTTTCACTTAAAATTTTGAACTTTGTGAGGTATCGAATCATTCTAGTAGATAAAACTTTTTCAAAAACCTTGCTACACTGGATATTATTGATATTGGTCTATAGTTGTTAACATCTGTTTTTGCTCCTGATTTATGTATCGGTATTATATTACCTTTTTTTTAAAATTGAGGGATATATGCCAGATTCAAAGCATTTGTTGATTAGGTAAGTGAGTGGTTCTGTTATGTCCTCGGCTATAATTTTCAAATGCTCGCTTTTAATACCATCGAACCCAGGACTTTTCCGATTTTTTAAGGACATAACAGTGGTGTATACTTCACATTGCTCGACTTTATCCAAAATAAATGAGTTCAAAGTTATTTTTGGAGGCTGAGTATTTTGTACATTTGCTTGTATATTACTTGCTAAATTTTCGCCTATGTCAGTAAAGAATTGTACAAATTCATCGCATATCTGTTGAGTATTTTTTAATACTGTTCCCGATGTTGTATTTAACTCAGTGACACACTCTTTAACTTTTGTTTTCCCAGTAATCTCATCAATAGTTGTCCAAAGCTGCTTAGGATCATTTAAGTTATTATTCAATTTATTTAGGTAATGTTTTCGTTTGGTTTGCCTTACAAACTCTATAAATTTATTTTTATATTGGTAACATATATCGTAAGTGTGCCAATAAAAATATATTATAAATGTTTATTTTCCTGTTTGTAGTTAGGTAGTATCTGCTTCTGTACAAAGCAGCTATCATCGATCTTGTTTTATCAAAAAAAAAAATTAATGTGACTCGACCAGGGGTCGGCAACCTTTTGAGACGGAAGAGCCGAAAGTTACAATTTACAAAAACCTGCAATTGCATTTGAAACAAACCAGCATCAATTTCATATGGCTCAATATTGATCTCATTTGATTTACTTTGAACTGGAGAGCCGCAGGTTGCCGACCCTTGTTATAGGGGATATAAAAAATACTGTAATAAAAACAATCCAATACATTAATATCGTACAATATATATTCTTGTAAAAAAAACATGAAACAGTATAGACAAAATTAAAGAAAATCATATGTTCTTTGTAAATCATAGATTTGACTTAAGATCACAGAAAAAAATTATATCAAAAAAAAAAAGAAACAAATAGGCAGATCATTCTACCTCAAAGCAACTTAAAATGAACGCATAAATTGTTCACGATTTTCCCAACAGAACATTTTAAACGGTACATTAATTTTTTTATTATCTTCAATATTCCTCTTAGGCAAATTTAAATCTCGCCTGGAGTGCGGGACGTTCAGGTCATGAGTTCTGTTTGCTCGGGTCATATATAAGATTTTAATATCGTTTATTTCTTGAGACTAAAGTTGCTTTTTTTAGAATAATCCTTACAATATGGTTCTGCACCACTTTTAACTGCCCATATTTGAACCGTACATCCCACACCATACAATTATGCCATATACCAAAAGGGACACCACAAGTGATTTGTAAATCATCAATATTAGTTTAATGTCAGTATGTTACGAAGAGCGTAGAATCTAATTTTTTTGCTCAAATACAGCACATGTCGGCCCCACTTCAAGTGCTTATCAAGAACAATCCCCAAATATTTCATTTACTTCTTTCAAAGGCTCATCTATATTATCAAGCTTAATTTGATTACATGCTGATCTATTAGCCATGGTTATAGAGAAGGCAATGTAATAAGTTTTTTTATATTCAAAGTTAATTCAAATGTGCCTAGAAGGTTTTTAATTTTTGCAAAGTCAGTCTTCAATTTTTCACCCGTTAATTCCCATGTCTCCGCATGAAACACCACCACGGTGTCATCAGCGTACGCAATTACATCGCCATCAACTGCAAGACTGCAGATGTAATTTACATATATATTAAAAAGAATCGGCCCAAGTACTGTACCTTGTGGAACTCCATGCTGAACCGTATTTGGTTCACTTAGAATGTCCGCAATGCTGACACACTAAATCCTATGCATTAAATAATCTCTCTAAATACATTCAGCACAACACCCCTAACTCCATGTCCCTCTAGTGCTAAAACAAAGCGATCCACTTATCACCGTTATTTAAATGACACATTATTTTAGACGCTAATTCGTAAACCGCATGTGAAGTACTTAAACCTTGCCTAAAACCAAACTGATTCTCAGGTAACAGCTTATTGGAGTCCAAGAATGCAACCAATCTACCCTTAAGGCATTTTTCAAATATCTTTGCTAAATTTGAGATTATACCTATTTACTATTGCAAACAATACAAAATTAACACAAAGGATCGCTTAAATAAACGTCAGGATTGAGTTGAAGTATCGCTGTAAGTAGTTTGTTATGGCATTCACAAATATAGCATGAGTAAACTATAGCTTTATTTGATATTCATTGACTTTAGCATCAAATAAGCCTCTACTATCTACAAGAAAGTTGTTCCAATTATTTTTTAAACCCTCAAAAAAGTGTAAACAAATGAATTCAGAACTTACCAAACACTAAGCAAGCCTTGTCGTGTCTCCAAATGTATCCAATAGGTAACATAACACTACAGAATCACTGCATATTAGCACCGTACACCACATTCGATCACGCAGATGTTTCTTTGTTTGTTTCCGACGCGCGCGACGTGTCGCCTCCGCGAGATCCAAAGATCGACTGAACATCAGCTGTCCGTTGTGCGCCGTACCGAAGCGCTCTCGATTACGTCACAGTCACATGTCCGTTGAACCACGCCCATCGTGAAGCTACCACATTTGCCAGCGGTGGCGTAGCTCCGCCCACCCCGCACGCCACTTTCCGCCTAAGATGTGATTGGCAGAGAGAAACGGACATGTGACTGACGTAATCGAGCGCGTTTCGGTACGGCCGGCACAGACAGCTGCTGTTCAGTCGATCTTTGGATCTCGCCGAGGTAACACGTCGCGCGCGTCGCGTACAAAGAAACATCTTCGTGATCGCATGTGATGCTTGACTTTCTCGTGGTGTACAGTGCTAATATGCAGTGATTCTGTGGTGTTATGTTACCTATTGGATACATTTGGAGGCACGACAAGGCTTGGTTAGAGTGTGGTAAGTTCTGATTTCATTTCTTTACGCTTTTTTGAGGGTTTAAAAAATAATTGGAACAACTCTCTTGTAGATAGTAGAGGCTTACGCTTATTTGATGCTAAAGTCAATGAATATCAAATAAAGCTAACGTTTACAACTGCCATGACGAACTGCTTGCAACGACACTTCAACTCAATCCGAGCGATCCTTTGTGTTTATTTTGTATTGTTTGCAATAGTGAGTCGTTCGTTTTTTTTAATATAACAGTAATGAAATTATTGAACATATAATGAGTCTACAATGTTTCATTTAAAATGTTCTGTTGGGAAAATCGTGAACAATTTATGAGTTTATTTTAAGTTATTTTGAGGTAGAATGATCTCTCTATCTGTTTCTTTTTTGTGATATAATTAATACGTTTTTTCCTGTGATCTCCAGTCAAATCTATGAATTGCAAAAGATATAAGATTTTCTTTCATTTTGTTTATACTGTGTTTCAAGGGTTGTACTGTGTTGAGTGATTTTATATATATAAAATTGGGTTTTGCTGAATAAATGTGGTAGAGTTCAGGGCGTACTGTTAACTCCGACAAAACAAATTATGCGATCTTTTGTGTTAATTTTGCAATAGTAAGTCGTTTTTATTTATTTCTTTGGAACAAATCTTTATTCAATAGTCAATTTTTACAAATTTTATAGAAAACAAAATTCTCTAATCTGGGTTTAAAACACAATATTTAAGGGGCGAATTTTAGCTACCATAAATTCAAGTGACTTTTGCGTCTCTTTACAGAATTTCTGAATACATGTACGTTTATCAGTGACAGGGTTATTTAATCCTTTATTGGTTTTAGTTGGAATCTGGTACAAATTATTATATGATCTTGTTTCATGTGTCAGAATGTTTGTATTACACTTTTGTTGGTTATTCCAAATTTTGAAATCATTTCAACTTGTTCTAACCCAAAAGCTCCATCTAGATTACAAACATTAAATCTGTGTAGGTAGGTACATATTATACGTGGTGGCAAGTCGGTCATCTGAATATTTTATTTTGCGAAACTTTCGGTTTCCACCCCGCCCTTCCCCAAATAGGGTAACATATATCTTAAGTTGCCAATAAAAATATATTATTGAATGTTTATTTTACTGTTTGTAGTTGGGTAGTCTCTGCTTCTGTACAAAGCAGCTATCATCGATCTTGTTTTATCAAAAAAAATTTAATGTGACTCGACCAGGGGTCGGCAACCTTTTGAGACGGAAGAGCCGAACGTTACAATTTACAAAAACCTGCAATTGCATTTGAAACGAACCAGCATCAATTCCATATGGCTCAATATTGATCTCATTTGATTTACTTTGAACTGGAGAGCCGCAGGTTGCCGACCCCTGTTATAGGGGATATAAAAAATACTGTAATAAAAAATGAAATGTAATAACGGAAAATAAAAAAAAATAATACCTGAAACAACTTCTTAGCTTGTGCAGAAGAAAACGTTATTTCATTGATATTGGAGGTAATCAACTGGCAAGCTTTTGAAAACTTTGATAGGACACCAGCATTAAGGTTTTTAATGGTGTCATATTCAAGATCTATCTAAAGAACAAAAATAAAATAACAAAAATTATTAAACAAGTAAATAAAGGATACATTTGTAAAGGGTTGTCCAATAGGGACGCAGGAAAGTAAACGTCAATTTGACATAGACGCCATCTTTGTTTTCTGTCACCGACATGTCATTTTGTTAGTTGAATGTTTACCATTGATCGCTATGGAGTCGTATCCGATTGAAGACCGCATTAAAGTTGTTCAAGAGCACTACAAAAATGGTGCAAAAATAAAAAACACGTTTCGCGCGCTTCGTGAACATTTCGGTCGCGACAACCGCCTAAACGAAACAACCATCGGTCGTCTGGTGCGTAAATTCGAGGCAACAGGTTCTGTGGCAAATCTGCCAGGCTCTGGCCGGCCAAGGAGCGTTCGCACACCGGAAAATATTGCTGTTGTGAAGGAGAGTGTGAGAGACGATCCGAAACAATCAACAACGCGTCGATCCCAAGAATTGGGCATTTCGAGAACCAGTTTGCTCCGCATTCTCCACAAGGATTTGAATGTACACGCCTACAAGATCCAATTGACGCAAGAGATGCGTCGGACCGACCATTTTTCGCGCCGAACGTTCTCAGATTGGCTCCTTGAACACCGCCAAATTGATGCCAATTTTTCATCAAAAATCATGTTCAGCGACGAAGCGCATTTCACTTTGAATGGGACGGTAAACAAGCAAAACTGCCGCAGCTGGGCGAACGAAAATCCCCGTGAGTGTCAAGAGCAGCCGATGCATCCTCAAAAAGTGACTGTGTGGTGTGCATTGCGGTCAAAAGGCATCATCGGACCTTACTTTTTCGAAAATGCGCCCGGGGACGCCGTTACCGTCAATTCTGAGCGATATCACGTGATGATAGAGGACTATTTTTTGCCGCAACTTGAAGGAATGGATATGGACGATGTTTATTTCCAACAAGACGGTGCAACATGCCACACAACCAACGTCAATATCCATCGATTGCAGTCCTTCTTCGGTGATCGCGTGATTTCGCGCAGAGGAAATGTGCCTTGGCCACCAAGATCATGCGATTTGACTCCCTTGGACTTCTTTTTATGGGGATATTTGAAAAGCAAAGTCTACGTCAACAAACCAGCCACCCTCCAAGAACTCAAAAACAACATCATTGCCGAGATAAATGACATAGAACCGACCATGTTGCAAAATGTCATTGAAAATTTCGACCATCGCGTGGACGTCTGTAAATCCAGTCGTGGTGAACATTTGAGCGATATTATTTTTCATACACAAATGGTATAAATGAACCTTCAAAATAAAGTACCCAACTTGATTTGAATATCAATCTTTCTTGTTTTAATATGCGTTTACTTTCCTGCATCCGTTTTGGACAACCCCAAAATAATAGAAAGATATATTAAACCACATTCAAGTAACGACATATTGAGGTATATTTTCCTCCAGTAAATTGACATAAAAAAAATTAAAAAATCACTTACTTCACCTAACACCCTTTGCCTTTCTTTCTCTAGCTCTTCTCTCCTTAGAATCAGTTCTCGTTCTCTCTGTTCTAGCTCTTGCTCTTTTCTTCTCTGCTGAGCTGACAGATTTTGCCAGTCTTCTTGCAACTGACGAGTCTGAAAATAAACATCGTTTACAACACTCGCAACAATTATAAAAAAATCTAGTTCTCACCTGCTCTGCATGTTCCTTTTTCACTACGTTCTTCTCGACTTCAAGCAAAGCTTGCGCTTTCTCCAAAGTTTTCCGACGCTGCTCGAAAGCTTCCTGCTTTTTCTCGAATTCTTCCTGCTCCTTTTCGAACAATTCCTTTTCTTTTTCCAAATTCTGTCGCTGCAGCTCGATATCGATTTTGTCTTCGTCCGCATTTCTAAAAGTAAAAATTGGTAAGCTCGATGCTTCTGTAGATGTCCCATTTAGTAACGTAAAAGATAATATTACATACGATTGCAAGTTTTCCATGGAAATGGCCAGATCTGGAGTCGACCAGCTCAGCAAGCTTAGACGCGACAAATTACGAGCCCTGTCACTTTTCCTTAGCTCTGCCGCTTCGGCTGGATCATTGAACCTGTGAAATATTTCATTATTTACCAGAAGACAAATTGAACCACCATTTAACTAAAAAGACGATGAGTTGACCATTCTGATTACCTGAAAACATGCGCTTTTCCCAAAAAGATTATGCACCCTTGCGATAGCCGGGCAGGCGATTCTAGAACGCAGTTGTTCAGCAACACCTGAGCTCCCGGGTGTGGAATCAAAGTCGCTACACCATTTTGGAAGGTAATGGTGCAATGCTTAGGTTCCATGCCCGCCCCTTTCAGTTCTATGTCTTGCTTGGTTTCGGCTTCTTCTGTACCTATCGTAGTTTCACCTTCCTGAGAAAAAGCAGGTAACACCTCAGTTGACAAACTTTAGGCAGAACGAATGCATTGACTTGCTAAATGTATACCTAAATTACGCGTCTATCTTTGAGTGTTTCCATTAAAAAAAAATGCAATCCTATCAGCGTTAAAGTAGAAAACGTTGACGTCTTACCTTCAAATGGTACAAAGTAACACCTGTAGATAGAGGATCGTCGTCTATGGCGACCAAATGTGGTCTGTCTGAATCTAGTACTACACCAGGCCCTGCTTTTCTCAATCCTAAAGCTCGTTGCTCTCTTAAAATAGCTTGAGCCTCTCGCCATTTACCTGCCCATTCTTCCGTTAGTTCCTGAACAAATATAAAAAATGGCGTAAAGTTGGACGACCAAGCAACTTGCTATGCGCACAACCCCCACAGATTTGGAAACATCCCAACTAACAATTATCACTCCTGTTAGAGTTGCAAGAATGATTATACAGTATTCCTTACACAGCATTGTATACTGTAAGAACATTGGCAAAACCCTCTTAGAACAGCTATACAAGCGAATTGGGCACACCTAATAGGATACTTCAGTCATTTAAGAGGTTGTATAAGGGCTGCAGGTAACAGTTATACAACAAAAGTGTAAGCCTCTTGCAGCCGCTATAGGACATTTGCATCAGTGCAAGATTCAGTTTTTGTCAACTATACAACTATTCTGTTACGTGATTCTACTTTATCGCAACCAAACTATTTCTTATGTATTGTATAGACGAAGTGAAGAATATATAACTAACAGAATACAGTCATCTTGTTTACTTACATATCGGCCATTGTGAATTTCATACACAGGTATATGATAAACTTCTACACTGTGATATAGGGCTATTGAATTACTTGCGCAGCAAATTTTATTGTGATTATAGTGCAAAGTAGTTACGCAATTTCTAAGGGTTTCGTATTTGATTCATATTTTGATAATGATCAAAAGTATGTCTAGATTTTAAAGATGGAAAACTGAACTTATCTCCGTTAAATCTTCCACAGATCCTATATTTAGACACAGTCACACTAATGTTTATCACTTTATATCTGTAATTTCGAACTGAAACATAATTATTTAATATCAAATAGAGGAATAAATGTTTGCCCAATATGGCGGGTGGTTGTGTATAATCATGGCATCGTCCATTTTTTTTTTTTATATCGAAACAGCCGCGCAGGCAGAAGCCTAAATGCCGGAACACCGCGGCTGCTATGATGATCCCAAAGGAATTTTGTTAATACGATTTTTGAACTGCCTAAGGTTAGTAGAACTGGGAAAAGCTTCCTCCCGTAGATTGTTCCACAATCTAGACACCCTCGGGACAAAGGAGCGGTCGTATCGGCCAGTTCTGGATGTACGAAGTTTGACACGGTTAGGATGGGACGCCGAAGTCAGGCGAGTCTGTCTGGCAGGCACATCGCGCGGCGGCATCATGGAAGAGAGCTCTGAGGAGCAAAGCCCGTTGGTGTAGCGATAGAAAAGAGCTAGATCGCCGACGGCCCGCCGGTGCGAAAGAGTCCCGAGACTGTCTGTTAGGGAAGAGTCATCGATCAGTCGGACCGCCCTCCTCTGGACAGCATCGAGCATGGACAATGTAGTCGGGGCGGCAGCACCCCAAATGTGTGAGCAATACTCGAGGCTAGGCCTTATCTGGGCCTTGTATAGAGTGAGAAGGTCATGCGGAGAAAAGTACTTCTTAGCCCTAAACAAATAGCCTAGCTTTTTCCCAGCAGCTGCAGCTATTGAAGAGATGTGTTCGTGCCAGATCAGGTCCTCGGTGATCTGGACTCCGACCAGCCGAAATGAATGGCTCTTTGGTAGAACTCGACCGTCCATCGAAACTGTATGAGCACTAGGACGCTTTTTGTTCGTCAAAGTACAGTACTGTGTTTTGGAAGCAATGAACTGTACAAGATTGTTGCGTCCCCAAGCAGTGATAGCCTCCAGGTCTCTTGTCAGAGAAGAAGTCGTCGCTAGTCTTCTTTTTTCCAGCTCAGCGGCAGAGATCGGCTTGTCACTCTGAATTCCTGCATGTAGAGTGCTGTCATCAGCGAAGCTGTGGATTGGGTTGATCGTGCAGGAAAGGAGGTCGTTGATATGTAAGAGAAACAGTGTTGGAGCCAAGACCGATCCCTGGGGAACACCCGCGTTGACGTTGTGGGATGAAGAGGAGAATCCGTCAATTACGACGGATATCTTGCGGCCAGAGATAAAGTCAGCCACCCATCTGCAAAGCTTTTCTGGGAGGCCGTAGGATGGAAGTTTGCTCAAGAGGGCAGCGTGCCACAGCTGATCGAGCGCTTTCGTGATGTCAAGAGCAACGACATGAGCCTCACCATGAGACTGGATGAGTTTACTCCACAGTTGCGTGACATAAGCTAGGAGGTCCCCTGTGGATCGTTGGTGCCGGAAACCGTACTGCCTGTCGCTAATCAAGCTGTGACGTTCGAGGTAGTCCAGAAGCTCGCGATTTATGCACCTCTCCATCACTTTACTTATAACAGAAAGCAGAGCTATAGGCCTGTAGTTGTAAGGGTCAGTTTTAGATCCTTTTTTTGGGATGGGCTGTACATGAGCAAATTTACAGTTTTCTGGGAAGGTGCCGGATTCATAAGATATCTGGAAGAGACGTGAAAGAACTGGAGCAAGCTCCGCTGCACATTTCTTCAGTACAATGGCAGGAATCAAGTCCGGACCAGAAGCTTTGTTGATGTCGAGCGACAAGAGCACTCGTCTTACGGTCTTATGCCTGAATGTTACCTCCCGCATAGTGTGGGGAACCCTTTGAATTGACGGCACTTGGGCGTTGGTGGGGACGTCCATGGTGGAGTTGGCAGCAAATATCTTGGCTAGCACTTCCGCCTTGGCCTTTGAGTCGAATACAATAGTTCCATCCTGACACGTAAGTGGTGGAAGGCTACTGTGTGAGAAGTTCTTTTCAATCTGCTTGGCCAGCGTCCAGAAAGACTGACTGCCATTGCGCTGCGACATTACCCTGTGCCTAACTTTTATATCATGCTGGTTTTTGGCATTGCGAACCGCTTCGTTATATTTGTTTCTGGACTCGACGTCGGCTTGTCTGTGCTCTACAGTGGGGTTTTGTAAGTAGGTTCTGTGGGCCTTGATCTTCTGTTGATCCATGTTGTCTTTAGTTTATTAGAATATTTTGGTGTTGCCTGCAGGTGTTATACAACAATTTGACAAATGTCAGAAATGAAATACCGACAGAGTCGAATGATTTACCTAGAATTTTTACCAGATCGATATCTTCTGTTTGAACAGTTGATAAAACCTTTTTAACCAATATGCATGCGTTGTTTTAAAACATTGGTTATGGCATTTTAACAAAAATATGACATCAGGGGTGAAGTTGTATACCAACATATTTAGCATATGTACAGCCTTTAACAGTTACTAAACAACAGTTGTATAAGTGCTTCCGATGGGAGCAATTTGTTGGCTAAAGTAGTAAATTTGCACAGCAAAACAAGGCTCGGGTTTGTTTTATAAACGTTACCATGGATGCCACAACACAAGCATTTTGACTAACCTGCAAAAATGCCGTATAAAATAGTTGTATAAACGTTTATGCAACAGTTAAAAATTTGTCCTATAAGGTGTTGTGTAACTATGCTATAAGAATATTTTAAACACCTCATTTTAGAGCAAATATGTTGCAGAAAGCAAAATTGCATTCCACACAACATTAAGCCAGCATTTTGGTGTTCAGGCAACAACAATAGAGAGCTTTTATGGTTGAACGGTTCTTTTACCAAAAGCTTATAGCACTACTTTGCTAATTGGGATCTAGCTAACCGATATCCCAACAAAGTGGCAACCCAACACGGTGTTGCATGCACGGATGCACGCATCATCATCCGGTTATTCTTCAGGATACGAGGCAGGCATCTTTCGAACAAAAATCTCTAACATACAAGTTTAAAAAAATATACCTGATAGGTGCGTGGAATTACCGGAGTTGGAAACATAACATAACATCCAATTTTTAATCTATGCCAATTTTTTTCTGAAAATAATCGAGATTCTCTGAAAGGTCAAATTTTTATTTTTTTTTTTCGTTTTTGGCCTTTTTCTCCGCCGCTACTGGACAGGTTTTCAAAAACTACAAAGCGTGGAAGTGGGATCTTGATCGACGCGTTCGGCGTGCGGGTTAAATAGTCACAATGGAACGTTGGACCGGAGAGCAACGTGCTTTTGCTATCGCAGCCGCTGTTCGGAAATTTGGTACACGACCAAGTAAGAACCTATTGGAAAAAGTTAACCCATTCCTGGCCCAACACCCAACACTGCATGGCATAATGGGTTTTCATCCTTGTATGGGGTTGTCCAATACGGACGCAGGAAAGTAAACGCATATTAAAACAAGAAAGATTGATATTCAAATCAAGTTGGGTACTTTATTTTGAAGGTTCATTTATACCATTTATGTATGAAAAATAATATCGCTCAAATGTTCACCACGACTGGATTTACAGACGTCCACGCGATGGTCGAAATTTTCAATGACATTTTGCAACATGGTCGGTTCTATGGCATTTATCTCGGCAATGATGTTGTTTTTGAGTTCTTGGAAGGTGGCTGGTTTGTTGACGTAGACTTTGCTTTTCAAATATCCCCATAAAAAGAAGTCCAAGGGAGTCAAATCGCACGATCTTGGTGGCCATGGCACATTTCCTCTGCGCGAAATCACGCGATCACCGAAGAAGGACTGCAATCGATGGATATTGACGTTGGTTGTGTGGCATGTTGCACCGTCTTGTTGGGAATAAACATCGTCCATATCCATTCCTTCAAGTTGCGGCAAAAAATAGTCCTCTATCATTACGTGATATCGCTCAGAATTGACGGTAACGAAGTCCCCGGCCGCATTTTCGAAAAAGTAAGGTCCGATGATGCCTTTTGACCACAATGCACATCACACAGTCACTTTTTGAGGCTGCTCTTGATGCTCACGGGGATTTTCGTTCGCCCAGATGCGGCAGTTTTGCTTGTTTATCGTCCCGTTCAAAGTGAAATGAGCTTCGTCGCTGAACATGATTTTTGATGAAAAATTGGCATCAATTTGGCGGTGTTCAAGGAGCCAATCTGAGAACGTTCGGCACGAAAAATGGTCGGCCAGACGCAGCTCTTGCGTCAATAGGATCTTGTAGGCGTGTACATTCAAATCCTTGTGGAGAATGCGGAGCAAACTGGTTCTCGAAATGCCCAATTCTTGGGATCGACGCGTTGTTGATTGTTTCGGATCGTCTCTCACACTCTCCTTCACAACAGCAATATTTTCCGGTGTGCGAACGCTCCTTGGTCGGCCAGAGCCTGGCAGATTTGCCACAGAACCTGTTGCCTCGAATTTACGCACCAGACGACCGATGGTAGTTTCGTTTGGGCGGTTGTTGCGACCGAAATGTTCACGAAGCGCGCGAAACGTGTCTTTTATTTTTGCACCATTTTTGTAGTGCTCTTGAATAACTTTAATGCGGTCTTCAATCGGATACGACTCCATAGCGATCGATGGTAAACATTCAACTAACAAAATGACATGTCGGTGACAGAAAACAAAGATGGCGTCTATGTCAAATTGACGTCTACTTTCCTGCGTCCCTATTGGACAACCCTATATAATCCAATCAGTCCATGCTTTAAAGGAAAGTGATTACGTATTACGGAAATCTTGTGCTGAACGGATGTTGAATCTTTTTCCTACGCACCGCAGACTCGAGAACGTTTGTTTCAGTGACTAGGCCCATTTTCACTTAGAAGATTATATATGAACAAGCAAACTTGCAGATATTGCGCACCAACGAAGTCAAACGAGAAACATCAACAGCTACATAGTCCAAAGGTGACTGTTTGGTGCGCCTTCTCCTCTAGCGGTATTATTGGGCTGTATTTAATACGGTGACGAGCGATACAAGGACATGATTGACTCTTTTTTGCTCCTATTGTAAGAACAGAACGTCGATTTAACAGAAACACATGCGTTCAACAGGATGGACCCACTGCCCATACTTCCAGAGAATCGATGGACACGGTGAAAGCACTTTTTCCTCAAAAAGTCATATCGAAGTTTGGAGACATTCTGGCCTACTATTGTATTCCAATAATCCGCGAACACTGGAGGAGCTCAAAGACGACATTCGACGAGAAATAACAACATCACTCCGGATCTCTGCAAGAGAGTGGTTCAGAATTTGCGCGCGTGTTTAGAAGATTGTGTCTGAACCGGATGATATTTGAGAAATAAAACCCGCTGAATTTACGAATATGTTGACAGTTTTAAATATTTTTAAAAAGTGAACCTTCTCACTGGACACCCTGTAGTAACCTTACGTGAAACTTTTAGCGGTACTTCCCAAGTTATAGACGGGCTAAGGATTAGCCGACAAACAGACAGACCCGCGGAAATGCGTTACATGTTTTTGCCGCTGGCCTAGGAAGTAAAATATAAATGCAAGAATTATTAAAATCTAACGAACATAATTCACAAACTCTTCGAAATAGAACTGTTACATATGAGATATTTAAAGTTCTACTCAAGTTTGAGACTTTTCGAAGATAAGCTAGGTAGAGATCTAGAAATTCTTACACAATACATAAGATTTCATGATAGATAGTATTGTTCTGTATTTGTAATAAATTGTTCCAAACACATTTTAGTAATTTGAGCGGTGAAAACGAACCTTTTCACGAGCTTCTTTTTCATGTAACTGCGCCAACATGTCTGACCTTTGCTCGCAGAACATCAGCGCTCTCAGTTTGCTGATCTCGTCTCTGAGTTCTCTGATCAATTTCACGTTTGGATCCTCGTTGACTGTAGGCTGATTGATTATGTTTTTAGCCCGATTAGCATACCTGAAAATAATTTTCAACCTAAGAACTTTTATTTCTTGTTAAAGTTCTATTAAATCAAACCTCCACAGCTTTCAATACATACCTCAACGTGCTCAAAGTCTCTCCATAATTGCAATCCGCCGGACTGATAGCAGCAATCATAATAGTTTTTGAATTACCACCTAGACTGTCTTTGAGCAGCCACGTCAACACCGAGTCTCTGTACGGTATAAAAAAGTTTTTCTTTTCGCTCTTTTCGCCTTTCTGTTCGCTGGACAGCTCCGCTAAGGCCGATATTACGGAGCCCAATGTTACCAACGATTTGTTTATGTGGGCACCTTCTTTCAATCTCTGACCTGTCGCCCCTGTCGAGTCTGCCCTTTCACTGCCCGCCAAGTCCACTAAGTGGATCTAAAAAAAAAATCAAAAAAAAAATTTTCTTTTCACCTGAATTACGAAGACGACGTGTTCCATTCCTGCGTGTGTGGTTCCAACAAGCCCTACAAAAGTAATTTGTTTTTTTGGCAATTTTTGAAATAATGTATTCAGTGTTCCTCAAACTTTAGTTTACTATCAATATACAGGGTGTCCCAGAAGTCGACGTCAAGCCGAAACCGGGTGATAGGCAAAGTCATAACAGCTATCAGAAAAATATTTATGTATGTGTTTTGAAAATTATAGGTCTTTGCAAAAGATATAGAAATTCCACACCCTACGGCAGTCTGCCAACTCCTGTTACTACAAATATTAACTTTTTTGGATTTTATTTTTACAATGTAATGATGAATAATGCATCTTCAAACTGGTGTCTCAACCTTACTGCCAACTTTTCTCGTTCAGGAAAAATAGCCACTTATTTCCCAACCAAGTATTCCAAAGTAAAACTTTGCTCAACTTTAACTGGCTGTACTGGAAAAAAATGTACTACGAGAGTTTGGCAAGTAACCTTAAAAGTTGGCGCATTTAATAACGATTCCAAAATGGTATAACACTTAGAAGATTACACGTTAACTTATGCACAATTTTTATTTGAAAAAAAAAACATGAAAATTTTTCAAAATTTCCTAATTAAACAGCGATTATGAAAACGCACAAGAACCCTTAAGGATAACTGTTTGCACAACAGTGGGCGTCAAAATGCTGCTGATGATGATTTACCTTTACAGCAAATGCTCAAACTGTTTTCCTTCAGCCGCAATACACGATCGACATCTTTTTAAAAAAGATGGGGTTATTAAACGAGCGAATCCACGGTTATTAACAAACTCAGCTGCTTCCAATAGTCTCTGCCGTAGCTCAGCTACATTTTGAATCGGCTTGAAATACACTTTTTCTTTTACAGTTTCTCAGTAAAAAAAATCTAACGGATTCAAATCTGGTGACCGGGCTGGCCACGGTATTGTACCAGACCGCCCTATCCATCTGCCTGGAAAGTTTTGATCGAGATACTCTCTCACTGAGATTATCTTGATCAACCAACCGTGGATCTTCCCTGTGTCTTTCTAACATTGTGCGACAAAAAGCAACTCGGGGCTCATAATCCCGGGGCAGAAGAGCTTGAACACGCTGTACGTGGTATGGATGGAGCACGTTTTTTTGCAAGATTCTATGGGCTGTACTTTTGGGAACACCTGTTTTTAGTTCTATTGCACGCACTGAAGTACTCGGGTCTTCTTCGACAGCTCCTAGCACCACGTCTTCGTAAGGAAGGAAAGATCTTCCCTCACCGTGTGATTGGTTTGGTAGTTGGCCCTCTGAGAACAGTAAGCGGTGCACATTTGTGAACACTCGATGATCTGGATGACGAGCTGCATTCGGGTACCTCCCACAGTAAAGCCTCGCTGCAGCACTAGCGTTGCATCTGCATTCCCCATAAATGAGGTGCATGTTAGCATATTCTTGTACGGTGTACCCGGAAATAGCGGCACTGCACAATCAGACTATCAAAGATGTTTTGAAGAGCAATTAAACAGTCCAAATCCAAATCACAAGCGATCAACACTCCAGTTCACGAATCCAAAATTAGTAACAGTACGAAATCAACAAGCACGAACATGTAAAGATGCGCAGTAAACGAAGGAGTACTGATCGGTATCAAAGTGTGCAATAGCAAGTAAGTGATGTGCTTCATCCATACTACATACAGCGTGTTCAACCTCTCCTGCCCCGGGATTATGAGCCCCGAGTTGCTTTTTGTCGCACAATGTTAGAAGGACACAGGAAAGATCCACAGTTCTTTGAAAAAATTTTATGGTCGGATGAGACCACATTTAAGAAAGATGGGTACATGAACCTGCATAACTTACACGAGTGGCACGTAGCAAACCCACATTTGATGAGAGAAGATAAATCTCAATATCGCTTCAAGATAAACCATTGGAGAGGAATTTTAAATGGTAAAATAATCGGTCCGTTTTAGTTCCCAGAGACTTTGACTGCTGAAGTTTATTTGGATTTTTTGAAAAATCATGTACAAAATTTATTGGTGGACGTGCCACTGAGTATTTACAGGGACATGTGGTTTCAGCATGATGGCTGCCCAGCTGCCCAGCGCACTATGCACTCTCAGTGAGAGAGTATCTCGATCAAAACTTTCCAGGCAGATGGATAAGGCGGTCTGGTACAATACCGTGGCCAGCCCGATCACCTGATTTGAATCCTTTAGATTTTTTTACTGGGGAACTGTAAAAGAAAAAGTGTATTTCAAGCCGATTCAAAATGTAGCTGAGCTACGGCAAAGACTATTGGAAGCAGCTGAGTTTGTTAATAACCGTGGATTCGCTCGTTTAATAACCCGATCTTTTTTAAGATGTCGAGCGTGTATTGCGGCTGAAGGAAAACAGTTTGAGCATTTGCTGTAAAGGTAAATCATCATCAGCAGCATTTTGACGCCCACTGTTGTGCAAACAGTTATCCTTAAGGGTCCTTGTGCGTTTTCATAATCGCTGTTTAATTAGGAAATTTTGAAAAATTTTCATCAGTTTTTCTTCAAATAAAATTTGTGCATAAGTTAACGAGTAATCTTCTAAGTGTTATACCATTTTGGAATCGTTACTAAATGCGCCAACTTTTAAGGTTACTTGCCAAACTCTCGTAGTACATTTTTTTCCAGTACAGCCAGTTAAAGTTGAGCAAAGTTTTACTTTGGAATACTTGGTTGGGAAATAAGTGGCAGTTTTTCCTGAACGAGAAAAGTTGGCAGTAAGGTTGAGACACCAGTTTGAAGATGCATTATTCATCATTACATTGTAAAAATAAAATCCAAAAAAAGTTAATATTTGTAGTAACAGGAGTTGACAGACTGCCGTAGGGTGTGAAATTTCTATATTTTTTTCAAAGATCTATAATTTTCAAAACACATACATAAAATTTTTTTATATATTTTTCTGACAGCTGTTATCATTTTGCCTATCACCCGGTTTCGGATTGACGTCGACTTCTGGGACACCCTGTATATGTTTGCTATTATTTTTACTCTGATCAATTTTGGCATTGTAATATTTTTTCTTTTCATCTCGTAGAACTGCAACAGATTGGTTTCTTGATCTTGTGTATTCTAGCCAATCATTTTCACTTCCAGTAATCATAAACTTTTTATAATTGTGACAAACGCTATTTCATTGTGAACCCGAATCCGTCAATGAATTTGTTTTTGAGTAAAAGTTACCGATTCTGTAATTCTTTAAAAAACCGTCCGACCTTTGCACTGGCCCCTGTATATTATCCTTTCGAACAGCTTCTCGGCATCTGGCAAGACATTCATCGGCCGCATATTTTTATATAGCTCAGAATGTTCAACTTTTAGCGCATGGTGGAACACTTTAATTTGAATGGGAATTCACGATGCACTAAACAATGATTCGCCAATAATAATAATTTCTCTCCAACACCAACTTATAGTCCTCACCAAAACTTTCCAGGTGAAGTCAATATTTCTTTTTGCCTACATAAGATCTTTTTTCTAGCTTCTCATTGCATTATTTTTATTAATCCACGATGAATTCAAGATTTTGAACACATTCTAAAACACCTTGTGTAATATTTAGCATCTTACCTTGGAGACAGTTTCACTGGGTACTCCATCGCAGTAGCCAGCCTGTACAAATGTTATTGTAAAAATAGCGTGACTTCTGCTACTAACATCATTCATATTTGTCGCAGCAGTCGTTCTATTCGCATTTCCCCTAGAAAGTATAAAAATCAAGTGAATAAGCTTTACTCAATGCCTTCCATGCTAATACAGATGTCTCAGTTTGTAGACTATGCACTCTTCTAGGCAAAAAATGACATGTCTGTGGTAATGACAACGTTGAACAACCAAATTCTAAGAAAAATTTAGTATACATATCCTGAATCTGACAATAAAAGTAAAAGGTCTGTGCAAAGAAAACAGGACAAAAAAACTGAACATACATCTTCAGACATATTTAATTCCATTTCTATGTATCAGATATGTTCCAAAAGCCCGGTTTACTGTTTTTAAAATTCCTTTGAAATGATAAACATTAACTATACGTTTATCCATTTTCCGATTGGTTTTACCTCTCCATGCACTCTTGAATATGGCTGTAGTTAGCAACCAGGCACGTGGTCAATCCCTGAACATACGGCCCTTTCTTTGGGTGCTCGCGAACTTTTAATGAGGTTGTATCACGACCACGTAGTAAGTCAGCCACTCGTTCCTGGTAAATTTCTAAATAGCTAACTTGTACTCTATGAGTTGTGCCTCTTTTCGAATTATCTGCCATCCTATCGAAAAGGGCTTTGCATATTCTTGGAATCAGCCCTTGATTATCCTGAAAACGTTATCATTTATGGGGAATGTAGATGCAATGCCAGTGCTACAGCTAAACTTTATCGTGAGAAGTACCCAAATGTAGCTCGTCAACCTGATCACAGAGTTATTGTGAATGTGCACTGTTTAATCTCAGATGGATGATGCCCAAATCAAGAACAAATTGAAGGAATAATCTCCTTTCCTTGCGAGGACGACGTACTACAAAAGACCTGAGTCAAATAGAACTGATTTTAGGTCAAAAGCTATAGGTATTCCTATCCATCCATTGATCTCACTAAAAAAGTTATATCGATACATGATCTATGCAACTGATTTATTCACACAGAGAATACAGGACTTGAGGGTTTTTGAGATTTTCCCTAATGGTATCCCTTTACTCTCTGAAAGTTTCCTGATTCAAAACTTCCATTTTTTCCAGGATAATTTAAAACATTTCCTTTAGAAATGTGAAAGAAGTTACTCACTGTCAAATTCCCATTATCATCTCCCAATATTAAAAGTGAAAAAAGCCAGGTAACCTAAGGTAATTTAGCATGCTGATTTTGAGTATGATCATTAGAAAATGCTAAAGTCCTATTTGGGCTAGAAGGCTGGGATTTTTGATTTTTTCCAAAATACCATGTCCACCTAGTTTATCAATCAAACAAGATTTGGTTGAGATCAGGGATACATGAGAATTTTTGGAAAATTTCCTCAGTCTGCGCCATCTATAAGAACCTCAAAGGTTCACATTTTCTAATAGCAAGGGCAGAAAGGTTTAATTTCAAAAATACTTGATATATTGCTTAGAAATAGTAAGAAATTAAAAAAAAAACAACTCTTGTCAGGGAGAATTAATAATCAATTAATTGGTCAAATGTAAATCAACTTAAATTAAACACTAAAAAATATATGCTTATAGGAAAATTTTTGGATGAAAATAAGATAAATCTTATGAATAATCATGAAAAAATTGAGTCAATCAAATAATTTAAATGTTTGGGTATATACATAGATAGTAAATTAAAATTTAAAGAGCACTATGAATATAATATTTCAAAAATTTACATAAAGATAAATTTCTTTTATAGAATTTTGCAAAGCCTCAGCATTTATTCTAAAAAAATGGTGTACAACACAATCATTCTTCCTCATTTGTTATAGTGTTTGACCAGTTTGTTCACTGTGTTTTCGAAATTGCAAATACAGTGAAAGCTCTCCTTGCGGACAGCTCCTATAAGCGGACATCTCTTTTAACCGGACAAAGTTCCTGGAACCGAATTTCAGCCATCAATTTTCAATGTTAAATGCATTCCGATAAACGGACGCTCTTATAAACGGACGCGGACACTAGATTTTCCTGTATGTGATCAAAAAATCTCCCATAAGCGGACGCGAAACTCTAATACCCGGACGATTTTTAGTTCCGCTTATTGCAATGCACATATCTACGTAGTCATGCCATAAGTTCTGTCCCTCGTTTTCAAACAAGTGTAGACCTGTTAATACTTGTCCGATTGTTTACATTGTGGTGTCAGTTGATTAAGCGCTTTTCGGGTAATTACATATACCTCAGTTTGTATTGATCTCTCGAAGCATAACGATGGAGTGGGGCAAGGCAGAGAACCGTATTGCAGTGATAGCTTTACATAAGTGTAATCACAGTGCTAGTCAGATTTTTGAACTCTTACGCGGCCTTCAAATATCGCGTAAATTTGTGTCTAGGACCATTCAGCGGTACAATGAGACGTCCTCTGTTGATGACAGGCCAAGAAGCGGAAGACCTCGTCAAGTAAGGACTCCAGCAGCCATCAAAGCCGTAAAAGCCAGGATTCAAAGGAATCCACTCCGGAAGCAGAAGATCCTATCCAGGGAAATGAAGATTCCTGTCCGGACGATGTCGCGCATCATTAAACAAGACCTAGGGCTAGGGGCTTACCGGAGACGTACGGGCCAGCGACTTACGGCCACCTTGCGACACATCAGGGCGACAAGATCCAAGAAGCTCTTGGAGAGGTACGCAGCTGGGGGATTCCGAAAGATTTTGTTCACGGATGAGAAAATCTTCACCATAGAAGAAAAATTCAACCGACAAAATGACAAAGTGTATGCAAGGAGTTCACAGGAAGCTTCGGAGATCATTCCGAGAGTTGAGAGAGGCCACCACCCTGCGTCAGTCATGGTTTGGTGGGGGGTGTCCTACGAAGGGGTCACTCAGCTCCATTTCTGTAAACAGGGCGTGAAAACAAAAGCGGCAAACTATCAGAGCGACATACTGGATCCTATCGTCAAGCCTTTAAGTGGTACATTGTTTGCCAACCAACACTGGGTCTACCAGCAGGATTCCGCCCCCGCTCACAAGGCTAAGAGTACGCAGCGCTGGCTGGAAAGCAATGTGCCAGAGTTCATTGCTGCGGAAGATTGGCCCTCAGGGAGTCCGGACCTCAATCCTGTAGACTACAAGTTGTGGGACCTGCTAGAGCAGTTGGCCTGCTCCAAAGCCCACCGTAATATCGAGTCCCTGAAAGCGGATTTGATCCGATCAGCGGCAGCTATTCCTTTGGAAGCTGTGCGTGCAGTGATAGATGAGTGGCCCGCGAGATTGAAGCAGTGTGTGAAGGCCAAGGGGGGACATTTTGAATAAAACTGTTTGATTATGAATTCTAAAAATGTTGTCGAATAAATAATATCTTTCATATAAATATATCTTATCTTGTTTCATTTTTATCATGAGATTATCATGGGACAGAACTTATGGCACGACTACGTACATACATAAAATTCGGTAATTCCCCGATTTATATTAGGTGATTCCCCATTTACGCATTTCGTTGGGTAGCTTGTATGTAATCTTGTGGCTTGTCTTCAGTTCAGGCAAATTCGTAGTTGATTGAGTTACGTATTTTATTATTGTAACTGTAAAATGGCACCAAAAAAAAGGATGCTCTCGTTAAAGGAAAAGATGGAAGTTGTTAACGTATTAGACAGAGAAAGTGTTTCAGTTCGTCATTTGGCAAAGAGGTTTAATATTGGGAAAACGCAAGCAGCTGAAATTGCCAAAAATAAGGAAGATATCAGGAGTAAATGGCAATCAGGAACTAATATAAATCAAAAGAAGGATTTTTAAAAAAAGGAAGGTTTTGCTATAGACAAAACATGTTTTGAGTGGTTTGTGAAAGCTAGAAGTCAGAACAGTCCAATCTCAGGGCCGTTAGTGAAAATGAAAGCTAAAGAAATCGCCACTACTTTGGGCTATAATAATTTCAGTGCGTCCGATGGGTGGCTGCAAAAGTGGCGCAAGAGACATAGTGTGAGTTTCAAATGCATATCTGGCGAAGCTGCTGCAGTAGATCAAGTTGATGTGTCACAATTTTTGGAGAAACTTCCGTCCATGTTGCTTGGCTACAAACCAGAAGATGTGTACAACGCAGATGAGAGTGGACTTTTTTTTCGCGCATTGCCCGACAAAACTCTATCCTTTAAAGGAGAAACATGTGTGGGTGGAAAGTTGTCTAAAGATAGACTAACCATTTTATTCTGTGCAAATATGGCCGGTGAAAAATGCGATTTGATTGTGATCGGGAAAGCGGCTCGTCCCCGTGCTTTAAAAAACGTTGCTATTAAGGATCTACCAGCAACTTGGAAATCCAACAAAAAGGCATGGATGACCCGAGAAATCATGTCTGAGTGGTTAGTCGAATTCGACTGGAAAATGAGAATCCAAAAAAGGCAAGTTCTTTTATTTTTAGACAATGCATGCTCTCATCCTCGTGATATGAAAATGAAAAATGTGAAAATTATATTTTTACCGCCAAACACAACTTCTGTTTGTCAGCCCATGGATCAAGGTGTCATACAGAACTTTAAATTTTATTATCGGCACTTGATTTTAAAACATATTTTAACAAAAATTGACGATGGTCAAAGCTTATCTGAGCTTACAAAGTCTATCAATGTGTTAGAAGCTTTGTATTTTATAAAAACAGCATGGAATAAAGTAAATTCCTCTACAATTAAAAACTGTGTTGGCAAAGCTGGATTCAGAAAAAGTGAATGTAGCTCAGAATTTGCTGAGCAAAATTATTGCGATGCTGAAGACGATCTGCCCTTAGCGACACTTGCTCAGTTACTGCGACATGCCAAACATTTAGGAGTAGCAGATCCCCAGAAAGTAGATGATTTCCTGGCCATAGACAATAACATAACAATAGAAGAAAATGCCATTGGCAACTTTTCGAATTTGGATGTAGAAAGCCCAGGCCAACTTGAATATGGTAGTCCAAATGACTCAAAAGAAGAAGTGGAACTGGTGGACTCACTAAGCGGTTCAAAAACAATAAATTCATATGGGGAAGCTCTAAATCATATTTCTATATTGAAAAAGTTTGCTAAAGATGATTTCACTGCATTTCAACATTTGAAAAATTTAGAAAGTTATTATGAAAATTGTCTCCTTCAGCAAAAGATGGTGAAATTTCGTCAGACAAACATTTTAAACTTTTTTCAACAAGCTAAAGAATAATGTTTTTTTTAAATTCTTGTACCATGTATTGAAGCATTTATGTTTTTGTATGCGTATATGTACATATATTATATAGATATATAGCATAAATACATACTTTAAAAATGTGGCGAGTTTCTGTTTCATTTTTCTCATGATTATAATACCTCATTTCCTCATGATTATATACCCCGTTATTTATACTCTATACTTACATACTCTCTTTTAAACGGACACCTCCCATAAGCGGACAAAAGTTACGGAACCGTGAGTGTCCGCTTATGGGAGCTTTCACTGTATTACAAAATAAAGTGAGAATCATCTTAAATAAAAATAAATATACTAGAATAAATTTTATGCTAAAAGAACTACAATAGTTAAATATAAGAAAATTCATAAACAACTTGTTTTTCATTTTCATATTCAAGTTAAAAAACAATCTTCTACCAAATCACTTGGAAAATGTTATTGCAATGAACAACGAGTACCATAGTTATTCTACTAGAGTATAGTCTTTCATTTACAAAATTGTACTAGCAATATAACAAGCAAATCAGTATTTCAAAAGGGATTGTATGAATTTTATAAATTAAGTAATTATATCAAGATGTGTGCCAGTTTAAAAATTTACAAGGGGAAATACTTCATGGAAAACCAGAATCCATAGTAGTGAAATTTTGTATGAAAATATGTAGTCTTGAAGACATATTATGTGTTATACTGTGCAACATGGATATTGTAGCGAATAAATAAATCTAGTAAACTATCAGTATTGAACCATCATTTTTAAGCCAGAGAATAACATATACATACCATAGCCCCCATCATAGTGAAAGTTTTGCCACTACCAGTTTGTCCATATGCAAACACACAAGCATTGTATCCTTCAAAGGCACAGTCAACCACTTCTTTTCCCAAATCATTGTACACTCTTTCCTGGGATGCATAGTTCTCAGACTTTTCATCATGGGACCAATAAGAGTAATCAAATGTGAACTCCTTGTACCTGATACTTTCATCCCTTGCATTAGCCTACACATTTAAATGAAAAATGAACTATAAGTTAAATGTCTTGCATACATTCATAAAAACTATTTCAGGTTAATAAAATTAAAGGGGCAACCAATATATAATCTCATTTTTATGGGACATATAGAAGAATATGTAAAATGCACATAAACATATTTCTATTTATGAAATGCCAATACCAAGTTGGTACCAAAAGACTACACTGGTCATTTAAATAGACATTTATTGCTACTATTCACACAAGCACCAACAAAGGATATATTATTGAGACAAGATCTCCAAAAACAATATTGAAATGGTAGAACAGACAGGCATTGAAACTTAAATCTAAGCTAAAAACAATTACCTTGCAATTGAGGATTCCTGTAGTCTTTCCTTTCATTTGTATTATCAACTGGGCCCCCATGTCCATTTCCCTAAAGCAAGTTCAATGCTCTCATTTTATGTGCAGTGAAGCATAAGAAAACTTACCTTTGGTTAAATGGCCTAACCCTGACGGCTACTTTGACGGAGGCCATCTTTTGCGAATCAAATATTCATCACTTCAAAAGCTCTTCGAAAAATTCTCTCAAAAAAAACATTCGTCGTCATTACACTTGGCTTTGTTTTGATCGAACATCCGTCTTCAAATCGACATCAAAAGCAACGCCATTTTGATAGATGACATCTTGTGAAACGTCAAGTCAGCATGACGTAACGAGCTAATAGAGATGAGAGTTACGAAAATATTGTGTCACATTTTACATTGAATGAACTTTCAACCATTGCCAATTATGCGGGTTTACAGCGTTCGACACCCCACAATTGGCAAGTGTGTCTCCTACATGATAGGATGAACTTTTTAGTCTCGGGCGTTCGACGCATGGTGATACCAACGTTTATTATCGGTCTCATTGTCGCGCTTGAATCTTTACAACTGAAGGAAAAATTATACAACATAAACGATAAAACATTTTTTTCGAGCACCGAAAAATAATTTCAAATGTGTCTTCAGCGACCAAAACTGAAGTCTGTCAGAAGCCTCAGAAATGTCGAAAAACTAAGTTTTTGTTTGTTTTTCGACGATAACTCCGCCACCACTGTACCGATTTTCAAACATTGCAGAGCTTTTTCGTCATTTTCATACCTATGGTCAAAGTTTCATCAAAATCCTGACAATACTATCAGAGTTATCATTTATTAAATCTTTTTCGTTAGTTACGAAATGCAAGTCAATATATTTCTCAACTAGTCTTGGATTACAACAGGACATTGTAATTAAACAACTTGATAATTTATAATTTACTAAAATAAATATCCTTAGGCCGTTCATAACTCATCTGTGAAACGTACAAAATATTAGCAATAAGAAAAAAGTGTTGTTATGGCAGCCTATGCTTTGTATGTTTACTAATTTAATTCATTCTCCTCTAGTTACGGAATATACATTATTATGAATTGGTGGGTATTCAAATCAAAATGCTTCTAACATACCACTACTTCATCACAATCACAGCAAATAAGTAAATAATGTTTTTTGCCGCTACTGGTTCTGACCTAAAACCATCAATCACACGACCTCTCGTGTGGGAGCGTAACGAACCAAGCTTCCAACGTTGTAACGTCCTTTGACGCGGTTCAAATCTACCGAAAAGAGCCCGAACGTTGGACTCGTGCAGTTTGTCAGCGCTCTCGCACACGATGTGGCGAATGGCATGTGTCCAACATTGTGAGGTCTTCGTCACATGGTGTGGGAGCGATTGTTAAATATGCCATAGCCCATCTCTATTAGCGGTCATCTGTCGCAGCCTTTAGCTAATCATTGACGTTTAACTTTCAGGTTCAACTGAAGAAAAACATAATCAAATTCAAGCGGATAACCAAATGGAAATGGTATTTACCATTATGGGTTGGTATTTACCAATCCGTTCAAGCGAGTGTAGTTATCAGTTTGGTTATAACATCCGTGACGTCACGAATCAGCTGTTATATGTCATAGTTATCACCGCAAAATTGTGGTATTTACCCAACTCAAGAGTAGTTTTATATTTCTCGTTATTATTTGAAATGTGACAAGTTAGAATTTTGCCGGGTATTGGATATTGTTATTGTACTTCAGTTTCATTTTTGAGAAAAATGATACAGGCTGACTTCAGTTTTACCATAAAGTGGAGCACCTTATTAGATATAGTCATTACGGTTGTTGGGGACACTTTAAATGTCCTATGCTTAACAAAGTATCCTGTGTAGCCATATACCACAAGAATATTAAAATATGGCCATATAAACTTACTAGATGATATCCACCTGTATACGATTTTGCTAATTTCTTTTTTCATCATTTCTGCTGAATCAATAAATGTTTTCTTTGACATGCGGAAAAATTTAGAGAATTGAAAGTTATCATAGCTACAAAGCCATGGTTCCATCATTAAAAAAAAATCTGAAAAAAACATTTCTCCCATGAATATTATGGAAGGTTTCTTATTTAAACTTTCCATATACAGTTGTAGACGAAAAAGCACCGATTATTAAGTGATAATAAAAATAATCAGAGATTATGTACGCGCTTTTCTAAAATAAACAACTTGCAACAAAACCGCGGTTAAAACCAACGCGTTCAAGCGATTCGTGCAACTGACGTCATCAACCCGTGTGTCATCTTGAACCATATTATAACCGCGGCACATAACACGGAAATTGTGGTTATTCGCTTGGATTTGATTATGGTGTGGGAGCGATTGTTAAATATGCCATAGCCCATCTCTATTAGCGGTCATCTGTCGCAGCCTTTAGCTAATCATTGACGTTTAACTTTCACGTTCAACTGAAGAAAAACATTGATCTATTTTCTACGTTCACGGTTGACATTTTGACATTCCGTGATTCCCCTGATTACATGTGGAAAGTACTTGAGGCAATTTGAGACTGGAATTCTTACATAAAGCTAGATTAGCATTATTTATCGTTAACTTTTGCAGTTCTGCAAGTATCAGTAATAATACCCATTATCTGTCTCTAAACAGTCTCATAATACTTGTAGCTTACGCACAATATTTGTTATTTTCGTATAAGGATGTTTTTTTAAAAATAGGTAAAAGCATTTACATATTTGATATTTTCTGCGAGTTTCATCGCGTACCTGTCTTACGCTTGTGATTTGTTGTAGGTGCTGATCAAAATCAAAACAAAAGATGGATACCTCAAAAAGTGGGAATGTGGTGAGGATCTCCAATTTGGACAGTGCAGCTACAGAAGATAAACTGGAAGAACTTATTATGCTCTTAGTCAAGCTGAAAGGTATAGTCCAAAACATCATCATTTGTCAAGTGGGCAATTTCGCTTATGTTTTATTCCAAGAACATTGTGACGCTGAAGAAACAGTAATGACCTTGGATGGGATGTATTATAGGTCCACCAAGCTTAGTGTAACACTCCCTGATGAGAATGAGAGTGATGAAGCTTTCTTGTTGATGAACATTTTACATACAAAGAAACATGATTCAAATGCAAATAGCAATGAAAAAATGAGCATCAAGACACAGTTGAGAAAAATTCAGACATTTGCAGTGAAGAACATAGTGAGGCTACAAGTAGATCTACTGGTGCATCTGATACAGAAAGTGAGGATGATAGTGCTTCAGAATCTTCAGCCAAATCAAAAAATGCAAATGAATCAGGGCAAATAGATAATAGTCTAAACAATCCTAATAATAAAAGAAGTAGAGGTTCTAGACGAAGGCGTAGATTGGGGACTTTTAACAATAACAGTCAAACTACAAGAAATGATAACCCCAATAGTAGGGGCAGGGGCAGAGGTAGAGGTCAAAGAGTTGGACCTAGATATAACAATCACAATAATGATCGACATAATGTTCAAAATAAACCCCATCAAGATTCAAATCACAGTCATCATAAATATCCCAACAGTCGAGCGTTTCATAATTCTAATTTTCAGTTTTACAAAAGATCTGACTTAATGAAGTCTAATACAAGAAATCAGAATTATCAAACTGGTAACAATCGTGCAACTATGCCTCCAAATTTTATATTTGATGGCACCAATCCAGGTTTTCCAGATTTTAGCGTCCCTCCTCCAAACTTTTCTCCTCCCGTTAACAATGAATCTAACACTCAACCTGCAACTAAAAACATCAACCTATCTATTAACTGGAACCAACAGAGAGCAGAAAATGATAATAATGGCAACAGACCTAACCTTTTCACTGGTTTTTCACAAAATCAAGCATTCTGTCCACCTGGAAACAATTTTACTCTGAACCAAAATAAATATAGACCAAATAATCAGAACTTTCAAGGTCGAAAACCTCAAAATTACGTATCACCAAATAATTTAAGATCTGGTCAACACACATTATTAAAGGCATTAGGTAGTACTCCATCAGATACAAATTCAGGTCAAAGTACGCCTTCTCTATCCCCTTTGAAGCAGGCAGCAGTAATTAGCTCAGGCACAGTTGTCCAAGAGACTGTATGTAGAACCCCTCCACCTCCATATTCCGCAACTTGTGAACCTGCTACTTCTAGCAACATTGTAGCATCTGACACAACTCAAGAAGCTGGATCTACTCTTACTCTAGCTTCTAGTTCTACCTCAAGTGCTCAGAGTACTCTGGGTAGGACCCCATTAAAAGTAAACAAATTGGATATTGCTAGAGCTGAAGAGGCAATTATCGGTTTGAATATAGGATCAAGAAGGTTTGATGTAAAGCCAGATAAAAAAAGAAGTCTGATGACTGTGTAATTTTGTAAATGTTATGTTTTTTCATATAATGTGATTTTTATTTAATGGCTCGATTTTCTTATCACAGGGTGATTCTAAATTTACTGCTAGAAGTTAATCCCCAAAAACCATTTTTCAATGTAATGTAATATATAATTGACTTTAACCGGAAGACCATCAATGGGTTTACAGTATATTGAGGTTAGGAAATTTCAAACTGCCGATTCTCTTTTGATACTAAATCAATTCCAGGGTTACGGCGGTTTAGCTTAGTATCATAACAGACTTGTCAGTTTGAATAAAAAGATGCAGTGTCTAACCTATACCCTATTTCACGAGTATCCATCACTGTAGAATGACAGCTGATTATCTAGTAATATCTTAAAATTCCCCATATCGGCTCAGGACTCATAATTTCTGACGGATCCGTCAACGTCAGAGCTGTATTTTGTACGCTTCAGATTTATTTTGTACTTGCTAACAGCGCTTTTATTTAGAAAAGTTCATTTGCATACAAAATGCTACAAACAACCTCGAAGACTAACACAAAAGTGTCATTTGCTGATCAGCTGTTCACCTCAGTAGACGTCAAAGCGTGACGGATACTCGTGAAATAGCGTGTAGTTAGCTTTCAAGTTGTAGTTCTGTACTTGGAAGTTAACCTGCGATTGAAGAATCGAGCATTAGTCATTTTTTAGAATGAGATATGTGCGCAAACAAAAATTTAGTTTAAAAAATGATCATAGTGATTAACATCATTTTTTAAATATCTTAATCCATTATTTGTCATAGTTATGTCATAAAACATACGTCACCTCTGTCTACACTTTCTCAAAGTGGTTGATGAAGCCTCCTGAAAATGGGGGAGGGGATACGTTTAAGACTTGAAAGGCAGATTTTTGTTTTTTCTTTGCGAAATTCAAGCTACACAAGGCTTGCGTTAGTCACTATGGGCACTTCTGTGTCACTCAAGTGAAGAATTATTATATTACGTTTGTTAAAATCTGTCAAACTTACTTAAAGTGATGTATACTAGATGGTAGATATTATATAGCCTGTAAATTTGAAAATATATTTTGTGATTATACAAGATTATCTTGGAAGTGTATTGGAACAAACATTCATTTATCTTCTTTCTCTTTTATGATGATATACCCATAAACTGATTCGTTATTTGAGACATTGTATCCAAAATATGTATGTTTTCTAGTGACTTATTTTAATAAAATTTTGAAAAACCAAGTCGTTTTAGTTTCTGAGCGACATTATTTGAAATCTTGGCATTCTTAGATTCTCAAGTCCACTATGGTCGTTCATTGCGAAAGACGTGAATTGTTTCTCACTCAATTTTTTTTAAGTAAGGGGCTGTACGGTTTCGAATGGATCATACAAAGTAATACAAACAGATTTATATTTTCGTCACAAGTCTTTTAGACATTTCATGTGCTTTTTCGTTCTTATTGGCTATCCGTGAACCAAACTGTAGAGCTCTTTTCTTGAAACGTGCCACTTTCTTAAGCCCCAATTTGTATGCTAGACACCTCAATAGCAATTTTTCTCCAAATCCCTGAGGTACAGTTTTAGAAGGAAACGTTCTGCAAGAATAAAAAATATTGTAAACATATAGTTGGAAATCATACAGGACAAACAACCTGGTTACTTGAATGTTCAATTGTATCTAGCTGCTATGAGCTAGTGCATCATGAGGTATTGCTTAGCCAATGGCTGAATATTACTTACTTTTCCCATGGTTTTAAACCTCTGACAAAATTGACAACTTCTTCATCTAAATATGGAGTTCTTAATTGTCTACCATGGTCCGAGACAACCCTGTCATCTCTTCCCAGGTTTCTATGAGACAAATTTTGCCAATCTTCATTTAGGACATTATTTAAACCCGACCAGGATCCTCTTGCAAATGCGGCTCTATGCCTTGTATAACCGCCAAAAAGTTCGTCAGCTCCCATGCCAACCAAAAGGACCTGCAGAATTACTTAAAATAATATACCTGTGGGTCTTTTGATTGTTTTTGGTGGGTCATAGTTAAACTATAGATTTCACGAGTATGCATCACGGTAGAATGACAGCTGATTATCTAGTAATATCTCAAAATTCCCCATATCGGCGCAGGACACATAAATCTGACGCATCCGTCAACGCCAGCTGTTGGAGCCGTATATCGTTTTGGTTTTTTGTATGCTACAGGATTCATTTTGTACTTGCTAACAGATCTATTATTTAGAAAACATAATTTACATACAAAAAACAAAACGCCACAAACAAGTTTTACTAGAAAGCGTGATGGATACTCGTGAAATAGGGTCATTGCACGTAACCGTGAAAAACTATAGAATATTGGAGTTATATACAGGTTGTGCTAGAAGCGACGTCAAGCCGAAAAAAATCTAAGTCGTGTACTTTTCTAAGTATAGGCTTTGAAAAAAAAAAGGTAAAATCTGTGATGATCTTTTAGTTACCATTATTACAAATTTCATTTTGTTTCTTAGACGGACAGTGTAATTCTACATAGTAACAGCAAGATAGATAGTAACGCCACTTACAACCTAATCAAAAAGAAAACGATCAAATGAAATGTACGGCACGGGTATCACGTATCTTGAAAAGTGATATTATGCCGATTTTTTTACATTATGCTGTTTTTTTTTGACATTATGTAGGTTTTTCTACAAAGATATTAACTTAGCACTTAGTTGTACGTGTTGCCTAAGCGTCATGAGGCTTGTTATCAATCTTTGGCGGTGATGTGATGTAAAATCTGCTTCTGAGATGGCATTACTGGAGGCCTAAGCTGTAAGATGTGTGTTGATGATAATTACATTAGGTTCTTGTCTCAAATACACTTAATTGAGATTCAAAGCTAGAAATTAGTTGCGCATCCACTTTTTCTTATCCATTCTGGAAATTACATATACAAATTTGCTGAATTTAAAAAATGAGAGAGATAAAAAATAACTATATTCACTGTACACTGTCGAATTACAAGTCATATCCATGCTAACAGTAATTACACAGAACGCGGGCGCGATGATCATTTTCCGTAATTCTCCTCAGTTTTTCGTAATTTATAACTTTGAACATAACCTCTCTCCAGAAAGCACAACATAAGAATAACCCGTCGGACACAGCCGATAGATATCATTCATCAGGAAGTCACCAAAATAAGGCGATTAAGTCAACGTCATTGGAATTGCAACTTTAATTATTGAGTTAAGAATATAGACATTTCCATGAATGAAATATGTGTTTACATGGTATTATATTAACGAAAAAAATCGACAGAAAAAAAACATACAATATTCCCTATTGGAGTGTGTAAAAACGACTTTTTACTTTGAGGCTTTTAGCAAAAATAATATTGTCCCGAAAAATATGAATTTCTTTAGCAATGTTAATTTTCTTCACTTTTTAGTTAAGGCCTGGATACTCTTAAGTTAGTAATAACATGGTTACCAGTGTAGTTCATTCTTGACCTACATCTCATATTATGAGAGATGCTATTTATGAAACATTTCACAAATCAATACAAGGTCAAAACACTATGGAAAGATTTCATTTAATATGGGGTTGTCCAAAACGGAGGCAGGAAAGTAAACGCATATTAAAACAAGAAAGATTGATATTCAAATCAAGTTGGGTACTTAATTTTGAAGGTTCATTTATACCATTTATGTATGAAAAATAATATCGCTCAAATATGTTCACCACGACTGGATTTACAGACGTCCACGCGATGGTCGAAATTTTCAATGACATTTTGCAACATGGTCGGTTCTATGGCATTTATCTCGGCAATGATGTTGTTTTTGAGTTCTTGGAGGGTGGCTGGTTTGTTGACGTAGACTTTGCTTTTCAAATATATAAAAAGAAGTCCAAGGGAGTCAAATCGCACGATCTTGGTGGCCATGGCACATTTCCTCTGCGCGAAATCACGCGATCACCGAAGAAGGACTGCAATCGATGGATATTGACGTTGGTTGTGTGGCATGTTGCACCGTCTTGTTGGAAATAAACATCGTCCATATCCATTCCTTCAAGTTGCGGCAAAAAATAGTCCTCTATCATCACGAGAAATCGCTCAGAATCGACGGTAACGGCGTCCCCGGCCGCATTTTCGAAAAAGTAAGGTCCGATGATGCCTTTTGACCACAATGCACACCACACAGTCACTTTTTGAGGATGCATCGGCTGCTCTTGATACTCACGGGGATTTTCGTTCGCCCAGATGCGGCAGTTTTGCTTGTTTACCGTCCCATTCAAAGTGAAATGCGCTTCATCGCTGAACATGATTTTTGATGAAAAATTGGCATCAATTTGGCGGTGTTCAAAAATGGTCGGCCCGACGCAGCTCTTGCGTCAATTGGATCTTGTAGGCGTGTACATTCAAATCCTTGTGGAGAATGCGGAGCAAACCGGTTCTCGAAATGCTCAATTCTTGGGATCGACGCGTTGTTGATTGTTTCGGATCGTCTCTCACACTCTCCTTCACAACAGCAATATTTTCCGGTGTGCGAACGCTCCTTGGCCGACCAAAGCCTGGCAGATTTGCCAAAGAACCTGTTGCCTCGAATTTACGCACCAGACGACCGATGGTTGTTTCGTTTGGGCGGTTGTTGCGACCGAAATGTTCACGAAGCGCGCGAAACGTGTTTTTTATTTTTGCACCTTTTTTGTAGTGCTCTTGAATAACTTTAATGCGGTCTTTCAATCGAATACGACTCCATAGCGATCAATGGTAAATATTCAACTAACAAAATGACATGTCGGTGACAGAAAACAAAGATGGCGACTATATCAAATTGACGTTTACTTTCCTGCGTCCCTATTAGACAATCCTTTATATTTTGAGGAAAACTTTTGACCTGATTATTAAATATTTCACTGGTAAGCTATTTTAATGCTTCAAACTGAATGGTTTTAATGCTTACTCTACATGAGGAAGTAACATCATCTTGCTTGCCTCTAGCAGCAAACCATAAGGCACATCCTAGACTATCATCCAATATACTGGTTAAAGGGTATATCAAATCTGCTATAGATGCTGATCTCTTGGAATTCAGTTCCTCTTGTGGCACATTGATTGATAAAAAATTCCATTCTCTATCAGGACAAACAAGCCTTAGTTCATTTAAGCCCTCTAAACCTTAAAAACATGCATGTATAAAAACAATACCCAAATTTAAGAAAATATGTACCAATACTCAAAATTGTTTTTGATAAATTTGACTGGCCTCTTGCAAAGGTCATTATGAAAAATATCTTATTGAAATATAGTTCCACACCATTGTTTGTTTGTTTGAGATTTATTTAGAATGATTGCTACAATTACATTCTTCTAAAAAACTAATCAATTACATAACATACAGACATTCTGAAAAAAAAACAAAATTTGCATCTCTAAGAATTTTCATTGTCCATGAAATATTCCTTTAATTTTCTTTTAAATATCTTTAAATTACAAGTAGACTTTATATCATTATTTAGTTTATTGAATTCAAGTAATCCTTTCTGAAATATTGATTTGCTAGTTATATTACTATTGCAATTCAATCTATATTTCCTCTTGTATAATAATTGTGGTAATGATTATTCAATTCTATGGAGTGTTCTAAATGTTCTGGCAAAAGATCATTTTTTATTTTAAATATAAAAATAAGAACCAAATATGATATGAATTTTTTTATATTCAACCATTGCAATTCTTGTAACATAGATTTTATTTTGATGTACTTATTTTTATTCAATATTATTCTCATAGCTTTATTTTGCAAGACTTGTAATTTTGAGAATACAGCTTCATTGGCAGTGAACAAGATAGTAAATGTGGTAGAATAATTGTATTATAAACTATTTTTTTGGAATAATAAACAATAAATCAAATGCAAAATAGGTATAAGTATTTTTATGTTACCTGTTATTCTATCTGGTACATTGTAATCACTGGATTTATCAAAGGCAACATTTATTAAATCAATAGGACTCTCTCTATCAGTGCATCTATCTAGAAGAGCAGCTAAAATGGAACAATCCACTCCACCAGAGTATAAAACACCTATCCTGGCATGTATACATCCTGAATTATTATATAAACAACTGCTGCAGGAATTTGGTATGTTTGACACTCTCACTTTTATAGATTTCTTTAATAATTCCTCTAGTTTATTCATATTGTTTTGCCATTTTTGTATGCCGAGTAATTTACAAAAGGCTTGGTCAGTGTCCACATCTCCTAACGTCTGTAGAATTGTCATATCATATTCATCTATCTTACAATCTATTGAATTTATACTTTTCACAAGTGGTAATATTTGCTGGATAGATATATCACATTTTAAAAACCTGCTCAACTCCTCTAACTTTATGTCAAAGTTCTTATTACAATCTTGCCATGGATTGACAATCATCTTGCCAGTTCTCAGGTTCCAACAAAATGTACCAATGGATGGTACCTCAACAAAGTCAAAGCCTTCTTTTCTTTTTGCAACACTACACAAAATAAATACACTGTCATTTTTTCCAATGAGTAGGCTTCTACGCCCATATACATCTCTTCCAAAATATAAAATCTCTTTAGATTTGTCTAGATATATGAATGCATAAGGACCTGCTATTTTACTCAGTGTACCAGAAATATTCGCAGATGATTTCAGTAAGTTCAACAAAGGCACAGTGTCTCCCTGCTGTAGTCTGATATCTTCAGGAATTCCACTGAATATATCCCCATTATAAACAAATAGGGATGTGTAATCTTCAACAGGTTGGTCAGTTAATGTTTGACCTTGCAGCCACAATACACTGGCAGCAAAAACTGCACAACGGTTGCTAGTGACGATGCTTTTAACGTTGTAAGAGTTTGGACCACGTCTTTTGATTGTATTTTCAAATATCTGCAGCTAAAAAATGTTTTGGTTTACAGAAAATTAGAGCCGGAAAAAGGTTTATTTACCTACAATTTTAGTGAGGTCCTCTTGTCTAGCTTTTGAATTATTATTTGAAAACACACAAATTATTCCACACATTTCACTGTGTGCTACATATTCGTTTTTACATTCAAATCAAAATTTCAGGCAAATAATCATAAGATACACCAATATCTTCCTTTGACAGTTCTTGACTTTGACATGAGATTTAGGTTAGAAGACGCGCTTATTTAACCTATAAGGAAGGCGTGGATAACGATCAATGATACCACGCCTCTTTTCCAAGTTAACTGTCAACGAAAGTGCCGCCAATATAGTACATTAAAATGTCCCAGATAGTTTTGTAAGGGTCAGTACAGACGTACGAACACTTCGCCCGCTGCGAAACTTGGCCATTAAGTGGAGGGAACAACAATTATCGCTAGGAGATAACTGTGAGAAACCTTTTAACACCTTTTATTGTAAAATGTGTATGCGTATAATAATTTTTCACTTAAGAAAAATATTCAACAGTCAACTATTTCACAGTGAAAAAATAAAATTGTAAATTTTAATCCTCATCTTCATCTTCTTCTTCCTCTTCTTCTGCTTCCTCGGGTTCTGCTTCTTCTCCTTCAGGTAGGACCGGCTTTGGTTTAGGCAGATGATCAATTCGCCATTGCTCCTCCTCAGCACCTATACATGAAAAATATTATAAGAAATTATATACTCATTCAGCTGAAAATATTGTTTGCTTTCGCAGATTGGCTTACTGCGTGTTGTAACTGTACCTGTGGGATCCATAATCTCCATGATCTCTGGACCACTAGGATATTCTTGTTGCACCGCGGGTAGGGGAAGCGGCGAGTAATTTTGAGGGAGGTACTTCAGACCGAAACCTGCGAATTGTCTTTGAGTTAAAAGTGATTTTATGTTTCTTAAGGACAAAAAGCATGTTCTACAAGACCATTCAAAGTCATACACTATGCAAATCATACCTAAATAAACGTTTTGGAACATTTTTCCTTGTGTGCTGAAACAGTAAGCTCCTGGCCAAAGGTTGGATCTTATAACAGCTATAGCGAAGTTCTCTATTATGTTCGAACTACTCCTAACGCTCCAGGGTGGAATCTGAAAAAAAGATGATGTAACAATGCGCCATCTATGAGATAACGGCAGAACCAAAGACTCTAACTGTTTTTAAAGTAGGTTTCTAAATTCATTTTTGTATTCTGCTACTGTCTCACAGATGGCGTTGACGTATCTCAGATCTCTTTTTGGGTGCTGAAATGCAGTACCTATATGGCTGGATTTCTTTAGGTACAATACTTTAATCATTGCCATCAAATACTGTCAAATACATTTAAAATGAATGATAGGATGTCCCCTAGCTTTGTACTGTTCAGAAATTCGTTGATCTTTATTTATATAAAATTTGATCAGTATTACCCCTTCCATAGTGGCATCTTCAGATAAAGGAGTTAAAAGTGGAGGACCAGTTTCAGGTTCCACTCTTTGGATTTTCTGTTTATCACCTTGATCTTCATCTTCTTCTCCCATTTCTTCGTCCATTTCTTCATCCCCTACGTCGGGCATCGGATTGGGGTTCCACCACGACGTGCGTCCTACAAATAATATTTTTCCGTATTGGTTTTTTTGATAAGACATGTTGAGTATCTTTCGGTTATATGTTGACTATAAATATGAAGTTGTCGCCATTGGGATTTAAGAATACAATTGTTAGCTTTCGTCAGTTTGTCTATGCAAAGGTCAAAAGTTCGCCTCTTGTTTAGCAGTTTCTAAATTGCTTTTGTCCGTTTGGCAACACTGCATGGCAGTTTCCTCAGCAGATACCAAGCCATCTATGAGCGAACCGTTATATCAAAGGCGATTTCCCGACAGATGCCGCGCCATCTACGAGCGAACTGCCAAACCAAGGGAGACGGGAGGTAAACCAGTAAACGAAGCCGACCACGCAGTGTCTCTTGGTATAACTTGTTCTACCTTGTGGAAGTATGTACTGGGCGTGGTGTACCCAAAAGGACATTGAGCCATCCAGCAGATCTTTCAGCTGAGGAGGGTCATATTTGAGGTTTGTTCTAAAGGAAGTTTTGCTCTCTCCTCCAGGTGCTTCTTCAGCTTCTTCATCTTCATCGCCCTCTCCGCCCATTCCAGATCCGAAGGTGTAGTAGCCGAGAGGAGATATATGGGTACCTTTGGAAAATATAATAATGCATGTATAAAGAAATAGTGTGTTAGATACCTACTGTTGAAAGATTCAGAGAGCCTTTAATATAACAGGGTAGTTTCTAGTTAGACAATCTGCTACGAAATAAAAAGTAATGCTGGTTGTTTTAGTGTGAGCCCCAAATACGTGAATTGCGCTTTTCAGCTTTCATTACGGTTTTATCATAAGAAAAATCTAAAAAACACATTGTTAAGAATGCTTTTTGTTAATTTAGATGCCAGAATGGTGCCGCGGGTAAACGGCTGACAGCTGCTGTCATACAATTTGTTTTCCGAGTTCTTTTTTTGGGTGTGGATTAAAACACTGGATTAGACAAAAAGAAATGTACTAATTTATTTAACTGGATAAAACATTTATATGCACCACTATTTATGTCTGACTAATTCTTGTCACCTTTGACTGCACTATACTTCTCTTCGCCCTGCTACTCCACCGTATTCCATACTCTCTGCCCCAGCTCCCGGCCGCCTAGTTATATATAGTTCAATGGCCAATGGCCGCTGCGAGAAAAACCACGAAGCGATATCTAGATTGTTCGCGTCGATCTAGAAGGCGATCCGATGTCACGGTCCTCATAGCCGCCGCTAGGTGGCTGGTGCGGTCGTGATTCGCGTAAAAGTAGAGATCGGCCATGAAGCTCTAACGGGTAAGTGACTCGCCCAACAGATGGCGCCGACAGTCACATTACTATGTCTAATAGCTGCGTAGTATTGCCGGGAAATCGAAGCTGAATATAACGTCTTGAACGGACACAATGATGCAAAATTTACATCCTTGCATCCTCTTTGATCCCAGATCCCACAAAAATCTAATAACAAAGCCCAGCCACTAATACGTGGACATTCAATATATTATTCTTTTTTCATTTTTCGTCAATAGCTCCGTCGTCAATGAGCTAATTTTCGAAATTTACAAAACCTTTTCGTGCGAATAGTAGTACGAGGGATGCCATTTAACACTGCACGTATTGTTGTGAAACTTTGAATTTAAGTTTACTAAAGAGTGAGGTTAAGATTCAGTACTGACGTTCGATCCGCGCGGCCTACTATATGCAAAACTTAAAAGACATCCCTCGTCATCTTGTGTCAGAACCTCATCAACATGTCATGCATTTTCAAAGTTTTGCATGGGGAAATAAAAGTAAAATCACTAGCTCGCTTTTCGAAGGCAAATATTTGAATTCTGTTCAAATAAGGTACCCCTGATATTATCATCCTTTTGAAAACGGTTGCTCAAAAAATACATACTTTTTAATATTGGTATGGGATCATGGATCATTTTTTTTAGTTCCATCAACTGTTTTTTTAAGAAAATCAGAAACTACGCAGTTTGGTTGATTACACTCTATATCTAGACCTTAATATCTACCCGAGAATAAGCCTTGGTGAATCATATAAATTTGTAATTTATACATGGTTTATTAACAAGTATGATCATTAACCGTAACCAAAGACAATTGAGAATATTTCCACTTCTATACGGAATGGTACTAATTTTGATAGCAGGTATATTTTTTTGTAGAATCTGAACTAAATCTGCAAGACATTATAATTATAAGTTTGTTAAACCTATTCGCAATTAACTGAAACCAGTGAGCCAGAAATGGTTCAATTAAAAAATTGTCTCCAAATTTTTCCGCAATTAGTGTATCTCATCGAGGGTACACACTCGCTGCTAAGAATAGTAAACGAATACGACCTTTTTATTCTGAATGGTGGTTGTAATTAGTATTACATTCTTCCTCATTGGTAAACAAAAATAAGTAGCTTGACTCAATAATCTCCACGAATATAGTTACTATTACTTACTTAACACTAAGAAACATGTATACAAAAAAATGTACAAATAAATTCATGATTGCTGGGTGTTATTTTTTATTTGTTAGTATATATCATCCAACTGAATAATAAAGAGTCATAACACGCTTGAGTCAGAGACTGATCTACATCATAAAGGGATTACTCATTTATAATGTTGAAAGAATGCATTTTTACCGCAGAAGTAAAATACGATTGAGGTATCGTGCTTAAGTTATTGACTATTGTACAAACTATGAGCAGGTGTCTTGTATAAAACACTGCGCCTTGCAATATATCAACAATAATAATAAGTGTATCTAAGTAATAATAAATTTAAGTATGATTCAACTGCATTCATAGAGAGACTGAAAAAAAAATCATATAGGATATAGGTAACACGTTACCCTTAAAACGTGACTTTTTCCCCACCACTAACTTTTACACCTTTGAAAATTTTATAACCTTTTATGGTGAGTAACAACAGGAGACAAAAACCTTCATACAACATACATAGATTTTCAAATAATTTTAGAGGATTTATTATTTACATGCGAGAATCTCAGGTTTGTTATTGCTGAAGAAACTTATCTTTTACGTTATCTCTATATGTAGTTGAAATGTAATAAATATAGAATGGAACTAAGCTATTCTATATACGGAGCATAGAATCAAATATACTTGGCGCCCACTTTCAATGAACAATTTGTCATGATACCTGCAGAAATCCTTCCGATCTGAGCTCGAAGGAATTCCCTTTCAGTGCCGGGAAATTCTGGATAAGAACAGATCGCTGCATCCAAGTTACCTGTGAAGGACTTGTAAATCTGTCTTGCTACTCTCACTTGTTTTGGGGTGATGTCAGGAAGTTGGATCCACGGGTAACCTGGACCATTGCAGACATAATAGACCTGTAAATCGATATTGAGCTGAACGAATATTTCAATATCCGAATCCCAGTATTCGGAATCTCCCATCACTATTCTGTGCGTGTTTGCTAATTCCAACTCCAGCGAGATTTGGCGGCGGCACTGGCAACTTCTCATGTTGTATCACAAGTATCGGGGACAAATGCCTGAGGAACTTTCCCCTTTTTTCCCCAGGCCCTTATTAGTAATAATTATCTGATTATCCGGATATTCGGAATCTCTCGTAACTATACCGTGCCTCAGGCAACTCGCGACATATAACAAGTGCCGCGGGCAACGGCCTGACGGACTTTCCTCCTTTTTCCCCGGGTCTTCATTAGCAGTGAACAACGAATATCTCAATATCAGAATATTCTGATGGTGGCTCAGGTAACTGCTCATGCTGTATGACAGGGGATGCCTCGTGCTACATATAAGTGCCGGGGGAAAAGGCTTGGCAGTCTTTCCCCATTTTCTCTCATGCCCTCAATACCAAAGGAAATATCACTATTCGAATATTCTGAACAGACCAGGGACAAAAGCCTGGGGAACTACATGAGGCCCCCAATAAAAACGAAAATCTCAATATCCGAATATTGGGCAGCTCGTGCTGTATAACAGGTACCGGGAGGGCTGAGGAACTTACCCTTCTTCCCCAGGCCCTCATTATCAACGAATATCTCAATATCAATATATTCGGAATCTCACATCACTACTCCAGCAGGTCTAGTTGGTGGCTTAGGCAACTCCTAATGACAGTATGACAGGAGCAGGAGCAAAGGTCTAGGGGACTTCCCCCTTTTTCCCCAGGTCTGCCTTCAGAATAGGCGGAATCTGCCATCGCTATGCCGTACCTTTTTGCTAACTCCAGCTCCAGCAGATTCTGATGGTGGCTCAGGCAACTCCTCATGCTGTAAGTCAGGCCCGGGGAACTGCCTGAGGGCCCCGTAAAAAATGAATATCTCAATATCGGAATATTTGGAATCTCGCATCGCTATGCCGTACCTTTTTGCTAACTCCAACTCCAGTAGATTCTGATGGTGGCTCAGGAAACTACTCATGCTTTACGTCAGGCCCGGGGAACTGTCTGAGGCCCCCGTAAAAAATGAATATCTCAATACCGGAATATTTGGAATCTCGCATCGCTATGCCGTACCTTTTTGCTAACTCCAGCTCCAGCAGATTCTGATGGTGGCTCAGGCAACTCCTCATGCTGTAAGTCAGGCCCGGGGAACTGCCCGAGGCGCCCGTAAAAAATGAATATCTCAATATCGGAATATTTGGAATCTCCCATCGCTATGCCGTACCTTTTTGCTAACTCCAGCTTCAGCAGATTCTGATGGTGGCTCAGGCAACTTCTCATGCTGTAAGTCAGGCCCGGGGAACTGCCTGAGGGCCTCGTAAAAAATGAATATCTCAGTATCGGAATATTCGGAATCTCCCATCGCTATGCCGTACCTTTTTGCTAACTTCAGCTCCAGCAGATTCTGATGGTGGCTCAGGCAACTCCTCATGCTGTAAGTCAGGCCCGGGGAACTGCCTGAGGCCCCCGTAAAAAACGAATATCTCAATATCGGAATATTCGGAATCTGCCATCGCTATGCCGTACCTTTTGGCTAACTCCAGCTCCAGCAGATTCTGATGGTGGCTCAGGCAACTCCTCATGCTGTAAGTCAGGCCCGGGGAACTGCCTGAGGCCCCGTAAAAAGCGAATATCTCACTATCCAAATATTCGGAATCTCCCATTACTACGCCGTACCTTTTTGTTAACTCCAACTCCAGCAGGTTCGGGTGGAGGTTCGGGCAACTCCTCGTGCTGTATGACAGGTGCCGGGGGCAAAGGCCTAGGGAACTTTCCCCCTCCTTCGCCAGGCAACTGCTGTTGCTTAGCGATGTTCGCCAAAGCTACGGCCATCTCGCTTTCTGACGCAGACATTTCTTTCGGAGATTCTGGAGGGGGAGGTTTTTGTTCTTGTTGCAGTTGATAGGTCTCGTTCCTCTTGATATATTCCTCTTCTTTGAGCTCGCATTCCACCACTATGTAGTTTTTGAGGGTGCCGAAGATCTTGCCCCAAAATCTTTAATGAAACAGACCATTTGTATTCAGATCTGAACGTTTGTTTAATCTAGGGAATTGTCACAGCTATAGAAACCCTCCTAACCCCAAAAAAAAAAACGACACAATGTCAACTTGCTGCGTAGATAGTCTGAGCATTTCTGTGATATCATGTTTTACAGATAACTCTCAACATTCGATGTATTTGTTTCTGGGTACCTTATAGATGATACGGGCTCTGTGTGAATCAGCTTACGGATCGACAACATGATGAAAAACATTTCCGATCTCGGCAGTCCAACTCCGCAATGTTCGGAATAATAAAGTAGTTCCAGGAGATTATTTTTTGACATGTCGGCCATTTCCAGATCTTCTGGATCGACGGTTGACGGTTCAGATGGCGGAAGCGGCTACAACAGAATATAAAAAGGATGATGTAAAGTCAATACTATCTAAACAACTTGTAAATGCTTCAATTCACTGTGCTTACTCTCAATAGAGGCATCATTTTGCTAGCCAGATCGTATCTACCAGGCGGTACGTAGATGTCCTCCAAGTGATCCGTCATCGGCTTGAATCTTCTCTCTTTAATTTTTCGGCTATACTCTTCGAAGAAATCGATTATGTTTTCAGGTCTTTCTGCCAGGATTTTGTTGAGGACTTCAGTCAAGTGATCATATCTATATTAGAATAAGAAAAACTATCTACTGTTGGATCCACAAGCTTGCGCGTGTGTCATTCACGCGGTATGTAATCATTGTTTCGATCAGTGCGTCCGCAGGAATTTTACGCAGGGGAGGGGAAGGTAAGAAATAGCTTTATGCGAAAGCTTTTTGGAGAGCGTTATGTCTCAGGGAGCCAAATCCCGAAAAGCTTCAAAATTGTACAGAAAAGCATGCTAAATATGCAAATTTTAATTGTATGAGCCTGTTTGACTAACTTGATCAATGTAATATTTTGAGATACATATACAGGGTGGCCCATCCGTGCGTGGACGGCATATTACTCATATTCTCGAATTTTCATTTTTGCTCATACAGGGTGGTCGAAAACGCGAATTGTACTTTTTCTCAAAAATTTCAAATGCATCACCCTGCAAATTTGTGCAAGTTTGGTTTCAACTTTTTATAAGCTTTTTTTTATACAGGGTGTCCCAGAAGGGGACGTCAAGCCGAAACCGGGTGATAGGCAAAGTCATAACAGCTATCAGAAAAATATTTAAAAAATTTTATGTATATGTTTTGAAAATTATATGTCTTTGAAAAAGACATAGAAATCTCACACCCTACGGCAGTGTGTCAACTCCTGTTACTACAAATATTAACTTTTTTTGGATTTTATTTTTACAATGTAATGATGAATAATGCATCTTCACACTGGTGTCTCAACCTTACTGCCAACTTTTCTCGTTCAGGAAAAATTGCCACTTATTTTCCAACCAAGTATTCCAAAGTAAAACTTTGCTCAACTTCAACTGGCTGTACTGGAAAAAATGTAGGGTAGACCGGGGACAGTTGTACCAGGGGTCAATTGTAACATTTCAAATATGCCCTAGAGTGAGACCGCTGTATAAACTTCGCTCGGATGCGCGCGTCACCAAACAACTGCGGTTCTGATTTCAGTGTGCCGGCGGCCATCGCTGAGAGCATTTGTATCTTAAGTGTATTTGTTCGTTTCCGCACGTCAGATGTAAGTTTTTATTTTTTTTTTCAAATGTTCGTAGTTCTTTTTTACTGCATAATATGCCTGATGTTTTTTCTCAATTAGATTATGGGTAGTGTTAACTACTTTCTGTAAGAGTTACACAAAAAACACAGCAGTGCATATTACAGAAAAATCCATTTTTGTTTTAAAAAGACAGTTGGGGTCAATTGTAACAAATCGTCAGGGGACGATTGTACCGCTTCAATTGACCCCTGATTTGTATTTGTTTCGAAGAGGGTTTTCTTTTTATTTTAGATGCCACGGAAAAGGATTAATAAAACGGAAAGAGCCTCACGTGATCTATCTTTATATGAATCTGCATATGATGTGGTACTGTCTGGAACGTCAATTCGAGCAGCTGCAGCCCAATTTGGTCTGTGCCATGTGTCCCTATTACGTTATAAGAAGAAAAGAGAAAACTCAGTCGATTGCATTACAAAAGTTAGTATGGGATACAAGCCCGCTAATCGTGTTTTTTCAAATGAACAAGAAAACGAAATGGTTAAATATATCAAGAAAGCAGCAGATATTTATCAAGGTTTGTCGCCCAAGGATATAAGAAAATTGGCACTGCAATTAGCAACAAAATATAATTTAAAAATGCCCGAAAATGGACTGAAAGTGGCTTAGCCGGTGAAGACTGGTTTTCTGGTTTCATGTGCAGGCATAAAGATTTATCTATAAGAACACCACAGGCAACAAGTCTCTCAAGGGCTACTAGCTTTAATCCTACCAATGTTGCCGCTTTCTTCTATAATCTGGCCAAAGTTATGGACCGTGAAAATTTTGAAGCGAAAGATATTTATAACGCCGATGAGACCGGGATTACTACAGTCCAGAAGCCAAACAGAATTGTAGCTAAAACTGGAACTAAGCAAGTTGGTGCTATCACATCGGCAGAACGTGGCACTCTGGTTACGCTGACTGTTGCCGTTAATGCGCTAGGGAACTCTATCCCAGTTATGTTTGTTTTCCCAAGATTAAGATATCAAGACCATTTTGTTCGGGATGGTCCTCAAGGTTGCGTTGGAGCCGGTAATGGGTCTGGATGGATGCAAGAAAAAGAATTCATAGTATTTTTGAAGCATTTTCAACATCATACCAATTCATCTCAATTCCATAAAGTTTTGCTACTACTAGACAACCATTCATCGCACATCACCATCGAAGCATTGGATTTCTGTAGAACGAATGGTATCGTCATGCTTTCGTTCCCTCCACATTGCTCACATAAATTGCAGCCCCTAGACCGCTGTGTATATGGGCCACTCAAGAAAGCTATAAATTCTAGTTGTGATGCGTGGATTCGAAATCATCCAGAGACACCTATGACGATATATGATATCCCAGGGATCACTGCAACAGCTATTCCTCTGGCACTAACACAGAGTAACATTCAGGCTGGTTTTAGATGTACAGGTATTTTTCCCTTCAATAGAGATATATTTTCTGAAACAGATTTTGGTCCATCATTTGTTACAGCCATCAGAAAACCAAGAACTGACTGTTAATAATGAGCAAACAGCTAACAGCAAGCCTCCTGCTGAGCTAGAAGGTGTCAATACAGGTATCCCCTGTTTAATTGATTCAGATAGTGACGAAAATATTCCGTTGTCTGCGTTTCGTTTAAAGGAAGGAAGAGCAGATGCGATCCTTATCAGGACACCTGCAAAACTTTTACAAGTTCATGACGAAGCCACTCCAACTTCGTCAGAATTCGTAAAAGTTGTATTTTCCCCAGAAAACGTTAGACCATTTTCCAAAGCTCCACCAAGAACAGGTACAATGAAAGGAAGGAAAAAAAGAAAGTCCGCAATTTATACAGACACCCCAGAGAAAATAGAAATAGAGAAAGAAGTTGAGGAAAGAGAAAAAAAGCGAGTAAAAAGAAACTTAGGCAGTCAGGGAAATAGACCAAATAATAAAGTTCCTAGAATGAAAAAAACTGGATCGGCAGAAAGCAGTGAAGACGAAAATGAATATTTTTGCCTAGTTTGCGTCGAACCTTATGGGAATAGCAGAAAGGGCGAGAAATGGATCCAGTGCACACAGTGCAAGATGTGGTCACACGAAGAGTGTGTAGCACAAAACTTGTTCTATGTTTGTCACAATTGTGAGTCAGAGTAATTGTCTGAGTTGGGTATCTCTTAAAGAAACAAGATTGATTTTCATATTTTTTTATTTTGCGTTTACCGTTTTTAAGCTTTTATTGTTCTTAGCTTGAATAAAGAGTTCAAGTTTTTGTTTGCCGACATCCCTTTATTATTAGATATAGGTATTTGTGAATTACAAAATCCAAAATATTGTTTTAAGTTAAATATTTGTTTTTTAAAGATTTTTCTTGTGTATTTGCTCATTTATTTGTGACAATACGAATGCTCATGTTTTATGCCAAAGTATTTGTACAAATTATATATTTGCCGAGTTGGTTACTGCGGTAATGTTTAAATTTGATCAATAAAACTAGTTAAAATATATTAAATATTGATGTTACAATTGACCCCCTTAGCTGGTACAATTGACCCAGGGGCTGGGTCAATTGTACCATTTTACATTATTTTTTAAATGTTAAATAACTTCTAAACGTATTATGTTTCATGCATTACAAAAACCGCATTTTGTAGACTATTAGTTACGTTACTTTCAGCCATACCTTGCTGACTGGTAGACATTATAATTTGAGAACATGCGAACAATATAGGCAAAATGGTACAATTGTCCCCGGTCTCCCCTACTACGAGAGTTTGGCAAGTAACCTTAAAAGTTGTCGCATTTAATAACGATTCCAAAATGGTATAACACTTAGAAGATTACTCGTTAACTTATGCACAATTTTTATTTGAAAAAAAACTGATAAAAATTTATCAAAATTTCCTAATTAAACAGCGATTATGAAAACGCACAAGGACCCTTAAGGATAACTGTTTGCACAACAGTGGGCGTCAAAATGCTGCTGATGATGATTTACCTTTACAGCAAATGCTCAAACTGTTTTCCTTCAGCCACAGTACACGCTCGACATGTTCGTAAAAAAGATCGGGTTATTAAACGAGCGAATCCACGGTTATTAACAAACTCAACTGCTTCCAATAGTCTTTGCTGTAGCTCAGCTACATTTTGAATCGGCTTGAAATACACTTTTTCTTTAACAGTTCCCCAGTAAAAAAATCTAAAGGATTCAAATCAGGTGATCGGGCTGGCCACCGTATTGTACCAGACCGCCCTATCCATCTGCCTGGAAAGTTTTGATCGAGATACTCTCTCACTGAGAGTGCATAGTGCGCTGGGCAGCCATCATGCTGAAACCACATGTCCCTGTAAATACTCAGTGGCACGTCCACCAATAAATTTTGTACATGATTTTTCAAAAAATCCAAATAAACTTCAGCAGTCAAAGTCTCTGGGAACTCAAACAGACCGACTATTTTACCATTTAAAATTCCTGTCCAATGGTTTATCTTGAAGCGATATTGAGATTTATCTTCTCTCATCAAATGTGGGTTTGCTACGTGCCACTCGTGTAAGTTATGCAGGTTCATGTACCCATCTTTCTTAAATGTGGTCTCATCCGACCATAAAATTTTTTCAAAGAACTGTGGATCTTTCCTGTGTCTTTCTAACATTGTGCGACAAAAAGCAACTCGGGGCTCATAATCCCGGGGCAGGAGAGGTTGAACACGCTGTATGTGGTATGGATGAAGCACATCACTTACTTGTTATTGCACACTTTGATATCGATCAGTACCTACTTATTCGTATACTGCGCATCTTTACATGTTCGTGCTTGTTGATTTCGTACTGTTACTAATTTTGGATTCGTGAACTGGACTGTTGATCGCTTGTGATTTGGATTTGGACTGTTTAATTGCTCTTCAAAACAACATTTGCTTTCCTTAGACTATCTTTGATAGTGTGATTGTGCAATGCCGCTATGTCCGTGTACACCGTACAAGAATTTGCTAACATGCACCTCATTTATGGGGAATGCAGATTCAATGCTAGTGCTGCAGCGAGACTTTACTGTGAGAGGTACCCGAATGCAGTTCGTCATCCAGATCATCGAGTGTTCACAAATGTGCACCGCTTACTGTTCTCAGAGGGCCAACTACCAAACCAATCACACGGTAAGGGAAGATCTTTCCTTCCTTACGAAGACGTGGTACTAGGAGCTGTCGAAGAAGACCCCAGGAATTTTAAATGGTAAAATAATCGGTCCGTTTGAGTTCCCAGAGACTTTGACTGCTGAGGTTTATTTAGGTTTTTTGCAAAATCATTTAGAAAATTTATTGGAGTACGTGCCACTGAGTATTTACAGGGACATGTGGTTTCAACATGATGGTTGCCCAGCGCACTATGCACTCTCAGTGAGAGAGTATCTCGATCAAAACTTTCCAGGCAGCTGAGTTTGTTAATAACCGTGGATTCGCTCGTTTAATAACCCATTTTTTTTTAAGATGTCGAGCGTGTATTGCGGCTGAAGGAAAACAGTTTGAGCATTTGCTGTAAAGGTAAATCATCATCAGCAGCATTTTGACGCCCACTGTTGTGCAAACAGTTATCCTTAAGGGTCCTTGTGCGTTTTAATAATCGCTGTTTAATTAGGAAATTTTGAAAAAATTTTATCAGTTTTTTTTCAAATAAAAATTGTGCATAAGTTAACTAGTAATCTTCTAAGTGTTATACCATTTTGGAATCCTTATTAAATGCGCCAACTTTTAAGGTTACTTGCCAAACTCTCGTAGTACATTTTTTTCCAGTACAGACAGTTAAAGTTGAGCAAAGTTTTACTTTGGAATACTTGGTTGGAAAATAAGTGGCAATTTTTCCTGAACGAGAAAAGTTGGCAGTAAGGTTGAGACACCAGTCTGAAGATGCATTATTCATCATTATATTGTAAAAATAAAATCCAAAAAAAGTTAATATTTGTAGTAACAGGAGTTGACAGACTGCCGTAGGGTGTGAAATTTCTATATTTTTTTCAAAGACCTATAATTTTCAAAACACATACATAAATTTTTTTAAATATTTTTCTGATAGCTGTTATGACTTTGCCTATCACCCGGTTTCGGCTTGACGTCGACAACTGGGACACCCTGTATAAGGTTTGATTTAGGTAAAATCACTAGATTTTGAGTTATTAAGCTTTTAATAGAACATCACACCAAAATGAAGGAAAAAATCACATCATCCATGGAAACAAAATATAACTAATCAACAATTTATTGTTGAATTAAGCCGTTCTATAAAAGACGTGCTAATAACCAAAAAAGTAGCCGTAAAAACATTTATGTGTCTAGAATCGAAAAAAAAAAATCTTATGAAAAATTGAATCCAAGCTTGCACAAATATTCAGGGTGATGCATTTGAAATGTCTGAGAAAAACTGCAATTTGCGTTTTTGAAAACCCTGTTTGAGCAAAAATTAAAATTCGAAAAAGTAACAAATAATATAAAAGCTGAGATGTGTGTTTTTTTATACAAAATTCAGCACTTCAATTTCAAAATGGCGGACTGGGGGGTTGCCGAAGTGGGGGGTTTTTCTAGACAAAACACCTTATATCTCAGTAGCTAATTACCAAAGCCCCATAGTATGTTATATCAATTTTCTTCTTTTGAATTGATTTATCCAAATATGCAATAATTTGAGTCATTCCATTTGAAAAATCACAACTTTGATATGTAGGTCGAAATTGGGACACCCTGTATATTCAATTTATTTCCTATAGGGGCTAACTAGCGCTAGGAAGTGCGAAGTCAACCTACTTGACGCCATTTTTCCAGTCAGCTCGGAGAATTGAAACAAAAAAATGCGACCGCTCCTTTGTTTCGAGGGTGTCGAGATCGTGGAACAATCTGCTTATGGAGAATTTTCACGGGGCAGTTAAAACTGTCTTTACTCCTTATACAGGGTGGCCAATATATAACTGACTGATTTAAGTTGCGCGCCATTTTCGGTACACGCCTTTCAGTAGGTGGCGCCGTGGTAGTTGTTTAAAGTACATGTGTCGTTTTACTTAAATAATGAGTCGATGGTTGCAAGCAGTCGGAAGCTACGACAAGATATCGGTGGAAATTTGAACAAATTCGAACCTTTCACACTCCGGAAAATATCGAGAGAGTTGTGGAGCGCCCTGAAACGTCTACCAGACATCGTTCTCAAGAACTGGGTATTCGTCGCTCGTCATTATGCACTATTTTAAAAAAAGGCTTGTATTTGCGGCCATACAAAACTTGGTTAACCCAAGAACTACAGCCAACAAACAAATACTGTAGAGCAGCTGAAGAACAATATTACGGAAGCGATTGAAAATATTCCTACCAAAAAGTGCGGACATTAATTTGTCTGATATTATTCTTCAAGGGCCGTTCAAGTATTACGTGAGCACTATGGGGGCGCGGGGGGGTCTTTGCTTTGCTTATTTTGGATGACATGGGGGGGGGGGGGGGGGGTAGGGGAGTCTAGATGATGATTACGTCATCGGTAGTTATTTACTTTTTTACACGAATGGCAACCCTCACATTGGCTTTGCTTGAAAACGAAACGCATTTTCGGGGATTCCCGCAAATAATGTATACGTTTAGTGAACAGCGCGCGGTAATTCCTCTACTCGCTTTAGAACCGAGTAGGGGAATTACCGCGCGGTGTTCACTTGTCTAAATTTCCACTATCAGTGAATTGTTTCGTTTTTATACTATAGCGAGTAGACGTATTGTAAGCATAGTAAAGCAAGTTAACATTTGTGTTACCATTGATTCCATTAGCCAAAGTTTAATGTTTAAATAAGATGTCGTTTCACATAGACAAATCCAAGTTATACCAGAAATTGTTTGAAGGTTTTAAAAAATCTCATACAAGTACGAAAGTACAAAATGTACAAAACTTAGTTAACGAAGTGTGGCGAAATTACAAATTACAAGCAAAATCCGACAAGGAACTAGGTATTATTGTACCTAAGAGAATCGAAGAAGAATTGCAAGCGGCGACTAAGAATAAATCCAATCTACTAAATTTTTTTTCTAAGGTAATTAACGAAATCATTTTAGGTACCTATGAGTACTAGAAATATTAGAAATCGCCAAAAAGTTTCTCTTTACTGATTAGAAAATATTATGGCCTATCTCAAAGTATAGAGGTAATATTCATTATACTTCGAAGTTGAGTCATTTATTTTAACAGTGAGTAGATCTGATCAAAAGAAATGTTTTTTTCCTTTACCATTTTTCTGGTAAAATTAAAGTAACAAAGTTATAGCCCTTTGGAAGTTTGAGTACCGCCCTGTCTCAATAATAATATTATGTGCTCGTGTTTGGCGACAACGGATAAAATCCGCATTATCGGTTCATCGCCTCGGAAACAAAAAAGCGAAAGAATTTGGAACGATGTTTTTACAATTATTTCATTCAGTTGTATACAGTCAGTGTCAGTCGGTAGTGAATAGTGGTTTCTGTTGCGTGGCTCAAACGAAATAAAAAATGGCACATGTTTATGCGGATCGGTTTCCCAATCGAGTGCAACCAACCCCTCGTGCCTTTCTTAATGTAGTACAACGGGTTCGTGAATCAGGTGACTTAAGACCTCACATATGGACGGCATGCCGGTGCTCCAAGACCTCACGATCAAATACAGGTCCGCACTGAAATACTTGTCGGGAGGATACTTTATAAAACAAGGTAAAAATTTTTTTTAATTTTTTTTTTATTTTTACACACATATTTTGGTTTATCTTCCTTCTACAATCATTATCTGAAAATTAATGACTCAACTTCAAAGTCTGTATTATAGATTTATTTCTTATGATTGATTCCGTCAATTGGTCACAAAGTACAGGATGTTAGTTTTATACATATATACAGAAAACTAACACCCTAATCTCTATCCTAAATCTATTTTCTTATTTTTCAAATTATAATTATAACGTTGTAATTATAATATTAGAAAAAAAAACAATACATTAATTGACAAATGCATGGGCGGAGGGTGTAAGAGCTTTGCTTACTTTTGCTGACAAGGGGGATGGGGGGTAAATAATTGTAATAAATCTGCTTACATAATACTTGAGCGGCCTCTCATACATAATTTCTAAGTTTCAATAAAAGATTCAAATGAAAAAAAATGGACGTATTTTATTTAATTTCACAAATATTCAAGATACAAACCAGTCAGTTACATATCGGCCACTCTGTAGTAGCCGCGGATTCTGTATAAAAAATACTTTTTTTTGTTGCATTATCTGTGAGTAAAAAAACTAAGGATTGGGACACTTCTGGTTACTTACAGATTGTCTCCCGTACTGGAGCTGGCCATCTGAAGAAATGCCTTGGCATTGACGATTTCATGCTCGTAACTTGGTAGGTCACTTGCTGCTTGGCCATCGCCTTCTCCAGGATCAGGTTCATATTCCTGAATCATTTTGCTGTATTTTGAACCTTAAGATCAAACCCTAACAAATTTGAGACAAGCGCTTGACAATTCTCTGTCGCATTTCAGCTGAAGTGTACTGAGTGATAATATTCATTATTATTATTATTATTATTATTATGATAATTGAGATGAGCAGAGTACACAGTACTATAAGCTCATGCAGTAAATATAGTGTACGGACACGTAACACAAATACATCAAATAGAAAAAAATAAAAAAGACAGTTCATAGCTATAAAGTTTGTACACTCCTCCAGCTATCATACTGCACTTTGAAGCTATTAACTGAAGTAGCACCAACCACACTTTCAGGTAAACTATTCCAGGTGTTGAATATGCGGTTGGGAAGAAACCACTGTCGGACTGTTGTTTTAAATGGCTCCTTATGCAGTTTGAAGCTGTGTCCGCGTAGATTGCTGCGCGACAGACGGTATAGATGCATGATGTTGGTGCCCATCAAACCATGAAGTATCCTGAACGTAACTATAAGATCGCCACGAAGTCTTCGCTCAGAGAATGAGGTCAGGTTGAATCATTCAAGGCGATCTTCATAGCTTGGTCTTCGTGCTCCAAAAGGGATACGAGTAGCCCGACGCTGTACTGATTCGACGAGATTTCTATCGCGCAGAAGCACAGTGTCCCATACCGGGCCAGCGAATTCAAGAATTGGCCTCACGAATGCCTTGTAAATGTAGGCGCAAGTGTTGACATCGTAGAAGTTTCTTGGCTTTTGATGTAACGTGGTGAATATGCTCTGACCAGGAAAGACGATCGTTGACTACAACGCCCAGATCAGTGTGGCTGGAAACTGCTTCGATGTTGTGGTCAGAGATCTTGTATGTAAATCGCGGATTTGTCTTCCCGAGGTGAAGGACACAACACTTAGTTAGATTTAAGGGTAAAAGCCAACTGACTGGCCATTGACAAACAATATCAAGATTTCGTTGAAGCATAGCAGAATTTACGACAGTATTGTAAATCTTGGTGTCGTCGGCATAAGCTGAACATGTGGAGGAAATCAATGCGGGCAGGTCACTTGTATACAGAAGGAACAGCACTGGCCCCAAGACAGAGCCTTGAGGAACTCCACTTGCTACATGATGAAGGTGAGACTGGCTATCACTGACGCGCACAGAGAAAGTCCTCCCGGTGGGAAAAGCCTTGATCCACAGTAACAACTCGCCTCTTATTCCCATACATTCCAACTTAAACAGAAGCCTTCTATGTCGTACGCGATCGAAAGCCCTAGAAAAATCTAAGTAGATTATATCAACAGGAGTCTTTGTGTCCAGATACTGAGTCCAATCGTTGAGAGAGTGGAGAAGGTTGGTCATTATTGATCGACCAGGGAGAAATCCATGCTGATTCTTAGGGATAAGGTCATTTTCGAAAGTAAATGACAGGAGCTTATCTAATATGATTCTTTCAGCTATTTTGGCGGCGATAGGAACGAGACTTATTGGTCGATAATTTTTAGCGGAGGATTTGTCGCCCTTTTTGAATACAGGGGTAACAGAAGCACTAAGCCAGCATGAGGGTAGGGTATGAGATCTAAAAGACGATGTAAATATCAAGCTTAATGGTAGGGCCAGTGCTGAAGCGCAGTTTTTAAGTACAGCAGCCGTCATCCCATCTTTACCAGGGAGGAAGAGGTCTTCGATTTCGCAGGTGCATTAATACATCTTCAGGCAGGAACTCAACTTCGCAAAGGCTGTTGGGACACCTATGGCAGATAGTGGTCGGTAGAAGGTCTCCATTAGGCTCATCGACGAAGTCATCACTAAAGGACTCTGCCAGTAAGTTGGCAGATTCGGTGGCATCCATGTGGAGATGACCGTTAGCGTCGCGGATCTGAGGTGATGAAACTTTGGAATTCAGGTTTGTTCTTAGATACCGAAACAGCTTCTTCTTATTTTTGGAGGTAACGAGTTTTCGTTCATAAACATGTTTGGCATTATGTAACGTTCTAGATAGGAGGTTAGAAAAGGATCGATGAGACACGTAATCTTGTGAATGGCCACTCCTCCTAAACCGTTGCCACAAAGATCTCTTGTGACGAAGCATCCTCGATATGTTAGAGTTGATTCAGGGCTTTGAGGGGTCACAGTATACCTTCTTTTCAACAGTATTGTCAGCCGTTTCGCTTAGGACTCGTTGAGCGAAAGTGTCCCACATATTTTGGGTGCTACGGTTGTTAAGCAAAGCAGGCCAGTTGACTTCAGACAGGGCTTGGTTAAGAGCATCGTGATTTACAATTTTGATGGTTTTAAACTTATCGGTTGTAGAACGACTATTTATATTGAACTGGAGAGAAGATAAAAGTGAACAGTGGTCAGACTTGCCAAAAGGTGGCAAATAATCTAAATTAGAAACAAAGTCGGCGTCGTTAACGGATATCAAATCCAGAGCCCTAGGCGTTTGTCCTTCCCTGAATCTCGTTGGACGATCAACAAGTTGAGATATGCTAGAGTTGCGTAGCAAGTCGATGTAAGCAGCAGAAGAAGAATTGCATTCAGGAATGGTTGACATAGGCCAGCTAATGTCACGTAGATTGAAGTCACCAGCTATGAAAAGGTTGGTGTTTTTATTTAAGAGATCTGAAATGAGACTGCACAGGTGTGTGTCTCCCAAACAGGGCCGTGGCCGATATATGCAGCCTATCGTGAAGCTGAAACTTGGGCACCTCAATTCCAAAAATAGATTGTCAATGCCATCGAAAGGACTGAAAGAGGGAGATACCGAGAAAGCCGACGCGATTTCCGTGCGAACATAAATGCATACTCCACCAAAACCAGGAGTGCGTGGTGAATCCATTCTGTATAAATAGTATCCAGGCAAATTGATGGAAGAGTCGGACACGTTGGAATGGAGCCATGTTTCAGTAAGGCAAACGAACGTTGGATTATTGTCTCGAACAAATGCTTGGAGTTCAAGTAGCTTAGGAAAGAGAGATTGTATATTAGTGTAACAAACCGTCCAGTTTGCTACAGAATTTATCAGTTTTTTGAAGGTGTGATCTCCTGGGTAGCTGTGTGTACTATAGAAGGTTTACAACGAACGTATTTTATAGTAATATTACTTTCGCCTGTTGTTTGACGACGTCTAAGCTCTTCGCGAAGGTGTTGTAGTTCTTGCATTTGACGAGTCTCAAAATAAATCAAATCTGAAAAAAATAAGTTCATGTGTAACAGAAGCGGCTGGGTTTTGATATAGCTGATTTTTTTTATTCATATATAATTACAATTTTATGTTGCCATCATCAAGATATCTTCCTTCTAAAGCTACACAGCGCTGGAAATGGCCCTTCTACTCGTCAGTGCTGGAACTCCGATACTGGAATAGCCTTCAGCTTTGTTTTAATGGAGTAACTACGATACTGCTGTCTAAATGCCGTCATCGGTTGGAATTTCTTCCTAACGTTTCGCTAGCAGGAGTGGCAAGCTTCTTCAGAGGTCCTTCCATTTCCGATGTTGGATGTACGAGCCCCTTCCCACTTCAGTTGGCCCAAACTATTGAAATCTTTTTCTTATCAAACACAAATAATAAAAATGTAGCATGGTGTGATAGGTTTAAAATATTAACAATGAATATTTTGATAATATATAGTAGAAAACACCAACGTTATCACTCCCTAATCAAATTTGCAGCATAAAAACAACACATGTTGCAATTACAGCATATCAACCTATTTTGATTTCAATGCAAAATAAGTCTATGACGCATAGGTGGCTGTGAAAAATAAAAGCCATGACAATTGTTTTTATTAATCACAGCTGTCAGAATACGTTTAAAATAGTTCTGGGTAGTTACGGTTTTCAGAATGGGTAGAGGAAATGTTATTAGTGAGAAAATTCGGTTACTAATAATTGAATTTTTTAATTCCGGGAAATCAAACCCAGAAATTGCAACTTTGTTAGTCTTATCGCGGTACAGTGTGAGAAATATTGTTAGAAGATATAACGTAACTGGTTCAGTTAATATTAAGCCACGATATGTGAAAAAAAAGTAATATCACAAATGCCGACCGAAGAACATTAAGAAGAATAATCGTGAAAAACAGGCGTGCCAATTATTTACAATTAAGTGCTCTGTGGAGTGACGCTATTGGAAGGAGAATTTCGAGGTCCACAACTCATAGAGAGGCCCACAAACTGGGATTTAGCACTTGCAAGGTAAGTTCTCTTATAAAAAAAAGTGGAGTAAAAACCCTAAAGTTGCGCAACTTGTTTATAGGCCAAAGAAAAGCCACTATTAACTCCACTGCAAAAGAAAAATCGGCTTAGATGGGCTAAAGAACATGACAATGGACACCTCAACACTGGTGTGCAATACAATGGAGTGATGAGGCCCGATTCGAAGTTCGTGTTGGTGACAGTCGCAGTAGAGTTATTCGCAAAAAAAATGAAGCATTCCATGTTGACTGTCTGAAGAGAAAAGCGAAATTTCCAGCATCCATTATGGTCTGGGGCAGCATGTCATCAAAAGGATACAAACGAATATTTGGCAATTTTAGAAGAATCGCTTTTACCAGTCCTTCTTGTCCTTTGCCGATCTGATGGTTTGTTGTATCTTCTTCGCAGGCTTGAAGATTGTTTTAATTTCATGCCTCTTCAGGACTCTGCCAATCCTGTCCGTGACTCTTGGCACAAATGGAAGATACGCTTGAGAGGTGGTGGGACGCTGATCTCGAGCCCATTGATCTTTCGATGTCCCTGTTGCTGTAGCCATTTCAAGAGGTTCTCCGGGTCGCAAATCTTTCGAGCTCAGGCTTCTGATGACTCCATACTTCTGACTTGGGTGATGATTGGACAAAGCGTGCAGGTATTACACTGTGTAACCCAGCTTCCTGACTAGCACGTCCAAGAAGGCCAGTTGTCGGTCACTCTCTATCTCCACGGTAAATTGTATGCTTGGATGCCGATCGTTGAGCTGCTGCTGCGTTCGATACTGTCTTCCGTGAAAAAGCTCCGATTTTCGGGAGGGCTGTCGACCCAGCTTCAGAAGTCGTAACAAGTTTTTACAGCTTGCGACTTAACTGTTCGACGGTGTAAGTTTTCGTTCGATTGTCTTAACTTTAT